AAAATATACTGATTTCCATCAATCTATTTCTCATCAAATAGTTTTAATTAATCAAAAAGATTTATTTGTGCCACTAAAAGAAGATTGTCATAGGATAACTGAGTTTTGTGCTGATTTTCTATTACAAAGGATTAATCTTTGCGAGTTTGTGCGTGTATTGGGACATACATATTTTGCAAGTGAACTAACACACATTGTTCCATACCTGAGAGTAACGAAGAATTCAAAAGTTATAATAGAAATTTTAAAGGCGTTCGAGCGGTTCCACTTGGTTGACGCTAGAGATCAGTTACTGCAAAGATTTAAAGAGAAGTTACCACAACCCGGAGAAGTTAAGAGCACAATATCAAGAAAACATAGACTTCTTCGTCAATATCGTGATCCGGAATATTTAAAAAACTATATTTCGTTTTAAGGTGAAAAATGTCAAGTGAGAATATTGAACTAATTAGTTCAGTAATATGTATTCATCAAGAATTTTATGAATCATTTCATAAAACTTATCAAAAACTTAGGCAGATGGAAAAAATATATTATGATATGATTCGTAAATATGAAAAAGAAATGAGTGTGTGTGCACAATATTATGAAAATTATGATATATTAGAATTATTCTCTGTAATGATAGACTTAGGCTTTATAAATCAAATAACATACTTAAATAAATTTGTTAAAGATCGGGGAATACCTTACGAACAAGTAGCAGATGATCTAAACACTAACATAAATAACAATTTAGTTAACCAGGATAATTCATCCAATAACTTAGTTGATGTTGAAGTACTAATTTAGTATAAAATTATATTTTAATAAAAGATGTAATAAATACTATATAAATTTTTATTCATTCATAAAAAAATTATCATACAAATATAAAACATTTGATAATGCACACATACAATTTGACTTAGAATGATAAAAGCATTTTGGTGGTCCGATAGGCAAAGCTGGTTGTTCATCTATTTCAATTACTGTTTTTTTGGAATATTTCTTTACAAATTCTGCTTTTTCAGTTCCTTTAACATAAACAAATTCCACTTCAGCTTCTTCAATAAGTGTTTCAATTATATTTGAAAAATAATGATGAGGTGTAAATCCTTCATTCCAGTTGATACAATGATGATTTTTCATTAGCCATACCGCTTGTCTGTGACATTCTGGTGACAGAAAGTCTAATGGATAGGGTTTCTTAAAGATATAATGTGAGATTCTATATCCATCAAAAGCTGCAAGTTCTTTAGGTAAAAATGTGTTTTTCTCATCTTTAAATCCTTGTATATCCACAATCAACCTCATATTTCTAGTTCACTAAACTTTTTAATTAGGCTTTTTTGCCTGGAGTAATTTGCAATTTGTTCTTTCAATTTTTGTATTTTATAAATAAATTTTTATATTTCTAGTTGTAGTGTTGAAGACATATCTATTACTACAGACACTATGTTTACTTATTTATATTAAATCTAAGAGTTAATGATCCCCTCTCCCCCCTCATTAACGTCCGAAGATATCTGTCGAGAACTAAGAAAGACAGAGCGAGAGGCCAACGGTAAGGGCAGAAAAAATGAGCCGCAAATTGTCGATGAGTGTACGCAATCTATATGCTAAACCAATGACTAAAGAATATAAGGACATGTAACGCCCCTGTACGGGCTGTAGTAGAATTTGTGACGTTAGACGCCATTCGTTTGATGCCAAACAGTGAGTCATCATCCAGTCACCAGCGACAATTTTAGCGATTTTTAATAGTTTGTTGTGTGTAGTGAACTTTGTATAAACTTTGTTACAATGGTGAATTGTGTAGCTTTCAAGTGTAAAAGCCACAGCGACAAGAAAGAGCCAGGAGTTACGTTTCATACGTAAATAAACAGTCCACTCCAACTTTTTAGCGTTTTCTTATTGAATTCGATAATTATTCTTCAATTTCAATTAACATCTGTATGTACTTGATATGTGCTATACGTCGATACTAGTTTTGTATCTTTTGTTAACATTTTAGTACGTTTTTTTCGTAATTAGTTAGGATGATACACCATAGGCGTAGTCAAAACAATTATCAAAAAATATAAATATTGCTTCAAACAGCTAGGTTAAGAAAAATATGTGCCACGGCACTGTTTGATGCCAGCGTCACAATTTGCTGTCGGGTGTTATTTGTCCTTGGATTCTTTAGTCATTGTGCTAAACAGTCATTATTATTTATCGTCTGCATGGTATTAGTCGTGCATCGGTGCAAAATATGGTCTATACCCAGCCAGTCCGACCCACTTCTTGTCCGGCCGAGAAGGAATGCTAATGCCATCGGAACCCTTTTGAATTTTAATTGGGTGCGATGGGTCGGTCTCGTTCGTGGGGTAGGCGCTTGGAGAGGAGCTTTGACAGCGAACTAATGAGAGTCCGATAACGCGCTTGTTCTAATTTATATTTTAGTTTTGTTCGGAGGTTAAATTATCGAACTAATTATTAGAGAAGATAGAATAACGAGTTCTTGTTAAAAATAACTAATTGTAGGATCGATCTTATAACCTGTCATTGTAAATTTAGACAGCGGAGTCGTTGTTTTGCTACGGGACAATTTACATAACGCTTAGAGCAAGTGTCGATGTGAATTATATTCACATATTTGTAATACCAGGGAACAACGAAATTAATAGGTATAGTAATAGCCTTGTATAAACAAGGGTAATAGCACAGAATATCTAGCTACGCATCTTGCGTAGCTAGATATTCTGTGGTAATAGGTTCTGCCAATCTGAAGAAGAAACGACAGAACACATTTTATGTCGGTGTGACAGCCTGGCAAAAAACACCATTTTCTTGAAAGTTCATTGACCTTTGGAGTGGAAAAACTGGTTTTCAAGGTTAAGATCTGTGGTTAAGATTTTCTTATAAATGGATAAGTTTAATATAGAATATAACAAGAATAAAACTTGAGTACGTGTGGTACAGAGATATAGAGAGACGACATAGGTATGATTTTGTGTATACTATTTTTTCTATTTATTTATTATTTTGTTTTGTGTTTGCAATTTTGTAGAAATGCATTTACTTCAAAGACTCTATGAATTCTTCTGGAATCGACAACATCCAGAAGAAACGGTAGAAAGAAGAATGGATATTATGGAGCAGCGAGATATTAATAACGCAGAAGGAATGGCTCCTGAGGATGTTGAAGACTCAAACGACTCCGGGTGTGAAGACAATGATATTTCTGATTCCCATATATCGGTTAGGGCAAACTATATTGGTATATCGGAATATCAACAAGCCTTAGAATCCGGAGTGTTTTGTGTCTTCAAACATTATGTGCGAGTGACGATGAGCACTATCGTGAGTGGTAGTTTTCGTGAAGTGCCATTGTGTGGAGAGTGCTATTATCGACATCAGTTGAGGGTTCCGTACGGTTCCCATCAACATATGTCCTCGCACTTCACAACAAAACTATTACCACAAGACATTAATAAAATGACACTTAATGGTAAATGTGGGGTGTGCAACTGTAATTTATATATTATAATGCATCCTATATGTTGCTATATTTGCAATGGGAAGAATTTTTCAAAGGAAATGTAGTAATATATAGGATGCATTATTTTATTTATTTTTAGTATGTAAAAATTTTGTTTAAATGATATATATATTTTAGTTTAGTGATAGGTTAGGTTAAGTTATTTATATTGTAATTTTATTTAGTAGGTATATTTAGTATTTAGTTAAACATTTGTAATAAGTAATTTTTTTATTATTAATTAATATGTGGTAATTTAAAAGTGAATATGTTAATACTTTACAAACAGTTACAAATTAACTGTTTGTCTTATATGCATTACAAAAAATTTCATACAGAAACAAATTTATAAGTAGATAGTTCAGGGTATGTAGGTATATTCAAAGACTATTTTGGTTTTATAAACAATGTTTTAATTTATATAAACAACATTTTAACTTACACTTTTGTTAAACTTAATAAATTAAAATATACTTTATTCAGAATATATTTTGAATAAAAATATAAGCAGCATTTTCTTTTTTAGAAATTAAATCCTCTTTTTAATGTGATTGTAAAATGGTGTCTAATTACATGTTCTTGAATCTGCACCGAATATGTATAACTTGAACAACACAATGGACATTTCATCCTTAAAAAAGGTGTCTTCAATGTTACTTATGTTCAAACTAAATATGATCTGACTTGTAAGAAGAATGAAAATAATATAGTGGGGACAAAAGGGAGTGGGGACACAAGGGAGTGGGGAGATATAAGTGTATCTGAGCGGTATTGGAAGGGGAGGAGGAGGAGGGTCTTTCATATATTACCTACTGGTGTATCTGTATCTTCTGATCTAGAATCGGCCTATTCTCTCTACTCGAGAACACTTTAAGAACAGTTTTTTAAAACAGATACGTCTACAAAAACCGTTGACGTTCTGTTAAAATGACATTATATCAAGTTAAACTTCAAAATTAACAATTACTACCTGATAACAATTACTTAATAAGGTAAAACCAAAAAACACCGAACTTTCTGCATGATTATTTTTAATTTTTACGTATGTTATGTTTATTTATGTTATGTTCTTTAAAATCAAAGAAGCGATTGCCATACATTACTAACAACTACAGATGCATGAGCAGTACATTTATTTTTATTAGATTGTATTAAAAAAGCCTCTTTTATTTTTCTTTTAGAGGTTATCTTATAATTTTGGCGTTATTAAAATTTATTCTGTGCCCTGTGTCCCATGAATGCTAACAAATCTTAGATTTCTGAAAATCTCCCTTTCTTAAATAATCTTAATGTTCTTTAATTAGATGTTTATAGATGTTTCACCAATGTAAAATTTATCGCATTGCTCTTTTTTTTCTCTTATATCATTTCAATCATTTTTGTATGAAGTATTCCTGTTATATAATTTATAAATAAACCAGTAGCAGGGAGTTTTGAGGTATTCAGGGTATAGTTAAAGACAAAACCAATCAAGTTTTTTTAAAAAAAATAACTATAATAGAAAAAACAAACAAACATTTAATGCTTATTGGTAGAGAAATTATATGCAGTATTTTCTTATTAGAATATACACAATACAAAAAATACAATAAACACATTAAATATAAGAACGCCATCCTACGTACATTCTTCCTAGTAAATTCTGATCAGTAGCGTGATCTATGAGGACATTCACTTGCTCTTCTACAGTAAATGTACGATCTAGACTCAGTCTGAAATGTAAAACAATACAGGGTGAGCCTTAAATAAGTGCAAATAGTTCTAGACGCAGTATATTTCGACGTTAGAAACACGCCTGTGATTTTTTTTCACGAAAAAAATTGATTATGTGGAATTTTTTTTTAGTTTTAAGTTAAAAGGCATAGTAGATAATATGGCAACACAGGTAGTAGATTAAATTTACAAGAAAGAAAACCCAGAAAAGATCCAGTGGATCTCAAAATTTAAGCAAACAATTATTTTAAATTTCAAAGTAAAATAAAACGGGATCACCAAAAGGAAAAACAAATAAAAATATCTAGACTCTACTCGGCACGAAATTCAATAAATACAGTTCTTCGAAACGCTTATCTCAACGTCGGACAAAAAGCTAAACAAACGTAAATAGAAAAAGAATTTGTAAAATAAACAACGACTTCAAGGTCGATACGTAGGGGTAGTTTTAACCACCGCGTCGCGTCGAGACGTACTTCCACAGATTAGGTATCCTATAAGTATACAGATAAAAATCTTGTCCCTAATTCGTGGTACGAATATTGTTTTTTATGACGATGTGCAAACGAGTAAAATTTCCTGTGCGCAAAAATAAACTCGCGTAAAATAACAATAAACAGCGTAATAGAGAGATATCGCTAAACAGAATAGCGTGCATGGACGTTAATAAGGCCAGGTGTTATTTCCTTTACGTGAGGTGCTATTAACTCTCTTCATTTATAGTTATCGGATCGGAAAGAATTTTGTTCGCGTCGCGTCCGCTATTTAAACTTAACCTAACTTTGAATTTAAAACTTTGAAATTGTTTTGTTTACTAGGTATTTTAAAACTAAAGGGCTAAAGTGCTTATTTCCAGTGCTTTATTGTTCAACGTCTGCCAGTGGGTTTAGGGCAACAAACAACAAATTCTCTTAGAAGGGCTAAGTCGTCATCTGGTAGGTCGTCACCAAACCAAACCAAATCGATATTTTGGGCCATATTTATTTAATTAAAACTAATCCCAGCTACTTAAATATCAAATTACCTAATAAAACTAAAGTAATAATTCAAAACAATTCAAACATAACCTAAAATAAAAGATCTCGCCGGCCGGCCCCGGTTGTCAAATACCCGCACATGCCCATTTAAGCAATTTTTAAACGTTATTTAGAAATAGCGCTTGGTGTAATTGATCCGGAAATTACGTCAGGCGGTAACGTTATTAGCGGGTGTTGCATTAAAAATTGACTCGCGCATATCGTAACCATGATAAGGTACGCGTAAATACTGCATGACGCTATTCGGTTTTCCGATATCTCTCTAATAATCGTGCCGGTCAGGCGATGTGCATAATTTTACAGATCATAAGTGGGCGTGCTATGTGCGCAAACTAGTAACCTATCTAGTGCCCGATTCCGAAAATTGGAACCACGAAAAACAATAAAGAAAAAACAAAGTTTATAATCTGACGTGGTACTTCTTGCTCTTTTTTTAATAGAAGACTTTATAACTATACAGGGATGTTTCAAAACCTGTGCCATCTCTCGAGGGGAGATTCATCACGTAAAAATATGATTTATTTTTTATATCAACATACCCAAGTAGCATTTTTGGACACATTTTAGGTGTAAATTAATGTTTCTAATAATCGTGTCTGTTTCTTGACTCAAAATGGAAACGGTATGCCACAAATAGGAAACATTATCGAAACCTATATTTCCTGAAATGTTTTGATGCGGAATCAAACCTTTTAGAGGAAATGTTTCGAAACATTTTCTGCAATTTGTGTTCAAGATGTTCTCGTTTTCAGTCAGCCATAGTTTCTAAATGCGAAGAAACAAAATACCAAACTAAAATAGTCTATGTCTGTGTGTGGATTTCAAAATGAGAATAACCATCAACAATGTCGATCCCCGACATAATTTTTTTGTCTTAAAATCTTTGTTTTTAGGTTGTCTCGCATAAAAAATGTCTGGCAAAAACAAATTCAGCGTTTAATTTAACCCTCAACTGGCGTGGTGAATTTTTGTAACGCTTATAGCGTGCTGGGGTCCGACGGACCCCAATTTTTTTTCAGTTTAAAATACATGATGAAGAGATTTTATAAAAAGCTTGTTATTTTAACACTGTTTACAATATATTCAAACTTGTGAACAAACAATTTCATTAATTTTTAACAAATTAATAAGAACGGACACAAAAATAAAGTAAAACGCATTTTTTAAGAATTTTTGACAACAGAAATATAACTTGGCTAAGAAACCCATAAAAATTAAAAACATATACAGGGTCCGGCAATAGTGCGTCGGGCATCTGTAGCTCCTAGAATAAAAAACTTGAGAATTTTGTTTAAGTGCGAACCTAAAGTATGTGCCAGGATGTATTTCAAGAAAATATTTTAACTTCTATAGGGTGGCTCAAAAAAGTGTGAGTGGACCTTGATGATTTTTTTTAATGGAACACCCTGTATATTATTGCATTTTTGGCTTCCTTTCAGATCACTTTACATAACCTTAAGATATGAATAAATATATTTTGATAGTTTCAGAGATATTAAAAATAAATCAAAAATATATATTTTTCAGCCCTTCTTAAAAAAATTATTAAAAATACAAGAACTGTCCTGAAATCAAAACTATATAAGGTATTTACCTTAGATGGTCTGTACTTACTTTGCTATAAATATGAAAATCGTAAATTATACAGAATGTTCAAAATTCTGCGCCAAACTTTCTAAAATATAAAATAATTTTACCTCGTTTTTTTAAATGGAACAACCTGTATATTATTTTTTCAATAGACGGAGAATTAAAAAATGAACATTTTTTGTATTTAGAGTATTTCAAAATTTTTAACGGTTTCGCAGATATTTGCGGTTTTATATTTCATATGGAATTTTCCACAGTACATTTTTATCAAAGCCACCCAATGATTTTTCTCTCGTATTTTACCATTGAAAGCGCCATATGAAATAATACTGCGCGTATCTGCGAAACCGTTCAAAATTTTGAAATACTCTAAATACAAAAAATGTTCATTTTTTAACTCTCCATCTAATAAAAAAATAATATACAGGGTGTTCCATTTAAAATAACAAAGAAAAATTATTTTATATTTTAGAAAGTTTGGCGTAGAATATTGAACATTCTGCATGATATACGATTAACATATTTATAACAAACTAAGAACAGACTATCTAAAGTAAATACCTAATATAGTTTTGATTTCAGAACAGTTCTTGTATTTTTAATAATTTTTTTAAGAAGGGCTGAAAAATATATATTTTTTATTTATTTTTTAATATCTCTGAAACTATCGAAATATATTTATTCATATCTTAGGGTTATGTAAAGTGATCTGAAAGGAAGCCAAAAATGCAATTATATACAGGGTGTTCCATTTAAAAAAAATCATCCAGGTCCACTCACACTTTTTTGAGCCAAAAAATTGTCAATACTCCATGGGTATATTGATAAATGAGGTCTAAATTATAAGAAATTGCAGTTTCTACGAAAACTTGAAGGGATAGGTAAAAAATGGTATAATACAATTTGATAGACAATTAAATTGTGCATCTGATTCTCCTAAAATATACAGGGTGTTCTATTTAAATTAAAGAAGTTATTGGCGTTTAAAGCTAGAAATTATTTAAAATAATTTTTTAGACACTATCTGTATGAGGTAGTATTATTTTTATTATTGCAACACAATAACTGATCAATAAATAAACTTCAGTAAATAATTAGTATTAAAAACTTTGATACCCTTGGTGAAATGAAGCCTTATAATTTTTACTGCAATTTCACAAAATTGAAAATATTTCAAAAATGGTAAGGTTTAAGTGTAATAAACCTTAATCAAATTTACCTTTATTTTATTCGTAGAAACTAAAAATGTAATAATATACAGGGTGTTCCATTTAAAAAAATACAACTTTGATGTTTTTTATTTATTTTGGACACTGTATCTTGTAAAAATATTTTTTTAATTGTAGCTCTAATAGTCCTTCAACGAACCCAAAACTTACAATTTGTAAATATCTAATCGTTTAGCTACCATACTCCGTGTCGTATGTGGTGAACAACCCTGTATATCATTATTTTTTGCTACCAAATATTTTTGTTTGAAATATAGATTTTTATTTTTATTTTATTCTATATCACGGTTTCGAAAATATAAATATATAAATTAATGCAAGTAGAACGCGTTCTTACGAGTTTAAAAGCACAACAGCCGATAAAAACATATATTTTTATAAACAAATTTTATAAAACTGACATGGAGTCGGACACAAATCATCTGCATTATATCATATTTGTGTCTAAAAAGAGCAACTCGTGTTTCGAAAATGAATCGACAATAAATGGAAACCTTGTTACCAAAATGTTTAGATTTAGCGCTATCGGTGTAAGTAAGGTTATGTTCTAATATTTGACAGAATATCAAATAAATTATGGAAACTTTTCAGGCACAAAACGGGTACGAAACCTTGTAAATGTGAGCTACATCTGTTTCTTAAAAGTTTCGAAAAATTTGTGACACTAAGATCTTTATTGTTATATCTTTCGTAGCGAAACAATATTTTGGCAAAATGTTTCGAAACAAAAAGCGATTTATGTTCCGAAATGTATCAAAAATGTGACGAAACTGTTTCGTAACGTTTCTCAGCAGAGATTTTGTTTCGATTTTGTGTCTAAAAATGCTACTTGGGAGTGTATGCGCATCGTAATCTTACCTAGAATCGCCTTCGACATAACTGATATATTTTTCAAAATATTCCGGTTTCAGCTTTCTGTAAGGAGAGGCTCTCAAATCTTCGATCAAAATTGCTCGAGAGTGAGCCCCATTCAGTTTTTTCTCGGCTTGAATGATTTTTTGGAGAGGATACCATTCCGCATTATTACTCTGCGCTATTTCAGTGCTAGGAGAATAAACAATATTAATTTAAATGAAAAAGAAACAACCTAAATATAAAGTATAATCAATTATTTCATTAGAAGTGTTGTCATTATTCAAATAAAAATAAACCAAGAAAATAGTTTTAAGATCGGTATAGATATGGGCAAAACTATCGACATATTTTGAAACATATTGATGTTTTGATATATCGATATCGATATGATAATTTATAAAATATGATAGTTCCCGTCGATTTAAAGCTGTTTACTTACAGTTTTGAGTTCTCTAACCAGTCCAGTGTCGGTTCCTGAATAAAGACGTTCATCGTAGCCAATAGAGGGTCTCTATTTTGTTTTAACGATTTCAAAGTGTCGATAAAAACATCCCTAAACATGCCCTTCTCTTTTAATAAAAACTGTGACACGAGAATTTTATATATTAGATGTATATCATTATTCACTTAAAAATTTCTAAATCCGCTCCTGGCGTGACCCCCACCAAAGGAACCCAGATCGGAAAAACAGGCAGCCTTCGCGCATTATAAAATAGAGCATTTGTTACCTCTTTCTCTTCTAACCTCTTTGGTTAAACCCAAACGGAAACTACTTGTCAGAAGTTATGTTTACTGTTATACAAATTTGCCTAACAAAGAAAAAAATGCTTAACGTTTCGGAAAGTCTATCTCTTTCCGTCGTCGGAAGGAAAAAAATGCAAAGAATAAAGAAAAAAAAATATTTAAAACATTTAAATGCAACTATTATTCGAGAACACTTTATTTTATTTTTTAACAGATACGTCTATAAAAACCGTTGACGTTCTGTTAACAACATTGATGTTCTGTCATTTTAAAGAGATAGGACTTTCCGAAACGTTAAGAGTCTATTAAGGTACCCACACACATTCCGGAAATCCTCAAAGGAAAAACTGCACAGGCCTGGCCTTAAGGAATACCGGAGCGTGTGTGTAGAACGTCGCATTCTTTCTTGGACTGTACAGGCCGCCGTAATAAAAATTGAAAAACAGATAGGAAATCCCGTGCAGACCGGAACTGCACAGGCCGACCGGAGCGTGTGTGGCGATCTGACCGTTGGAAAGCTTTTTAGATATCAATATTTGACACTAGCAGCATTGTGCCAGCCAATATGTGTTAATCCAATATGTCTCGCGAATTTCTAGAAGAGTTCATAGCTATTTATAATGAATGAGGAGTTCTACCATAGCTAGAAGATTCAAATATGTATCTTCATCCCTCCTCAGATAATTGTGCCAATCTTTTGGGCAAATTTTCAATTCTGAAAGATTTATCTGGGAAAAATGTTCCCTTCTTTTTAGCCATTCTTTGCACCATAATTTTCTATTAATATGCTTTTTTATACTATTTTCGTGGCGTTTTAGGACTAATACAAGACCGAGAACAGCAAGACAATCGTCTGATGTCGCCATATTGATACTATACGAACTGAACTGAACTGAAGGATTTCCTCCGCGTGTATGGAGGCGGGTGTACAGGCCAATTACAATCCTTGAGGCCAGGCCTGTGCAGTTTTTCCTTTGAGGATTTCCGGAATGTGTGTGGGTACCTTTACGCTGTACTTTCGGCACAAATTACCTATAACAGATCCGAAAGAACACCGAATTACGCGTTCAGGTTTCTGTGACCTTCAGAAAGAGTTCATAGACAATCTGCATCAATGTATAGTTTGGGTGAAAATAATCTACACCAATATGTTATCGAGGCATACAAAAAGGTCCACAGACTTCGAGACATACGAAAAATCAGGTCCATTTAGCGTGTGTCGCAATTTTCACACCTTAAAAAATTAGTTTTTTATAGCTATAGAAACTGCAGTGACTATAAAAAAAGCTGTGTGATTTTCATAGAAAATAAGGGCACCTGTAATTCATTTGAGAATGTTATAAATCGCTAAAAGAGGTTTCAAATCTCTTGGATTTCTATTAATATTAAATAAATTTTATTAAAAATTGAACTAAAATTGTTAGTATCATTAAAAACAATTCAAATTCAAAAATTGTATCAGTCAAATTCCCTCATTTAAGGTAAATATAAAGTAAATATAAATACAGCTCATTCTAAGCTCTACTTATCTTTAAGAAAAATTTAAATCATTGTTGCAATTGGGCCTTAATGCCATTTCGAATGAACAATAGTATTAATAATGTACATTATAATAATAATAAATTTTATATCATAGTGTGTATTAAAACTACTAAAACACTTTTAAATTGGTATTATATTAACAACTTTTGTTTTTTAATCCAAAAAAAAGTTACCAATTTTCTCAATCAAAATATTTGTGGTCCTGAAAAGGACCTTCGTTTTCCCATGTTCGTCAAGGTAGGTAATGGGTAAACGGTAAAAAAACAGGATAATGAAATTTAAAAAATTACAAAAATTGTTCAAAAGTGCCTCCCTCTTGCATTAAACAATAACCCAAACGATCATAAAATCCCCTCCTCACATTGGATAACATATCAGGGGTGACAGTGTCAAAGGCATTAAATATTTTCTGCCTTAACTGCTCCAAGTTTTGAATTTCTTCATGGCCGTAAATTTTAGATTTTATGTACCCCCATAAAAAGAAATCATTCACCGAGAAGTCAGGTGAAATTAAACGTCAGTCTAAACAAAACTGTCATTTTTGAAAACTTGTCAAAATTTGGACACACGCTAAATGGACTTGATTTTCCTATGTCTCGAAGTCTGTGGATTTTTCTGTATAATCTCACAGTAATTTAATAGATTGCTCGTCATATTATATCAGCTCGTAGGAGATTAGGCAAAAAAAAAAGATATTTATAGTATAAAAAATTAATTTATTTAACAAAATTTAATTAAAGATGTGACAAAATAGTTACATTTCTATTGGTTCTATCGGACTTTTTTCGACTATATAAATCTTTATTTTTATTTTAAAATATTTTCAATCTAATAAATAATTTAATGATGTAAATTTCTCACATAAGAGGAAATTTCTCACATGGGTGGTCAAATTCTATAGTTTTCATTATGTCACACAGCCTCTGAATGTTTTCTTCAGTGCAAAACTCATCAAAATTTAATATAAATAATTTTTCCAGCCTGTAAATAAAATGAACAAATTTTTCCACTTTCATGATCAAAGGCTTTTAAATGGGTAAATAATTTCGAGTTATCTAGAGATTCGGATTCTTTTGCAAATTTTAGACAAATATCACATTGATGTATTTGAAGACCCTTTTTAATGACGTAGTCAAACATAATTAAAGGCATTTTGAGTTGAAAACATTTCTCAGAGGCTGTTTGATATAATGAAAACTATAAAATTTGACCACCCATGTGAGAAATTCCCTCTTATTTACATCATTAAATGATTTATTAGATTGAAAATATTTGATGTATTAATGTTTACAAATAAAGATTTATATAGTCGAAAAAAGTCCGATAGAACCAATAGAAAGGTAACTATTTTGTCACATTTTTAATTAAATTTTGTTAAATAAATTAATTTTTTATACTATAAATATCTTTTTTTCCTTATAAATAAACACATTTGCATCCCATTTTAAATAAGATATACAAATTACCAAAACTTAGAAATAACAGTTCAAAAGTTCAACAAAAATCCTACACGCGTTTTTAAAAAGAAACATATAACCACGCACTATGTCATTCCAGCAAGCGAATACCACACAGCATAGGTTTCCGGACTAAACGACTGGTGTATTTACACCACTCAATAGGCGTGTCGGGTTTGCCGAGCGGTTTCCGATGCAGTCGCTTTCTTTCGCATCTGTTATAGGTAATTTGTGCTTTCGGGTCGCTCTCAGGGGTCGGGTAAAGCGAGTGTGTGGCCGAAAAAAAATACATATTATATTTCAGAAATCTGCCTAATGCTTAACCCGATCCTGTCGTGTTAAGTCACACCTAAAATTCCAAACACACGTGCTTTGATTAAGGCTTGATTAAGGTTTGCAGAGCTTCAGCATTTGCCATAAAATACCGAGAAATTTGTTACAAAACCATATAAATTATATATCACTGTAATCACAAAACTTCAATCTATTTCCGTATTGTAACGGAATTTTAAATTCTGTCTTTATTTTCGAGAAAATTTAGTCCAAACTTAAGGAATATTTTGTTGATGTTTGACCATCAAAATCTTAAAAATAAAGAAGTTACTATCTAAAAATGTGCTGTAATACGGATATAGTATAATCCTTTACCTTAATTTTCTTCTCTTCATTTATGTAAAAATACTAGCTAGTTTTACATAAAACGTTTAATGCCAAACGCTAATTAGTGAAATGGACTCTTAAGCATTTTTTTTTGTTCGTTTGGTAAATTTGTTTATCTGTAAACCTAACTGCTAAGTAGCTTCCGTTGGATTAACGCAGCAGTGTTTACAAATAACTATTTTATTTAGTAGATTTTCTTGCAGTGGCGAAATACCCATAAAGGATTTTTTGGAGAAATCTAATAATAATAATACTTTATTTATTGAAGAGATAAAAACCATAGTTACAAAGTTAGCAAAATAAACAGGGTGTTCTGGTTGAAATAGCAAAGAATACCGTCTACAGAACTCCCGACAGTTGTCTCGATAGTTGTAGGTGCCAGGTAAAACTTTATTACGCCACCCTAAACTTTCTAAACATTTTATGGGCCAATCCGTTTTAAACCCATGTTAATTATTCCCCGAAAAACCTACCTGAAGGGTACCAGTTCCGGCGCAGGTAGAATTTGGGTAGCGGTACCGAAGGCGAGGCCAAAGTCTATTCCCAGTACCATACCGTTCTTCATGTTGATGTGGACGTTCTCTAAATGCCGATCTCCGATGCCCAGTATCCAGTTGCAAGCGCTCATAACCGCGTAACTTTTGATGAAATTGTTGCGAAAAGCTATGTAGTTCTCGCTGGTCAAACACAACGACCATATCGAAGATCTAGAATATATGCTTTGCTATGGTCAAGTCATGAAATACTATTATTCTACATTTAAAGTCTTGTTGTTTATTTTATAGTTTTCCTGCAAAGTGTACAAATCTGGAACGACATTGTGCCAGGACTTGAATTACAGTGAGATCATTACGAATCTTTAAAATTTGATACTTGAATAGTGTTAGATTGTTTCCAGATTGAAAATTAACAATTTTCCATTTAGTATTAGTAAGTAATTTTATAATACGGTAATCGCACAACAATTTCCGATGCACGTGATCAACTTTGAGTGAAAAGCGATGGCGACAGCGCTGCCAGATTGTGATGGATTTATGGGATGAATCTTAATGTAAAATTGGGAAACAGTATATTTGTTATGTCATTTTTTTATGGTTTTTATGTTTTATTTTTAATTTAATAATTAATATTTTAGTATTTAATTGATTTATTGGTTTTATAGCTTATTTTACTTATTACATATTGGCAAAAACTGGCCCATTATGAAGATTATTCTATGCGTTATTATGCGATATTTATATATTTATTGATGTACAACATACAACAAGACAAGGGGTAATAACAAATAAGAGGGTGACATTAATGCACAAACTAATAATCAATTTACTAAAAACTAACGTAGAAATAACTTTGAAAGCGATATAATGTGCTTATCAATCAAACTTACTTCTCTGACTGCAATCAAGGGTAATAAAGCACTTTTACTGTTACGTTCTTGTTCAAAATAGTTTATCAGGGAAGTTACAAGCCCTTTGTAACTTCGACTGTTTAAATGCTTTGGCATATTTTCAACAGGGTTGTAAAGTAGTTTATGAAGCAAAAAACTACGCCAAAAACTACGCGTAGTTTTTTGTATTAACTACGTTTTAAAATTTTAAAAACTACCTTCAAAAACTACATAAAAACTACCTACAAAAATATAGTAAAACATAAACAAGTTAGATTTTAAACAAAAATCAAGCCAAATTCTTATCTTGGAAGTATGAAGTTATACCGTATGACGAATAAAAACGGCGTCAACGATGGCTATGAAATGAAGATCGCTGTCATTTTATATGTAAAATTATATGGGAAATGTCATCGATCGTCATTTCCTAGCCAAGTGGACGCCGTTTTTTTCTTCGATCATACGGTATTATATTTGTATGTTAAACAACATCAGAAAAAAAAAATCAATAAAAGTGTATTTTCTATGAAATACAGAGTAACTATTAAACACAAAATAAACTATAAATTCTAATTTTTAACTACTAAGTATCAAAAATATCACATAATAAGGAAGAAATTCACAAAATATAGATTTTTTATTTCTTAAATTGATCAACAAACAAAGTTTTTAGGTTATGTTTTCACTGTTATTTTAAAAAACTACATTAGTTACATAAACTACACATTTACTACTCGACATTTAATAACTACTTGTGACATGTAGTAAATTTAGTTTATTAATTACTACGTGTAGTTTAACAACTCTGATTTTCAACACACAATTTCTAGAAACGCAATACAAAAACTCGAAAATTTAAAAATTTTAAATTACAATTTTTAAAAAAATACTATGAAAATAGGCAAAAAACGAGAATTACTCAGAAAGATTCAACATCAGGATATTATACAAAATACTGACTGACATTATGACAATTGTCAAATAATAAACGACAACGTTGCTGAATACGGCGCAATGTGACCAACATAGCGATAATAAAATTCGGTTTAAACTAAATTTTGCAGCTTTAATCTAAATAAAATATCTGTTACAATCATTTGCTCTATAAAGCAAAATACAGAGCTGCTCAGTATCTTAAATTATACAACAAATTTAAACGTCTTTGCTAAAATTTCATTTAGTCAGGCTTATAGGCTTTAGTGTCAATTTCGATATGATTGATGACGTACAATCGGAAAATGTTTTGCGATTACCGTATGTACTAAGGGGTGGCAAAGGTTAGTCTTGGGTCGAGATTTCCGTATGTAAGAAGAGTACAATGCGTTTATAATGTACTGAACAAAGAGAGAACAGTAAACACGTTGCCAAACGTATGAAATAAATCGAGAAACTGTGCACATTGCTAAGAGACGTGGAAGGGGATATAGCAGATTTGTCGCAGTTGACCGGTCAACCCAATCAGTCTCTGTCAGTACTTAAAGTTCTAGGGAAAGGTGTACATCATGCGTTCAGCTTCACGATTTAATTACGTCTCGTGATCCTTTATTTGTTTATTTATTACGAGTCGTTGTAATTTTCCCTATAGCTTGAAAATTTTTAAGTGCAAGCTAGAAATACATACTTGCATTTTTGGTAAAAATAAGTGGAATTGAGTTGGTTTTCGACAGTGGTCGGGCTATTAGAACTCTGAATTCAAAAATCGAGATCTCGAAAGCTATTAGAAATAATTAATTGTAGTTTTTTCAAAAACTTTCTTAATATTTCTGCTGTATTTTCTTCGTAAACAGTAAGTGAAAATCTTAATCAATAAAAAATTTACTATGCTAATTGCTATGCTCTAAAAGTAAATAGACGGGTTGCTTACAATTTTTGAAAGGAAAAAACAACCTTATCGATTTTTTCTTATGTAAACATATTGTAGAATAAAAGATCCTATCTTCAAAATAAAAAAAACGTTTTAATATCGAAAGTGTTTCTTCAGTTATGGCGTGTTATGTGTTAAAAAGTTTGACGTTTTCTCGTTATACAAAAAATTACACCTTAAACATATCCTTATAATTCCATTTCAGATGCTCAGAAACATTTCTAATGATTTTATCTAGTTATCTTTTCGAAAAAAAAAGTCTTTTAAAAATAAGCGGTTTGCGATCGTGATTTTACTTTCCTCGATAGGGAAAGGCGTACCGACAACGCCGCAATAGCACGTCGAATTTCTCTCACTCCGACTTAGTAAGATCCATATGCGATTTACTTCCACACATGTAAATACCGACCCAAGAGTTACAGTTGCCAGCACGGTATATGTTTCCAGTAGTAAAGCAACCAATTATGAAATTCGTTTATACTAAGTACGTTACTATTCTTGTATTGTTACATTTATTTACTACTTGTGAAAAGTAATTAGGATACAATCCTTCCACTTATAATGAGTATAATATGGAGGAAAACAAACTATACGTACCTTAAAATATCCAAGGGAATCTGATTAACCATTCGTTGGTAAAACTTAACTACGTCGTCTTTGGTACGTTTTAAGGCCGTGGCACCATACACGTCAATGTCGCTTGGTTTCCTCTCAAAAAAATGCACATAGGAATTGGCGCTAGTCTTCCAACTATCCGTCCGTTTTTTATTGTTCAGCGATTTTTTTATGAAACCCTCTATAGAAATTATGTTCTCCACCCACTGGATTATGCCCAAACTTGAGGTCAATGGTATTACCTGTAAAAACCAAAGTAAAGTATCCTAACAAATAGATACCTACCAATAATTGTACAAAAAATATTAAGACATAATAGCAAACAATGTAGAAAACTAGAAAAGTAGCCACAATGATATAAAAACTTTTTAAAAAGCTTTTCATCAGCGAATCTTAGACGGTTAAGACTTTAAGACACCTTGTATAAGAAGATTTATATACAAAATGCATAATGAATCATATATAAACAAACACCGGTCATATAAAAATGGACAACCGTCATATACTTTGAATAAGAAGACTAAGGAAGGAGCATAATGCTATCCATGTATTCATGCATGGTGGGCGGAAAAGCCACCATAAAAGCTCTCTAGGGTGGGGATCCTTGACAGTTCTGTTTGACGATTCATTTGACACATTTGAATTTGATTTGAAATTTTGTGGATTTGTCAGTCTTTACGGAGCTTATTTTATGTTATTTATTATTTATTCTACTACTGATAGTTGTATAAAGGTAGTAAATCTAGATGGAAATTGTGTGGCAGAACTTAAATTAACAGTGACACTATCGCGATTTATCGAAAAAGACTCTAAAATAGTTGGTTGTGTAGCGTGCGGTAGATCTCGGCAAAAATTGAGTGAAATAATGGAACAACTTTTCGCTAGCAAGTGACTATATAATATACATACGTGTAGTAAACCGATCATTTATGAAATTCACTTAAAATTAACTAAATTATATATTTTTCTTGCATTTTAGCTTTTATTTATTACTTGTCAAAGATTAGATGTCAAAGAATTTAGATACGTTAATTTGACTTACCTGCTTCAGTAGCGTATCGGATGTTTGTGTTAATAAATACTTATTATAACTTATCTATTTTTATTAGAATTATATATTTTTATAACAATTTTAATAACTACCAACATTTATTCACAATGTAAAATAAAACAACAAATTATTGAGTCTACCCCACGTCTACCCAACATCATAGTTTTACATTTTTTAAATAAAATTAGAACGACACTGATAAACCGGAATTTAAGTCGGCCATATTTGAGGCCCATCGCGGTGTACCTAAGATTTTTGATAAGGAGCATATCTTAGTCTTCTTATTCAAAGGTCATATATGAGGGTTGTCCGTTTATATATGTCAAGTGTCTGTTTATATATGACGGTTATCTATGTATATATGACCGTTGTTTATTCAGGGTGGTCCGAACTGAATTCCGGAAACTTCGGTAGCATATTCTACAGATAAAAATAAGTAAAAAAGTTCGTATAAATGTGTGTCCTAAAATCCTTAGTTTCGGAGAGAGTGTGTAGAAAACGCCGTAAATGTATATTTTTTACTCAGTAGTTTTATACAGGTATGGACAAAAAGTTATTACTCTTCAAATCAGTTAAAAAATTGGAGGTGGCGCCCTCTACAAGTAGGAGTTATATTGACATCAAAATCAAATTTCTCATGTCAAAAAACTCCCAGACACCAATTTTCACCCAAATATTGACGTTACTTATTATATATGTTATTACTGACATATAAATAACTACCGTCATATATACGCACTTGCTTACTTGGTATGTTAATAGCTGATGAGTCTTATTTGCGGTAGCAAAAATATTGTTCATTAAGACAAATAACTGTTCTATTCGCTGATCTTGTCTGATATCTTCGCCAGCTTTTACTAAAAACGGGTACTCTTTGCTGTTCATCCCCAGCATCGTAATCTTAATAGGTTTGGTTTTCGAGCTCATTACTGCTACCTAATAAAAATGACATAACATTAAACATAAATAAGTCAATTGTGAGTGCAACTCGGTATATTTTATTTTTGTTTGAGCCCACGTCCAAGTCTGTCACTTCCTGAGAGTGACAGTTATTGCTGATTCTGACTATTTAGTGTTGTAAGTTAGCAAATAGTTCTCAACATGCTGTTAATAAGGCTGTATTCCATTGCAAAACCAGGCGAACCATATCGGTAAACTACGGTAAAGAGCGGTTCCTGAAAAACATCGGTTTGCTACGGAACGGTTTGGTAAAATACTGGAAACGTCAAATGTTGACGTTTTCTAAATTTCAATACCTCTATTATAAAATTTATCTTTTATGCATTTTTAATGTACCTGTTCTCTGCTTTTACGTTTGCTTCTTCTTTTCAATGGAGTTTAATATTGAAAAGTACTTTATTAATAAAAAGATTTGCAGGTCCAATATTAAAATAGACCAATAATAAATAAACAAATCTAATCAATATTTATATTTTTATAGCTTACAAAACATTCACCATTACATGTTGTCTTGTTGTTCGTGTTTTCTTTAAATGTTCCTGACTTTAAGAAACAATGGCTGCATGAAGTTTAAATGGTTCTAAAAAGTCATTCTATTTAGTTAATGAAATTTATTTACCTTTACTGCCTACCTCCATTGCTTTTTGATGTAAATACAAAATATTATTACAAATTTTAGAAATTAAATGAGAATTTCACTCAAACTTCCAATATTTGCTTGATTTCTGTCACATAAATGACATTGATTGACAAACAAAATCAGAAAAACCAGCCTTCTCGCGCTGGTTAGTTTGGTGACAGTTATAACCGAATTTTTCAGGAACCGTGTTCCGTAATAAGAAAACTTTCAGGAAACCGATAGAAACGGAACATAAAACCACAACCAAGGTAAGCAACGGAATACACCTTAAAAGTTATTCAAAATGTTAGCTTACTGTCTCGCGAAAACCGGCTATTTTTATGTGATGTTGTACTAATGGCATCTTGTCACCAGTGTACTGTCCTGGAATTTCCAGTTCGAGATTCATTCGGGCTGCCGAGAAATTCGCCAACCACGGACAATAGTCCTTCAAGAGTAATGACACTTTTCCTTGACCGTCGAATGATATTTTTTGCAATATTTCTTTAGCTTGCTTAAGAGTTTGTCTCTCATTAATTTTCTGAAGAGCGTCTATAAATACTTTGGCATTTTTCTTATACATACTTCCTAAAAAGATAAAGTCCTAATTAGGACCACTATATAGTGTAATTTTTTAAAGAGTAACAGATATAGGATCTGTGGATGTCCTACATAGGTAATGCAGAAAAAAGAAGGAGTAACATCACAGATTATATAGATTATAAACTTTGTTTTTCTTTATTGTTTTCGTGGTTCCAATTTTTCGGAATCGGGTACTAGTTAGGTTACTAGTTTGCGCACATAGCACGCCCACTTATGGCCTCTAAAATTGTGCACAGCGCCTGACCGGCACAGTTATTAGAGAGATATCGGAAAACCGAATAGCGTCATGCAGTATTTACGCCTACCTTATGGTTACGATATGCGCGAGTCAATTTTTAACGCAACACCCGCTAATAACGTTACGGCCTGACGTAATTTGCGGATCAATTCTAAATCGCGCTATTTCTAAATAACGTTTAAAGATTGCTTAAATGGGCATGTGCGGGTATTTGACAACCGGGACCGGCCGGCGAGATCTTTTATTTTAGGTTATGTTTGAATTGTTTTGAATTATTACTTTAGTTTTATTAGGTAATTTGATATTTAAGTAGCTGGGATTAGTTTCAATTAAATAAATATGGCCCAAAATATGGATTCCACCTCTTCCAATATTAAAGACCCTATAAAGAGGCTTAGGTTTACAGCAGATGACGACTTAGCCCTTCTAAGAGAATTTGTTGCGTGTTGTCCTAAACCCACGGGCAGACGTTGAACAATAAAAAGATTTACCCTTTAGTTTTAAAATACCTAGTAAACAAAACAATTTCTAAGTTTTAAATTCAAAGTTAGGTTAAGTTTAATTAGCGGACGCGACGCGAACATAATTCTTTCCGATCCGATAACTATAAATGAAGAGAGTTAATACCACCTCACGTAAAGGAAATAACACCTGGCCTTATTAACGTCCAAGCACGCTATTCGGTTTAGCGATATCTCTCTATTACGCTGTTTATTGTTATTTTACGCGAGTTTATTTTTGCGCACAGGAAATTTTACTCGTTTGCACATCGTCATAAAAAACAATTTTCATACCACGAATTAGGGATAAGATTTTTATCTGTATACATATAGTATTCCTAATCTGTGGTAACATTAACTATACTAACCTTGCATATAATCAGAGTCTTTAGAATTGGCTTCAGACGAAAGTTTATATTTTAATAAGTCGTCTCTAATATTAATGATGCTCTCTATATTCGTACATAACTTCATCTTTTTTAAATAATAATTATACACCAAAAAAGGAACACTTACTTTGGACAAAGCTAAAATTTAATTTTTTATAACGTTTTAGTTCTTTAATTCGTATATTTTTTTTTAAAACGTACCTGTCAAAAACTTGTCAATAACCGGGTTATTTAACAAGACATCGTTTAACCGGTTGATAAGCTGCGTGACTTGTTTTTTTAACAGATTATCTGTATTCGTATAATTTTCTTTGCTAAGTCGATAAGAATACATTATGGCTTGAGGGTAAGTCTCTGCTATTCTCAGAACTAGATCCGAGATAGCCGTGACTTTATCAGAATCGACGTTAGCTAGAAAAAAAACCGGTTCAGTACTTCTGAACTACTATATTAAAATCTCAGAGAAATAAGTAAATGTCATATACAGGATTGTTCACCACATACGACACGGAATATTGTAGCTAAACGATTAGATTTTTACAAATTGTAAGTTTTGGGTTCGTTAAAGGACTATTAGAGCTACAATTTAAAAATATTTTTACGAGATACAGAGTGTCCCAAATAAGTTAAAAATATTATAATAGTTTGGTTTGGAATTTTTTAAATGGGACACCCTGTATATTATTCTATTTTTAGATTATACGATTGAAATAAAGGTAAAATTGATTAAGGTTTATCACACTTAAACCTTACCGTTTTTGAAATATTTTCAATTTTGTGAAATTGAAGTAAAAAATTAAGGCTTCGTTTCTCCGAGAGTATCAAAGTTTTTATTACTAAATAGTTATTGAAGATTATTTATCGAGCAGATATTGTGTTGCAATAATAAAAATTATACTACCTCATACAGAGTGTCCAAAAATTTATATTAAATAATTACTACCTTTAAACGGCGATAACTTGTTTAATTTAAATGAAACACCTTGTATATTTTACGAGAATCAGATGCACAATATAAGTGTCTATCAAATTGTATTATACCAGTTTTTACCTATCTCTTCAAGTTTTTTGTAGAAAATGCATTTTCTAACAATTTAGAGCCCATATATCAATATACCCATGGAATATTGACATTTTAGATTTTTTTAAAGCAACATATATATGTACCAATGTACAGGTGGTAAAAATAATAATATTGCAAGCTTATTTGTTTACAAAAAGAAAACTATTTAAATCTTTGTAAAAGAGTATACCAATTAAATATACTACTATTAATAAAAATTAGTTATAAGCATTCGTCAAAAAATTAAATAAAATTTATTAGGTGTTACTTTTTACCACACTGTCTAATACACATACAAAATTCAATTTTTTGGTATTTGGAGCAATTATTATTAATCAACGTAAACAGTCAATTAATGTAGTTTAAATACTGGGATCATATTAATTGATCCTCTTTAACAAATAATATTTAAATTTGTTTTTTATTTTTTTATGAAATAAGCCAATTATATCAATAATATTAGTATCTGTACTCTTTGAAAATTTGTTACAACTTAAAACAATCTAAAATGTCAATATTCCATGGGTATAGTGATAAATAAGGTCTAAATTATAAGAAAATGCATTTTCTACGAAAATTTTAAGAGATAGGTAAAGAATGGTATCATACAAGTTGATAGACAATTAAATTGTGCATCTGATTCACGAAAAATATATAGGGTGTTCCATTTAAATTAAACAAGTTATTGCCGTTTAAAGCTAGGAATAATTTAATATAAATTTTTGGACACTCTGTATAAGGTAGTATAATTTTTATTATTGCGACACAATATCTGATCAATAAATAATCTTCAGTAAATGTTTAGTACTAAAAACTTTGATACTCTTGAAAAAATTAAGCCTTAAATTTTTTAGTGCAGTTTCACAAAATTGAAAATATTTCAAAAACGGTAAGGTTTAAGTGTGATAAACCTTAATCAAATTTATCTTTATTTCAATCGTAGAATCTAAAAATAGAATAATATACTGGGTGTTCCATTTAAAAAAATATAACTGTAATATTTTTTACTTATTTGGGACACTCTGTATCTTGTAAAAATATTTTTAAATTGTAGCTCTAATAGTTTTTCAACGAACCCAAAACTTACAATTTGTAAAAATCTCATCGTTTAGCTACAATACTCCGTGTCGCATGTGGTGAACAACCCTGTAAAGTACGTCTGCTGGTTCTGTGTCTATGAAAGGAATGCGGACAAAAAACATTTAAATAAACAGCAATATATTTTTTACGTCGACTTGACGAGTACGTCACCGTAAATGGCTCCGCCCACTCATTTTATTGGCTACTTGCAAATTTGTCGAATTTTTATTGATGGGATGCGTCGTCTAATTTTTTACGAAAAACATCGGGAGAATATTATTTCCCCTTTCACGGATACCCCGTAGCTACAGAATGGACAGACGTACTGATAAACGAATATACTTATTCCTTCCCATATAGGCTGGATGCAAAAGCTAAAGATATTTTCCTTCATATATTCTCTACCACTTTCAAACAAACATTGTAAGATATAAATAAAAACGTGGGGACCATATCAAGACGTAATTTAGTAGAAACTAACCTAGAAGTTGAGGAATCCATCCCAAAAACATCCAAGTAGGTATTTGTTTGGTCTCTTTGATAAAAACATCAGATAGATTATCAGCTAGGGAATCTTTTAATAGAATACAAGGGAAAAGCTGACGAGCTTCCTTTGAACCTAACCTCATAGCCCTCAAAACGTACAGAGCGAAATCATACTCCTGATCGTCTTTGTTTTGGACAAAATACGCGAGTTTCACCAAAGCTTTTCTCACTTGTTCTAACTCAGTATTATTCCTGAAAAAAAACATTCTTCATTCTTTTCTTGTTAACTGCAAAACAATTCGTACCATTTGCGTTTTTCATCCAAGGTAAGCGTCTTTAACTGGTCCAAAGCGGTTTCTAAAGGAGACAAATCTTGTCTAACGAATACTTCAGATAAGCTGTCTTTAACTTCGGGATAAATATCAGGACTTTCTCTTAACGTTTCAGATAGTTTTTGACTGATATCGAAGAATTTGACCGTTGAGGCCACTGTGCGTTCCGAATTCTCGTCTGTCTGAATACATTCTTCAAAAAAAACGTAAAAAGCTCTGAAATTATTGTATTATTGCAGAAAAAAAATACTTACTAAATAGTTTTAAAGCTTCCAGTAGTTTTTCTACTTTTAAATTAGGGTTGTTTCTTATTAGATTTGTGTACAAATAAAATAAGTTACCGTAGATCATTTTCAGATCGGGGCTATCGTCTGGGGTGTATAACCTAAAATTTTTCTTAGAAAATTAGTTGTACTGGCGTGTCTAAATAACTATAGATTAAGAAGTAATACAGTATTTGAAAATAGAGATGGGTTGTTATTTAACTATATGTTATTTATTTTACAACAATTATTTGAAAATAACATAATGCAACCGTTGCTACTTTTAAAAAATAACAGATATAAAATAACGACACGTAGAGTCGTATAAAATATCGACTGTTCGTCAAACGAAGTCGGCGCTCTGCATCGCCACGAAATCCTATGCGGCTCGAAGCAATTCCAAAAAACAACTAGTATGAGAAATCTGTTATTTCGACAACCATCGATAACGCGGCGAACGTTGCTGCATCGGCCGATGGGCTTGCAACAGCTTAAAAATAACAGTATATAAAATAAGCAGCTTTTTTAAAACAGTTGCAACGGTCGCGGGCATAACGCCTGGCGGTCGAGATAACCGGAGTGGGGAAACAAGCCATTACAAAACCATATAAATTATATACCACTGTAATCACAAAACTTCAATACTGTAATGGAATTTTAAATTGTCTTTATTTTTAAATTAATTTAGTCCAAACATAAGGAATATTTTGTTGATGTTTGGCCATCAAAATCTTAAAAAGTAAAGAAGTTGTCTAAAAATGTGCTACAATACGGATATAGTATAATCACAGATTATACAGATTATAAACTTTGTTTTTTCTTTATTGTTTTTCGTGGTTTCAATTTTCGGAATCGGGCACTAGTTAGGTTACTAGTTTGCGCACATAGCACGCCCACTTATGGCCTCTAAAACTGTGCACAGCGCCTGACCGGCACAGTTATTAGAGAGATATCGAAAAACGAATAGCGTTATGCAGTATTTACGCGTACCTTATCACGGTTACGATATGCGCGAGTCAATTTTTAACGCAACACCCGCTAATAACGTTACCGCCTGACGTAATTTGCGGATCAATTACATCAAGCGCTATTTCTAAATAACGTTTAAAAATTGCTTAAATGGGCATGTGCGGGTATTTGACAACCGGGGCCGGCCGGCGAGATCTTTTTTTAGGTTATGTTTGAATTGTTTTGAATTATTACTTTAGTTTTATTAGGTAATTTGATAGTTAAGTAGCTGGGATTAGTTTTAATTAAATAAAGATGGCCCAAAATATGGATTCCGCCTCTTCCAATATTAAAGAACCTATAAAGAGGCTTAAGTTTACAGCAGATGACGACTTAGCCCTTCTAAGAGAATTTGTTGCTTGTTGCCCTAAACCCACTGGCAGACGTTGAACAATAAAGCACTGGAAATAAGCACTTTAGCTCTTTAGTTTTAAAATACCTAGTAAACAAAACAATTTTAAAGTTTTAAATTCAAAGGTAGGTTAAGTTTAAATAGCGGACGCGACCCGATAACTATAAATGAAGAGAGAAGAGAGTTAATACCACCTCACGTAAAGAAAATAACACCTGGCCTTATTAACGTCCATGCACGCTATTCGGTTTAGCGATATCTCTCTATTACGCTGTTTATTGTTATTTTATGCGAGTTTATTTTTGCGCACAGGAAATTTTACTCGTTTGCACATCGTCATAAAAACAATTTTCGTACCACGAATTAGGGACAAGCTTTTTATCTGAATACCTATATACCTAATAAATAATGTTACTCACCTGGCGTATTTCCTTGTCATATAATAGTTCTCCTCTTCAATAGCCACATTCATAAAGGCCACGTCTAAGAAGATTTTCGTTTCTTTCAGACTTTGCTCTGCTTCCTCACTCTGAAGTCTAGCAACACTGTTCGATAGAAATTCGATAAACAATCTGCGATATAACAATTTCGCCTCGCTCAGAATTATGGATGGGAGATATTCTCCTTGCGTCGATCTCCAGTAGTTTATTAGACTGTTTAAGTTCTCTTCGCCATTTTCGTCAGCAAGTTTCGACTCGACGTCTAAGAATCGGCCAATTTCTACCAAGGATCGCAAATCTAATATTTTGTTGTACCTGAAACAAATATTAAATCTCAAAAAAAAACTCATTTTATACGGAGAAATTTTATTTTATAAGCGATACCAATTAAACTTTTAGCTACTTAATCGAGGGCGCGATTTTTAAATTCCTTGTTGCCAATCATCGACATATTCGGCGCCGGGCTAACTAACTGGGATTTAAATTTCCCGCTGGCGATTCAGGTGGTAGCTCTGCTGTAAAAAATGTCAAGTTGCCACATTTACTTATTTAATTTTACTTACTTATTTATTTCCTGACATTGTCATTCGTTTTGACACTTTAGTTTTGTATTACGAGTTTTTGGTTTAAAAGTATTGTTTTGTGATACTTTAAGCTTAAACATTTTTTACCATAGTCTGTGAAACGAATAACTTTGAATTTGACAGTTCCCGCGGGCTTTTCTAGTGTTAATTTTATTAGGTTAGCGACTTGCGGCCATGCTGACGCAATGCCGTCTCTAATAGAACAGCCTCGGAGCGAGATTTACGACGTCACGCTACTTAGATACTACGGATTAATAAATATGTTGTAGAATACACGGAAAACATAATTATTCCTCGTATTTTTGGTTTGGATTTTAAAAATAATATAGTTTACATGAAATATACATAATATACAGTTAATAAATACAATATATACACCTATTTATAGTAATAAATACTTTGGCAAATAAACTATGAACCATACAAATGCAACAAGTGTTTTACAATATACAAATAATGAATAGGTACATAAGATAATGGGTAAAATGTAAAATATATTTTAAATTTTGGGGTTTGAAAATCGATCTAATTTAACAAAAAACATTCAATATCTACTAATAGTGATGTATTATTATTTGCATGCACAAAATTTATATGTATATTTTGCAAGTATCAATGTTCGAAAAATTATATTTGGAAATAATACAATATCATAGAAAAAAAGGCGTCAGCGATGGCTATGAAATAAAGATCGGTGTCATTCTATTTGTAAAATTATTCTAAAATTTTTGATTTTCTTGGGATTTACGTTCGGGAAAAACGCTGATTAAGTTTTCATTTGGTTTTTCATTATTTCTTTTAGTTAAAAAAAAACGTTTCGGCTAACATTATAGCCTTCATCAGTGTTGTGTCATATGAAAAAAATAGTGTGAATATAATCCAAAAAATTACATATAAAATATTCACAACCTAACCTAACGCCACATAATGTTTACTGCAATTAATAAATTAATATAAACTTGTCAAAAGATGACCACATATTTGTATATTGTAAAACATTTGCTGCATTTGTATGGTTCATAGTTTATTTGCCAAAGTATTTATTACTATAAATAAGTATATATATTGTATTTATTAACTGTATATTATGTATATTTCATGTAAACTATATCACTTTTAAAATACAAACCAAAAATATGAGGAATAATTATGTTTTCCATGTATTCTACAACATATATTTATTAATCCATAGTATCTAACTAGCGTGACGTCATAAATCTCGCTCCGAGGCTGTTCTATTAGAGACGGCATTGGTCTGATATTTAGAAATGTCAAAAGCTGATGACATTTTACTTTTGACAATTATGCCATTTCGTGTTGATTTTTGCAAGAAGAGGAAGAACTGTCACTTGTTTTATTATTTTCCTTTTCTATTTCACGAAAGTAAAAAGAGTTAAATAAAAAGAGTCAAACCTATCTGATTCGTTCAGGCACTCAATTTAAAGAATACTTAAAGAATATCAGTAACTTTTTTGATAGAGGGATATTATATTTGCCATGTTGGTAAAAAATAACGGTCAAAATTCAAAGTTATTCATTTTATAGACTATACAAGATATCTTAAGAGCCCTAAAAAACTCTTCGGAACTTTATTAGAATACTTTGAACGGGAAAGTAATGGCCCTTTACGTCCCTTAAGTGCTGTTATAGAGGTGAGTTTTGTCAATGTAAATAGAGTAACTATTTATATATTCACAATTAATTTATTTTTCTTTCCTAAAATATTTTGATTAAAAGAAAATATGTAAAAGTAGGCAACGCTGTGCCGGTCAAGCTTAATCACGTGACTAAAAAGTTTATTTGGCATGATCTTTGAATAAGAAGACTAAGGAAGGAGCATATCAAAAATCTTAGGTACACCGCGATGGGCCTGAAATATGGCCGACTTAAATTCCGGTTTATCAGTGTCGTTCTAATTTTATTTAAAAAATGTAAAACTATGATGTAGGGTAGACGTGGGGTAGACTCAATAATTTGTTGTTTTATTTTACGTTGTGAATAAATGTTGGTAGTTATTAAAATTGTTATAAAAATATATAATTCTAATAAAAATAGATAAGTTATAATAAGTATTTATTAACACAAACATCCGATACGCTACTGAAGCAGGTAAGTCAAATTAACGTATCTAAATTCTTTGACATCTAATCTTAGACAAGTAATAAATAAAAGCTAAAATGCAAGAAAAAAATATAATTTAGTTAATTTAAGTGAATTTCATAAATGATCGGTTTACTACACGTATGTATATTATATAGTCACTTACTAGCGAAAAGTTGTTCCATTATTTCACTCAATTTTTGCTGAGATCTACCGCACGCTACACAACCAACTATTTTAGAATCTTTTTCGATAAATCGCGATAGTGTCACTGTTAATTTAAGTTCTGCCACAATTTCCATCTAGATTTACTACCTTTATACAACTATCAGTAGTTGAATAAATTATAAATAACATAAAATAAGCTCCGTAAAGACTGACAAATCCACAAAATTTCAAATCAAATTCAAATGTGTCAAATGAATCGTCAAACAGAACTGTCAAGGATCCCCACCCTAGAGTGCTTTTATGGTGGTTTTTCCGCCCACCATGCATGAATACATGGATAGCATTATGCTCCTTCCTTAGTCTTCTTATTCAAAGATTTGGCATGATCTATATATACCTTAATGTGCCAAACATTGGATTGAGCAGTTGCCAATCGTTTAGAAAATTATTCAGGCCGCTCTTCTGATACTGAATAGCTTGATCTGTATCTTTCTGTTTAATCCACAGAATACAAAGTTCCTCGGCAAATTTCGATTTCAAATAGTCGGATTGTTCAGGATTCGCTAAAATTTATATTAAAAATTCTTTAAACAGCGTACACACTATACCATTTATTCTACTAATTTCGAGATTCAGAATAAAGCTTAATAAAAAATCAAGAACATACCGAGTGATTTATTAATGTTGGTAAGAAATTCTGTGGAAGATGTTTCAGTATATAGTGCGGTTTTAATTTGTGAGGTTATGTACCAGGGAAGTACCTTTTGCTGGTACCAATCTCTACCCCACAATACGTCCCACGTATCCTGGTTTCCTTCAGGAATCACTGATTGGATTTCTCTCGAGAACTTGTCCCATTCTCCTATAATATAGTCAATTAATTATAATATTGAAATGAAAAATTATGTCGATAAACCAAAAAAAATAAAAATTAAGAATTTTATGTTACCTAAATGAGCTAGACATTTAAAGCAAGACTCGAAATAGAAATCTTGTCTATCTGGGGAAGGATCGGTCTGTAATAATTTTGAATAACTTTCCTGAGCGTTCCGCCATTTTTTCTCCGATTCCAACAGCAAAGCCTTCTGAACTTCTTCTTTACAATTAGTTTTTTCTATAAATATAGTTTTAATCTAAAACACAACATTAGTACGTAATTACAGCACATCGGTATCTCCCCTAACGACAAGTTATAATCTACTGCTGTCTACTGCTTAGAGTTTTATACAAGATGTTTCAAAAAGCATGTGCCATCTCTCGTGGGGAGATTCCTCGTGTAAAAATAAGATTTATTTCTTATATCAACATAGGTCCGATTCTGCTTTGTTTCGTAGCTACAAGTAGTGATGGGTTGTTATTTAACTATCTGTTATTTTATAACAATTATTTATAAATAACATAACGCAACCGTTACTACTTCTAAAAAATAACAGATATAAAATAACTACACGTAGAGATCGGCCGCTCGTGAAACGAAAAACGAAGTCGGCGCTCTGCACCGCCACGAAATTCTATGCTGCTCGAAGCAATTCCAAAAAACAACTAATATGGATGGAAAACATGTTATTTCGTCAACCATCGATACAGGCGGCGAGACAACGGACAACGGAGTGGGGAAAGCGCTACGGCGAACGTAGCTGCTTCGGTCGATACCGTCAATGGTCGTATTGGGTTTGCAACAGCTTAAAAATAATAGGATATGAAAGAAGCAGGTTTTGAAACAGTTGCGGGCATAACGCCTGGCGGTCGAGATAACAGGAGTGGGAAGGGAACGCTGCTACATCGGTCGATTGTCGATGGAGGCTCGCAACGGGTTGGAGAAGCAGTTATTTTAGATATGTTTTTTTCAACCTGTTACGAGCATAACAGGGCGGCGATCGAGATAATCGGAGGGGAAAGGAACGCTGCTGCTGGTCGATTGTCGATGGAGGTTCGAAACAGGTTGGAGAATAACGCATCAGTTGTTTTAGATATATTGTTTTCAACCTGTTACGAGCATAACGGGCGGAGGTCGAGATATTCTGGCGCTGTATGTTTCAGTACTTACTTATTAAGTTTCAATATTTAGATATTTATTTATTCTGAAACATTTTCAGAATAATATTTCAAGATTTTTTAAAAATGTATACAGGGTGTTTTGAAAAATCTGGTCATTGATTAATCACGATATTGCTTAAAGCCCTTGACGTAAAAAGCTGATTTTTGGAAAACGGATTGACTTTAGGGTGTCGAGGTTCGATAAGAAGGGATTTTTCGAAACTCGAATTCTAAGGGGGTGAAACTACCCTCAAATATTAGAATATTTTTTTTATTTAAAAACCGGTGAGTTTTTCGGAAAAACTCTTAAAACACGTATATTTTATTATGTTGTTTTACATATTTTAAGATTTTTTAAAAATATATACAAGGTGTTTCATAAAATATGACCATTGAGTAATCACTATTCTGCTTAAACTGCTTGACGTTTAAAGCTGATTTTTGGCAAACGGATTGACTGTGGGGTTGAGGTTCGATAAGGAGGGGTTTCTCGAATCTCAAATTCCAACAGGGTGAAATCGCTCCTTAAATATTAGAATATTTGTTATTTAAAAAACGGTTAGTCTTTCGGGAAAACGCCTGGACACGGATAATTTATTTTGTTTTTTTTTACATATTTTGAATTTTTTTAAAAAATCATACAGGGTGTTCCAAAAAGTTGAGTAATTGATTAACCACGATTCTGCGTAAACTGCTCGACGTTTAAAGCTTATTTTTGGCAAATGTGAGAAAATTTTATCTAGTTTGTATGTTAATGGAAATTCTTGTTTTGCTTTATCATCACCATTAGAAATTATTAATTCGACGCGAACGAAGTCGCGGGTACACGCTAGTTTAAGTGTAAAATTAATTCGAACTCTAGTGTGTAGTTGGTTTACTTATGAGGAATATACTACACATTTTCTTATATTGCTATTTTTTGACCGCAAATGGTAAAATCATAACTAAGAGCTTCTCGCTCGAGTGAGATGCACCCTGTACACTGCTACGCAATTCAGGATCTACGCAGATCGAGGGGCAGGGCGTAGGTAGATCGGAATGTATAGGTATAGACGAGTGGCGGAATTTTGGCTTTTTTATATCGCAATTTGTAAACAGCGCTTATTTGTAAACAACCACCGTTTTTAGAGAGGTATTTTAGATAACAATCGATATTTAGAAATGTTTTGACACCCTGGAAATACTACCACCGAGCACGTCATTAGAGAATTATGGCACTTTTTAAATACTGACTTTCGTTGTTGCAACTTGCAACTGTGTTAATACGCCTGGCGGTGACCGCCTCATACTCTTTCAGATATTTAGCAGTAAAATAAAGAAACCTGTTATTTTTAAGCTATTTTTTTTACAAATAACTATAACAGTTTCAACTGTTATCTAAAAATAACAGTTTTGCCCATCACTAGCTACAAGAGGTTAAAATTTTCAATTTTTTCGATTTATTATAATTTTCTTCCAAGTGCTTTTATCGAATGAAATTTTGAGGATAAAAGTTACTGTAAGTGCGACATATTTTAATGCTAAAAAAGTGTCCACAGATTCACCAGGGACATGCATACGAGTTATTACTGAAATTATTTTCTAAAAAAACATGTGCGCCACTGACTTTTTTTTCTCTTGTTAGCCATACAAAGCAGAATTGTTGATAAAAAAAATAAATCATACTTTTACGTGAAGAATCTCCCCATGAGAAATGGCACATCTCTTTTAAAACACCTTTAGTGCTACATGACACTAACCAAATCCCATTCTTGTAGTTCTTTGTACAATTCAGCCAGTTTAATCCAGTGCACAGTTTCTGGATCTTGCACCATAACTCCTCTCTTCGATGTGGAAGGGCAGTCATCCAAATCCATGAGGTACTCTTCCAAGAGCAGGGTTCCCATGGATATTAATCCGCTTTGCTGACATACGGTGGAAATGGAATTAGGATCGAGTCTAAATTTATCTTTGCTCATCAAGGATATGTCCAAGAGAGTCGCGAAGAGATTAGCGTTGAGCTGGGTGGAATTATCGAAAATGTATTTGATCTTGTTGAATAAAGTGTCAACGAAATCTCGGTTGTTTCCTTCAACTTTTTCCATTAAAACTTTAAACATAACCAAGAAAAATTGTTTTGAAAGTTCTCCATCATGCTAGAATAAAAGGATGGTACATTTATAAAGCCGGGTCCAGACCAAGCAGACAAAACAGCGACAAGACAGAAACATTCATGTTTTACGACAAAACTGCGACAAATCCAATACATTCCTACGATATTTTTGTTTTCTTTCCAAATTCGGAGACTTTTGAATGTCCCGTTTCGAGTCGGTAAAGTTCATGTTTATTTTACGAGATACGAGATTACGAGAGTGTATTTTATGAGAAGTTTGTCGGTGCAGTGTGGATGTCGTGCGTTACCAAAAGTAGGAAACTGATAAAATCGCACAAATTTAGTACTGTGGAGTGCTGGTACTGCTAATATATGACATTAGTATATGATGGAGTGTTACATCTTTATAAAAAAAAGTGGAACACAAAAAATTCCTGCCAACTAAGTGTGCGAATACAGTGCAAGCAGGTTTGCCGCTTACTGGTAGTCAGCGCCAATCTGGGTACCTATTCTTGACATCGTTCGCAACTTCGCGTATACGCATCACGTGTATTGTTATAAACAGGGTATCCCAGAAACAAGTGCAAGTATTTTAAAGGGTGGTAGATCTCGATAAAAGAAATATATTTTCTCTTTATCGCTTTTCAAATAAGTCCAAAATAACGGAGTTATTTTACTTTGAAAATTTCCAAAAAAAAAATGATTTTTTGCTAAAATTTTGAGAACCTTCTTCTTCATGTGCCTGCTCCTCATCGGAGGTTGGCGACCATCAATTGGAATTCCTTCCTGTCTTGAGCCAAACGGATAATTGCACTGGCCTCTCCTATATTAAACCACTGGCGCAAATTCCGCAACCAGGAAAACGGTTTACGCCCGATGCCTCGTCGTCCTTCAACCTTTCCCTCAACGATCAGCTGTAGGAAACTATATTTGTTATTTCGAAAAATATGACCAAAATATGCTGCTTTCCGTCGTTTTATTGTAGTCAATAGTTCTTGGTCCTTACACATTCTCTCCAATACTTCGAGATTTGTTTGAGAACCACTGGATCTTTTCTGGATTTTCTTTCTTGTAAATTTAATCTACTACCATATTATCAAGAAATTATTTTTTTAAATAAAAACTAAATTAAAGCGTGTTATCAAATTGGCTAGTTTACAGTGAAAGCAGGTAGGCGCCGTCAACCAGCGTTCATCGGCGTTCTCGCTTTTACCGGAACGAAAATTTATTTATTTCTGCTTCTGCACGCGCCGACGGCGCACAGAGGGTATTAAGAACTAAAAGTTGGCCAAAATTATGTTTTATGATTTTTTTGCTTTTTTGCTAGTAATATTAATTATTAGAGGAGAGGGTGCTAATATGGAACCCCATTTTGTCTTTCCTACACAATATTTTTTCCTCTACTCTGAAACCCTTTCCACCGATCAAATAGGGTCATTCTGTGCAAAACCAAGCAATTGGATGAGGATGCTAGAACAAGAAAGTAATTTGTATATTATAGACGATATTTGAGCGTGGATGGGTGTTATAGGGTAAAGACTATTTCCTTTAAGAATCTATTTAAATCAATGTTTTTTTTTGGCAGTGGCAAATATTGGCAAGATTTTGGTACATATTCCAAAGCTAGAAACTTTAAGCATTGAACGGATACTAATTTCCATGCGGAATATTGCCGAATAGTCTTACACCTTATAAAAATGCCTCTGATTTTTTAAATATAAAACATTATAAAGAAATAGAATAGAAGGAAACGTTTCAAAATAAAAATATGGCATAAAACAGGACTTGCCAGCTGGCTCTGTATCCATGATGACAGTTATAAACAATTTGCAAAAAAAGCACTACAAACAATTCCACTATTTTATAATCTTAGAAATATTCAGAATACACTCAAGATAATTCATACTTATAATTGAAATATATTATTTATTTGATAGTCAACTTACGACTTAAAAAAAGCTAATAAACGTGCTTACATTTAGTATTTATAGATTTGTAGTTAAGATAAAAAATGAAAATAAAAAAATATCACTTTTGGTCAGGTTTATAGACCAAACACCTCTATGTGCGGCGCCGGCGCGGCGGGCGCGGTGTTTGAATATGGTGAGGTTAGGTTAGGTTAGTTAATCAGGTAAATTTCCTCTTAATTAACTACTTCCGAACCTTGCTCGCATCTCCGAAAAAGCCATATAACAATACACGTGATGCATATACGCAAAGTTACGCATCACGCTGTGCAGTAGAGGAGATTTGTTTAGCATTAAATAACTCGGTTGATGATGTTAAGAAAAAAATAAGAAATATTAATAACTATATAGTATACGAAAAGAAATAAAAAGAAAAACATTATTTGGGGTTTCTTTTTGCAACATGGGATGGCGAGTCAAAGACAACACTACTGGTTACTATAGTCTATAAAATGAATAACTTTGAATTTTGACCGTTATTTTTTACCAACATGGCAAATATAAAATCCCTCTATCTAAAAAGTTACTGATATTCTATAAATTGAGTGCCTGAACGAATCAGATAGGTAACTCTTTTTACTTTCGTGAAATAGAAAAGGAAAATAATAAAACAAATGACAGTCTTCCTCTTCTTGTAAAAATAAACACGAAATGTCATAATTGACAAAAGTAAAATGTCATCAGCTTTTGACATTTCTAAATATCAGACAAATGCCCTCTCTAATAGAACAGCCACGGAGCGAGATTTATGACGTCACGCTTGTTAGATACTACGGATTAATAAATATGTTGTAGAATACATGGAAAACATAATTATTCCTCGTATTTTTGGTTTGTATTTTAAAATGATATAGTTTACATGAAATATACATAATATACAGTAAATAAATACAATATATATATACCTATTTATAGTAATAAATACTTTGGCAAATAAAACTATGAACCATACAAATGCAGCAAATGTTTTACAATATACAAATAATGAATAAGTGGTACATAAGATAATGGGTAAAATGTAAAATATATTTTAAATTTTGGGGTTTGAAAATCGATCTAATTTAACAAAAAACATTCGATATCTACTAATAGTGATGTATTATTATTTGCATTCACAAAATTTATATGTATATTTTGCAAGTATCAATGTTCTGAAAAATGAAAAATTATATTTGCAAACAATACAATATCATAGAAAAAAAGGCGTTAGCAATGGCTATGAAATAAAGATCGCTGTCATTTTATATGTAAAATTATTCTAAAATTTTTGATTTTCTTGGGATTTAGGTTCGGGAGAAACGCTGATTAAGTTTTCATTTGGTTTTTTATTATTCACACCACACACCACATAATGTTTACTGCAATTAATAAACTAATATAAACTTGTCAGAAGATGACCACATATTTTTTTAAGTTATTATTCTTATCACTAAAACTATCTATATTGATTATGGAGTACGATTTCAGCCATATTGTAAAACATTTGCTGCATTTGTATGGTTCATAGTTTATTTGCCAAAGGATTTATTACTATAAATAGGTATATATATATTGTATTTATTTACTGTATATTATGTATATTTCATGTAAACTATATCATTTTTAAAATACAAACCAAAAATACGAGGAATAATTATGTTTTCCATGTATTTTACAACATATTTATTAATCCGTAGTATCTAACTAGCGTGACGTCATAAATCTCGCTCCGAGGCTGATCTATTAGAGACGGCATTGCATCAGCATGGCCACAAGTTGCTAACCTAATAAAATTAACACTAGAAAAGCCCGCGGGAAGTGTCAAATTCAAAGTTATTCGTTTTACAGACTATAGTAATATATCTTTATATTCTTTCTGGTAGAAAGGACACATGATTAATAAAACTGATTTGCATATACTGAACTTTGTTGTACTTTTGTCCTCGCGGAATAAACACTTTGTCTCAAATTTGTCTTGTCTGATTTTTTTTTGTCTGAAAATCGTGTTCACTTTCTGTCGCCTTGGTCTGGACCCCATAATATACACTTTATAGTAAAATGCTTTACAGATATCATTCTTTTGAATCAATTTTACCCATTTTTTAAGATTTCTACAAATGCCATCTTTGTCGTAAGTGTTCACTTTTATTTATACAGGGTGGTCCGAACTGTATTCCGGAAGCTCGGCAAAATATTTTACAGATAAAAATAAGTAGAAAAGTTCGTATAGTCTATAAAATGAATAACTTTGAATTTTGACCGTTATTTTTTACCAACATGGCAAATATAAAATCCCTCTGTCAAAAAAGTTACTGATATTCTTTAAAATTGAGTGCCTGAACGAATCATATAGGTAACTCTTTTTACTTTAGTGAAATAAAAAAGGAAAATAATAAAACAAGTGACAGTTCTTCTTCTTCTTGCAAATCAACACGAAATGTCATAATTGACAAAAGTAAAATGTTATCAGCTTTTGACATTTCTAAATATTAGACCAATGCCGACTCTAATAGAACAGCCACGGAGCGAGATTTATGACGTCACGCTAGTTAGATACTACGGATTAATAAATATGTTGTAGAATACATGGAAAACGAATTATTCCTCGTATTTTTGGTTTGTATTTTAAAAATGATATAGTTTACATGAAATATACATAATATACAGTTAATAAATACAATACAATATATACCTATTTATAGTAATAAATACTTTGGCAAATAAACTATGAACCATACAAATGCAGCAAATGTTTTACAATATAGAAATAATGAATAGGCGGTGCATAAGATAATGGGTAAAATGCAGGGTTGTTAAGTAGTTTATGAAGCAAAAAACTACGCCAAAAGCTACGCGTAGTTTTTTGTATTAACTACGTTTTAAAATTTTAAAAACTACCTTCAAAAACTACACAAAAACTACGTTAAAAACTACCTACAAAAATATAGTAAAACATAAACAATTTAGACTTTAAACTAAAATCAAGCCAAATTCTTATCATGGAAGCTGATGGCAGTATGAAGTTATATATATTTGTATAAGTTAAACAACATCAGAAAAAACGACAATTTTTTTTCAACAAAAGTGTATTTTCTACGAAATACAAAGTAACATTGAACACAAAATAAACTATAAATTCTTATGGAGAAATTCTCCATAGACATTCTCCAGAGAATATATGATTTTTTACATCTAAAGGCACAACTTCATAATACCCCTCTTCCCAGAAGGTATGGAGCAAGGTATGGAGACATCGACGTCTTCCAAGCATTTTTAACTACTAACCAAAGCTACTAATAAATATCAAAAATATCACATAATAAGGAACAAATTCACAAACTATAGATTTTTTATTTCTTTAAATTGATCAACAAACAAAGTTTTTAGGTTATGTTTTCACTGTTACTTAAAAAAACTACATTAGTTACATAAACTACACATTTACTACTCGACATTTAAAAAACAACTTGTGACATGTAGTAAATGTAGTTTATTAATTACTGCGTGTAGTTTAACAACTCTGGTAAAATGTAAAATATATTTTAAATTTTGGGGTTTGAAAATCGATCTAATTTAACAAAAAACATTCAATATCTGCTAATAGTGATGTATTATTATTTGCATTCATAAAATTTATTTATATATTATAATGTTTACTGCAATTAATAAACTAATACAAACTTGTCAAAAGATGACCACATATTTTTTTAAATTATTATTCTTAACACAAAAACTATCTACATTGACTATGGAGTACGATTTCAGCCATATTGTAAAACATTTGCTGCATTTGTATGGTTCATAGTTTATCTGCCAAAGTATTTATTACTATAAATAGGTATATATATATTGTATTTATTAACTGTATATTATGTATATTTTATGTAAACTATATCATTTTTAAAATACAAACCAAAAATACGAGGAATAATTATGTTTTCCATGTATTCTACAACATATTTATTAATCCGTAGTATCTAACTAGCGTGACGTCATAAATCTCGCTCCGAGGCTGTTCTATTAGAGACGGCATTGTGTCAGCATGGCCGCAAGTTGCTAACCTAATAAAATTAACACTAGAAAAGGCCGCGAGAACTGTCAAGTTCAAAGTTATTCGTTTTACAGACTATATAAATGCATGCCCTAAAATGCTTCGTTTCGGAGATACAGGGTGTAGACATTCCATTTTTATTTCGATTCTTTCCATATATTTTCTGAAGTAACGTCACTATTTGGATGAAAATTGGTGTCTGGGACATTGGTCAAGAGACGTTTTTTACGTAAAAAATCAGCAACTAAGATTTTTTCCTATTAGAGATAAGTAAAATGGGTATGAAATTGACCAAAAATAATGAAATCTGTGAGAAACTCAAGCCTTTAAATTTTTCTTACTAGAATTAGCATCTGCAATGGTTTAATCATGGAGCCCAAAGTAATTTGTATATCAGGCAAATCTCCTTTTCTATAACTTCTATAAATGGTCACCCTGCTTTCACGTTCTTTGACAGATTCCGTTCTGAAAAAAATATATTTTTGTTGAAGAAGCTGGAAAGCTTTAAAAAAACGATAAAAAAATACAGTTACCTTTTTATAGTCTTTCGGATCTGCTCTTTGACAGCTCTGTTAGCAAAATCGGTTGATATCTTAGACTTATCTCTGATAAATCTTCGTTTGGGTAACTTGTATTTATCAGAGAGCTTAACGGCGTTTGGATTTAAGAACGCCCGATCATTATTCTAAAAAAATATGATATTACATACCGCCCAAAAAAAAAACTAAAATAAAAACTTACTTCACCAAGACTACTAGTCAAACTAGTAACATTAGAGATATAATTATCCCAAACTACTTGTTGTGTCGGAGCAAAACTTAGGTCAGCTTGAGTGGCTCTAAGCTGACCAAAGTTGGAAGCTGTTGGCTCGTTTGCATCTTCTGAGTAACTTTTCAAAGTCTGCGCGAACAAAGGTACGACTGATTTGTGTTGCAACCTATTAGAGAAAAAAATAAACATATTTTTCTTACAAATATAGTAGTTTGTATAAAAGTAAGTTCACCTCCAGTTGGTTTGTAACTTGTATTCTTCAAAATCGCAATCTTGCAAAGGATTGTCGAAAAGCTCGCTCTCGTAGCCTTCTTCATTGAGAGAGTTCAATAAGAGGTAACTAACATTACCTAAATAACAAAAAAAAATACTCTAATAATATCTTATTTAACCAAAATTGACAAAACAGAAAGAACTTTTTTAAATAAAAATATCACTCATTTTAGTTATTATATTTATATTAAATAACTACTTTTTTATATATTTTTTTTATATTTATTTATTATATTTATTAATTTTACATTGGTGAAACATCTAGACCCTTAAATGTTAGAATTAAAGAACATAAAGATTATTTAAGAAAGGGAGATTTTCACAAATCTAAGATTTGTCACCATTCTTGGGATACAGGGTACAGAATAAATTTTAATAACGCCAAAATTATAATGAAAGAGGCGATAGCCTCTAAAAGAAAAATAAAAGAGGTTTTTTTAATTCAATCTAATAAAAATAAATGTATTGCTCATGCATCTGTAGATGTTAGTAATGTTTGGCAATCGCTTCTTTGATTTTAAAGAACATAACATAAATAAACATAACATATGTAAAATTTAAAATTAATCATACAGAAAGTTTGGGGCTTTTTGGTTTTACCTTATTAAGTAATTGTTATCAGGCAGTAACTGTTAATTTTGAAGGTTAATTTGATATAATGTCATTTTAACAGAACGTCAACGGTTTCTTGTAGACGTATCTGTTTTAAAAAAGTAAAGTGTTCTCGAATAGTTGAATTTAAATATTTTAAATAGTTTTTTTCTTTATTTTTTGTATTTTTTTTGCTTCCGACGACGGAAAGAGATAAACTTTCCGAAACGATAAGTATTTTTTTCTTTGTTAGGCAAATTTTTATACCTGTAAACATAACTTCTGACAAGCAGTGTCCGTTTCGGTTTAACGCAGAAGTGTTTACAAAAAATAACTATTTTACTTTGTAGATTTTCTTGCAGTGCAGTGGCGAAATACCCATAAAGGATTTTTTTGGAGAGATGAATCCGCCACATTGGTATAGACATTTTTTATTATATTTATGTTTTCCCTGAAATCCCCTATAACAGTTTAGGACAAAGAATCTTTTTTTCCTAGAAATAAAGCAACCTTCATAAAAGTTGAACAAGTCCAACGGTTCAAGAAATCTAAAATGGCACTTAAAAATCTCAAAACGGGTAGGAAAATAAATATTTCAGTCTCATATCGATTACTAAAATCGTAAAAGTCGGCCATAAAATTCCTAGTCGGGTTGTTAACATAAAATGTCCCTAATATTCACTTTCCAACAAAGTCAGGCCAATGTGTTTGTAATAAATAGTAAAATAAAAAATGCCAGGCAGTTAAAACGAAAGTTTCTAAAACCATAGACACGTTTTGAAGCAATATACAGGGTGAGACTTAAATACGGGCAAATATTTTCAGGCCTGGCTAAAGGGCTGGTAGATGTCGATAAAAGAAACATATTTTTTCTCTACCTAATTGTACCACCTTTCGTGAGGAGATTCCTCACGTAAAAATAAGATTTATTTTTCAGAATCACGATTAGGTTTTTTCACGAAAGAAAAATTTTGAAAATTTGGATTTTTTTTAGTTTTTAGTTAAAAAACTTAATATGTTGATAACATGGCATCAGAGGTGGTAGATCAAATTTACAAGAAAGAAACCCCAGAAAAAAGCCAGTGGTTCTCAAAATTTAAACAAAATATCTTTTTCTTTTAAATTTTCACTTATAATATCACAAGAGCTTAAATTATTTTCGGAAATTTTTTTGAGGGCACGAATATTTTGAAAATTTTCCTAAAATATTCGTGCCCGAAAGAAAATTTCCAGGAATAATTTAAGCTTGCGTGGTATTCGGTAAGAAAATTTCACACCTAAATTTGAAAAAAAAATATTAATCCAACATGACATTTTAAAATAATTTCAATTTGTTAATAATATTAACAAATATTATTATATTTTTAATTAGTTACATCAAATGCTAAAACTCAAATGGGTAATATTTCAATATATAGACATTGTAGTTCATTCACATTATGATTGTAGGTCGTATGTTTACCTTTTCAACTGTCAAAAAATTTCCACTAAAGTTTCGTGGCGCCTCGAAAAAATTTCCGGAAATTTTTTCAGTTGCCATGGTAACTAGTCAACATTAAAGCATGTTATTGGTTGAAAAGTAGAGGTGTGAAATTTTCAAAGTAATATACATCGGTTATTTGGAATTATTTGAAAAACGACAAAGAGAAAATATGTTTCTTTTATCGAGATCTACCAGCCCTAAAAATAATTGCACTTATTTAAGACTCGCCCTGTATATATCTATACTAATATATAAAATCCTTAAGTGACTGACATACTGATTAATCACGATCCTGCTCAAACCACTCAACGTAAGAAGCTCAATTTTGGCATACAGGTTGATTCTAGGGTGTAGAGGTTCGATAAGAAGGGATTTTTCGAAATTCCAGTTCCAAGAGGGTGAAACCACCCCTCAAATATTACAATATTTTTATTTAAAAAACGGCCAAGTTTCCGAAAAAACGCTTAAACACGTATATTTTATTTTGTTTTTTTACACATTTTAAGATTTTTTAAAAATGTATACAGGATGTTTCGGGAAATCTGGTCATTGATTAATCACGATCCTGCTTAAAGCGCTTGACGTAAAAAGCTGATTTTTGGAAAACAGATTGACTTTAGGGTGTAGAGGTTCGATAAGAAGGGATTTCTCGAAACTCGAATTCTAAGGGGGTGAAACTATCCCTCAAATACTAAAATATTTTTTAGTTAAAAACCGGTGAGTTTTCGGAAAAACTCTTAAAAACGTATATTTTATTTTGTTGCTTTACATATTTTAAGATTTTTTATAAATTTATACAGGGTGTTTCATAAAATATGACCATTGAGTAAAATCACGATTCTGCTTAAATTGCTTGACGTTTAAAGCTGATTTTTCGAAAACGGATTTACTATGGGGGGTGTAGAGGTTCGATAAGGAGGGGTTTCTCGAATCTAAAATTCCAAGAGGGTGAAAACGCCCCTCGAATATTACAATATTTGTTATTTAAAAAACGGTTAGTCTTTCGGCAAAACGCTTGGACAAGCATAATTTATTTGGTTTTTTTACATATTTTGGAATTTTTTAAAAAATCATACAGGGTGTTCCAAAAAGTTGGGTAATTTCTTAACCACGATTCTGCTTAAACTGCTTGACGTAAAAAGCTTATTTTTTGCAAACGGATTTTTCGAAAGTTAAATTCCAACGAGATGAAACTACCCCTCAAATATTACCAAGTTATATAATAATATCGCCATATTGTTTTTTCTCATGCTGACATAAATGTGAGAAAAATTTATCCAGTTTGTATGTTAATGGAAATTCTTGCTGTGCTTTATCATCACCATTACAAATGATTAATTCGACGCGAACGAAGTCGCTGGAACACGCTAGTATAATTATAAAAATACAAACCTAGAAAATATTCTTCCGCTTTGGGTATATAAAACTTCGATACCAACTGAAGAAACTTCTCAGTAATTTTGTTTGAATCAGAGAACTGTTCACACCAGTAAGTCCTTATTTTTTCCCTAACTTGAATATCAGGGTCGGACAAACCTTGCAAAAGAGTCTAAAAATGCCCACAATATAAAAATATGTGTAATTTTTTTTATGTCATTGAAATAATATACCTCTCTGCATAATTCGTTTATGTCTTCATCGTCCACATTGCTGTAAACCGCGATCATAATATCGTACATTCTAACCCGCGGTATAACGTCGGGATTCAGTAGATTCTTACTAACACACTTCATAATCTTTTTCAAAATCTTAATTTCCCCTTTCAGCAAATGAAAGGTTTTCAACAAAATCTCCAAACTCAACAGGAGCACTTCGGGATTTTGACTTTCCAAATATCTCGGCCAATCTTCCGATTTGAAATCGGAATATTCACCGAGCTGATCGGCTCTTTTGTGAATCACTCGAAGAAATCCCGCTTGAAGCTGCGGATTGGAGTGTGATATTTGGTTGAACATTTTGATCAAGTGATCAACGTTCACCACATTGGGATAATGGATAGCTATGCCTGAAATATATTGTGATATATTGGACCGTATGATTGAAAAAAAAACGGCGTCACAGACGGCTAAAGCATGATTTTCATACTTCCGTTATCCGTTGATACGATTGTCCGACGCGCGACGGCTCTCTGATTGGTCATAGCGTTTTCGCGCCACTTTTCATTCGTAATTTTTTTACCCCAGCCCGTTTATGAAGAAAGAACATACGATAACGGACGTTTTGACACTTTTTTGACAAATTAAGCCTAACCTTACTAAAAATATAATAGTACAAAAGTTAATAGCACCGTCGGCAAAACGAGAATTTAAAGAAAACTGGTTCTTTAATATATCTTTTGCTATGCTCTTCTGACCATAGTGCGGGCCGTCTGGCTGCCGGTAGACTACTGCGCATCACATCTGTACACGATATAGTACAAGGTATCCCATTTTCGTGTGTTTTATGGGATTTCTCGTTTATGAGTAGAGATACAATGATGCGATTTTCACATTACTTTGCTTCTTTTTTATGAAACTAAATATGCTACACATAGGTTTGTCCTAGCCTCCTTAGTTCCTGAAATACAGGACGAATTTGTGATGCGCAGTAGTGAACATATGTATGTTGAGTAGAGATACGATGCGCAGTAGTGAACGCAACGTCTACCGGCAGCCAAACGGTCCGCACTCTGTTCAGGAGAGCATAGCAAAAGATATATTAAAGAAAAAACTTTCTTAAAATTCTCTCTCGAAAACGTTGTTAGATTTTAGGCTATAAGTAAAACAGCGAAATCGTTATGGAAATGAAAATATAAAATTACACCAATCACAACTTTGAATAAGAAGACTAAGGAAGGAGTATATCAAAAATCTTAGGTCCACCTCGATGGGACTCAAATATGGCTGACTTAAATTCCGGTTTATCAGTGCCGTTCTAATTTTATTTAAAAAATGTAAATCTATGATGTAGGCGTAGACGTGGGGTAGACTCAATAATTCTTTTTTATTTTACGTTGTGAATAAATGTGGGCAGTTATTAAAATTGTTATAAAAACATATTATTATAATAAAAATAGATAAGTTTTAATAATTATTTATTAACACAAACATCCGATACGCTACTGAAGCAGGTAAGTCAAATTGACGTATCTAAATTCTTTGACATCTAATCTTTGATAAGTAGTAAATAAAAGCAAAAATGCAAGAAAAAATATATAATTAGTTAATTTAAGTGAATTTCATAAATGAGTTTACAAGTACTATTATATAGTCACTTACTAGCGAAAGTTGTTCCATTATTTCACTCGATTTTTGCCGAGATCTACACAACCAACTATTTTAGAGTCTTTTTCGATAAATCGCGATAGTGTCACTGTTAATTTAAGTTCTGCCACAATTTCCATCTCGATTTACTACCTTTATACAACTATCAGTAGTAGAATAAATAATAAATAACATAAAATAAGCTTCGTAAAGACTGACAAATCCACAAAATTTCAAATCAAATTCAAATGTGTCAAATGAATCGTCAAACAGAACTGTCAAGGATCCCCACCCTAGAGTCCTTTTTCCGCCCACCATGCATGAATACATGGATAGCATTATGCTCCTTCCTTAGTCTTCTTATTCAAAGAATCACAAGCAAATCGTATATCCGATGAACAGAGGCATGAAAATACAATCAATTTAAAAACTGCGTAATTTTGTAACCAATCGAAGTTTTTATATTCAACCAATAAAACTAATAACAACGGTTGAATGAAAATCAAGCTTAAAGAATGACAATCGATGATATTTTTGGCGAGGTCACTCTCTAGACGTCATTCATTAAATATTGGCAAGAAACTGTCAAAAATTAAGACTAATTACAGAAAGATAACATTAAACATTATTTTTTTCTTGAATTTAAACCATTAAAAAATCATTTTTACTCAATATAAAAATAAATTACAACCTTTTTAAGACCAACTGGCAGTAAGCTCCAATAAAAACTAAAGAAGAGTACGCGCCAAGTAAATAAAATCTAGTGCTTGACATCGCTAAAATAGTCATCGATTCCCCAGCCGTCTTTGACGCCGTTTTTTTTGCGATCGTATTTTATAAAGTAGTTTAAATATATTAATTAATTACATTCAAGACATCCAACGTATTTGTTGTTATCTTCATAGGCAAATATTCTTTTACTAAGCCTAGTGCACAAAGACGTCACGTCTTCGCCGTGAGCATCTAGATACTTTAGTATTAATCCTAAAACTTCAGCACAAGGCTTGAACGTGCTAGCAAACGTTTTTGATAAGATATTTAAAAGTTTTCCCCAAAATATCTTCAAATCCGAAAGCTTAAACGGCAGATAATTGTTGACCTACAAGAATTAATTTTGTAGGTAGAAGTTCATAGAGCAACTAGAGATGGGATGTTCCTTCCCGATATATCGATAACTATATATTTTCCGATGCACGTCATCAATAATATCAACATTGGCACTAAACTCTATAAACCTGACGAAATGAAATTTTGGCAAGAATGTTTAAATTTGTTGTATAATTTAAGATACCGAGCAGCTCTTCAATTGACTTTATAGAGCAAATGATTGTAACAACGGTACATTGTGAGACAGGAAATTGTAGAGATAAACAAGCCCTATAATATAGGATACAACATTTGAATGAACAGTGCTTTCCATAAAATCAATGAAATGAAAAATATACGAAATAATATACATGTACTGATTTCTTTCGAAAATCGACTACTATGAAACTATGATCCCTTCCCCGACACAAACGGTACATTGTGAGACAGAAAATTATAAAGAGAAAGAAGCCCTATAACATACAACATTTTAATGAACAGTGCTTAAATAATACGTAAAAATCTTTAAAAAAGATATAATAAATATATTGTTTGTCACTTTTAAATTAAGATTAATCTCATAAATCCATTACAATCTGGCAGCGCTGTCTCCATCGCTTGTCACAAAGTTGATCACGTGCATTGGAAATTGTTTTCCGATTACCATATGGTCATTAGAGTTGGGGGGTTGGAACCTTTGGTGTTACACAGCGAAATAAAACACTAAATCAGTTTCTTCATCTGCTGAACTGTTCAGTTTCATCATCTGCTGATGATGCTAACATGGTTACCGAAACGCGCGTCCAGTGTAAAAGTAAAAGTGTTTTGGTGTACTGTGGTGATTTAGTGTTTTATTTTACCATATGTTCATTGATGTGTCGAATAAACAGGAGAGTTTATTACCAGAAATATAGAGATTAAATGTAGTCCAACTTCAACTCTTCTATCGTCAAAGTCCAGCTTTTTCGATAGAGCATCGAACGGTAGTTCAAATGAACCCTTCCAGTTCTCCACCAGTAACTTGATCAGATCTAAATTATACTTAAATGCGTCTTGTCTTTCGTTTGTTAGTTTTTCCACGAGAAATTCTAAAACTTTCGTGGCTAATTCAGATTCTGTGTCACTCAGAGTAACATCTGAAGACCAATAGGCCAGTAGAATAACCTAAAAAAATATAATGCACCATAAGTAAAGTCCAAAAAATATCGTCAGTATTTTTCATTTATACAGGGTGTTCCGATATTCGGTATACGAAGATCTACTATACTACTGTTTTTTTTCTCAGGTAAGATTTCGACAGACGATGACAGAAAAAAATCAGATGACGTCCATACCCAAGGATACTATAGAGATAAGGATAGTTCGATTCCTATCTTCCTGTACTGTCAGTTTTTTGACGTTATCTAAGGACCGAGTTGAAGTCGCGCTAAAGATTTTAGACAGCGACAGTTATTTTTCCGTTTAACGGACGATCACACAGTCCGGCGGAAGATAAATCTAGCGGGACAAAACCGTATGGTTAGAAATGCCAAAAATGTGTACTGATAAGAATAAATAGTAGACATTCTAATTGATATAAAAGCTGTCTGCTCAGCAAGGCAGAGGTTATACGAAAACAAAATATTTAAAAGTGCTTATACATTTTGGTTACCAAAGGTATGTACTTTTCTACTGTAGGTATATTATCTGTTAAAATCGTTCGTGCCTTTGTTCTGCAGATATCAAACTTACACTTTTTTCAAATAATTGCCAGCTGCCATTTGCTTATGTTTGTTAGACCCAATATAATATTCTAACATATTATATTCCCCAAAATTTTCAAATTTACTCATTTTATTATTTAAAATACACACACTTCAATCTGTTGAAATGAAATGTCACGCATCCATCAAAGGTATGTCCCGATCACCATGACAACCGTTTACTTTGTTACTCGGCGCGGCCTACTATCTACTAAGTGGACATTTTAAGAAAAAATTGAGGTTAATAGTGAAAATAAATATAGAGTGTTATATATTTTCGAGAAGCCCATGCCAAGCTAAATTAGAAAATTTAAAAATATACAGGGGGTTCTATTTAAAAAAACAAGTATAGTTAATATCTCAAAAAATATTTTTTTCGAAAAAAGTCTGACCACGCCACTGCATTCTACACAGAAAAGTGCTTTTAGAATGTATAATTCATGTTTCCGTGGTTGTTGAAATAAACAAACTATCGAATATCTTCAAAAAGTACAAAATTTGGGAATCCCCCTGTAGCTTCGAAACCGATCAAGATAGCCACGATCCGTTTGCGCCATTGTAATTTTTTCAAAAAAAGAACCCGAGACTGCAGTATCAAAATTTGAATATTTCTCACGGTTTTCTAGATACCCTATAGAAACAACCAAAATGGTCCACCCTGTACATAAGTTATATTGATAAATATAATAATAAATGCGGGAAGTTTCTTGAAACTTGAAAGTAAGAAATAGTTCTTTTTTATATTTTTTTGGTATGCGGTGTTTTGTTCTTGTTTGTTTTGTATTAAAACAAACCGTTTTTTTTAAATAAAATAACTCGATTAGATTTTTTCAGTTTTATACAGTTTTTTTCACAATATTTTGAAGTAATCAGTTTTCACTCAAATTTTAAATATATTAATTTCCTGCTATGCGTCCCAATTGTACCAACTTATTTCTTTGTAAAATAAAATAAACTACTGTTAAATTAAAATGACAGACACATCTATCACTGTCAAGGATCTTGTCGTTGGACAGACTATAGTGATTTTAATTTTAATAACCACGGATAACCATTTTACGGACACCCTGTACAAAAACAACTTACCACATCTGACACAAAGTAGTTTATTTCGTCGCCTGCTACCTTATCTACTAAAAACTGCATTAGAGGTTCCATAAAATATTTGGCAAAGTGTCTAAATATGTAGTGTGTGTTATCTATCACTTTTATCCAGAATAGTTTGACGTTTTTGGGAGTTGACGGGTGCAAAAGTAAGTTCCTTATACCTTTAGATTTATAAATTAAGAAATTATTAACATACTAATCATAATATTTTTGTTAGTTCATCTGTACCTTCCATCCACTTCGGAAATTCAACAAAATCTTCCTTGTCTTCAGGTAAACGATTCACACCGGTGTTAAAAATATTTTTGATTAATCCGCAAACAGTGCCCATAAGTTCGTGGTTGTTAATTTCGGTAGATTCTAGGTATAGTTCACCCTGTAAATAATACAGAAAGATCATGAAACATCTGAGTACATAGTATTAGAGGTGGGAATTCTAGTTCCTTGGGAGGAACTCGTTCCTTAGTTCTAGTTCCTCCAGAGGAACAGTTCCTTGAACTAGGTCTTTAGTTCACAATAGTTCCCGACTAACATTGACATCCCCCTTGCTTGCTAATGCGTTTCGTTGTCAGTCAGAACTATTCACAGTATGATCTGTATAATTTTTATAATGTACGGCGATATAACGAGAGGTGTAATTGTGTATGTTAAAAACATATAGGTAAGTTTTATTGCAGATAAAAAAAAAATAAAAAAGAAAACTATATCACAATTACAAATATTACAAAAATTTTACGAAAAATTGCATTTTTCCTCACTTCAAGCTTTTTGTTTTTGTCTAAAAATTCAGAATATCTACTTCGTTTTATAAGATATTTCTTAATTTTAGGGACCTAAAGTAAAACATTCCCATAAAATATTTAAAAAACAAACTAAAAATCAAAAACAGTATCCACGACAATTTTCTATGGTAATTGCCGGCTGTGGCAATAGGCCGAATCCATCGTCGTCGCCTTGTATTATATCTCGGATCTGCCGACTGAATAGATTCCCGTGAACTAGTCTTTTAATAGTTCCTCTATGTCCGGATCCGATAACATACGGCTGGCACTCCCCACGCCTGCCTAGCATCAATCGCGCTGACTGATCCATACGTAAACTAGTCTTTTATTTAGTTCCTCTAGTTCCTTTAGGTCCGGATCCGATAAGATACGGCTGGCACTCTCCACTCCTGCCTAGCATCGATCGTGTTGGCCCGATCCCATGATACAATAAAGGTTAGATAAGATCTTTGGCGGTCGCAAATCTGTTCCCCGCGCGCATGACGTCGCTCGGGTAGAAATTTTCTGTTAAGCTCCGGCAACTACATGCGCAATATCTTCTCTCAGAAGATCCCTGGCGGTGGCAAATCGGTTCTCCGCGCGCATGACGTCACCCGGATAGTAATTTTCTGTTAAGCTCCGCCCACTACATGCGTAATATCTTATCTAACCGTCCTTGTATCATGGCCCAATCCGTACGTACGTAAATTAGTCTTTTATTTTATTTAGTTCCTCTAGGTCCGGATCCGATAACGTACGGCTGGCACTCCCTACTCCTGCCTACCATCGGGCTACGCGCGCTGGCCGATCCGTCGCCGTCGCATATTATTATATATCGGTCACAGTCTCGTGAGTCTCGATCACGGAATAGGTCCTGAGGAACTAGTTCTTTGAGAAACTAGGAACTAGTTCCTTTTATTCCGGGGTCGGAATAGTTCATTGGAACTAGTTCGTTCACGAACTACACACCTCTACATAGTATGTCACTGCGAGGCTCTAGATCAGTCAACTGTCATTGTCATTTACAGTGGCGTAGCGACAAATTATGCCCCCCTCCCCCGCGAAACTTGAGTTAGCCCCCCTCCCGGCCTCCTCCCCTATTCCCTATTTTGGGAATAATTCTATATATTATTTTATTCCCGGACCTCGGAGGTTTCGGGCCCCCTTTGGGCCTGGGCCCCCCGCAGCTGCGGGGGTTTGCGGTAGTAGCGCTACGCCACTGGTCATTTAACACAGTCTAAATACACTTAGATCCATTTTATCACATACTAAACCAATGAATACAGAACAACAAACAAAAAATGTAATTTACAAAATACCATGTGAATGGGATAAATTTTACATTGATGAAACATCTAGACCCTTCAATGTTCGAATTAAAGAACATAAAGATTATTTAAGAAAGGAAGATTTTCACAAATCTAAGATTTGTCAGCATTCATGGGACACAGGGTACAGAATAAATTTTAATAACGCCAAAATTTTAATGAAAGAAGCTATAGCCTCTAAAAGAAAAATATAAGAGGCTTTTTTAATACAACCTAATAAAAATAAATGTATTGCTCATGCATCTGTAGATGTTAGTAATGTATGACAATCGCTTCTTTAATTTTAAAGAACATAACATAAATAAACATAACATACGTAAAAATTAAAAACAATCATTCAGAAAGTTTAGGGTTTTTTGGTTTTACCTTATTAAGTAATTGTTATCAGGTATAGTAATTGTTAATTTTGAAGTTTAACTTGATATAATGTCATTTTAACAGAACGTCAACAGTACTTGTAGACCATGGTACAAAGAAAACAAGGTATGATCGATAGCGGCTCCAAATTCGTTAAGTTTGCGCATATCACCTGTGACGTCATACGCCATACAAAAAAATATCCATATTGTTCAATTGCCACTAATAAAAAAAGACCTAAAATAGGGAAGAATTAGGACATAACCCCAAAAGTTATGTTTTGACATCGAGCTTGACATTTGAAAAATGATTTTCACATTTTGACACAATCAAATTTCACAGATGACACAATCTGTTTGACAATTTGAAATCGGCGCGCAGAGCTTGCCGACCAATGGTGCCGTTTATCACCTGTGACGTAGTGACCAACCTGCGCAATATCATACCTTGTGTTCTTTGTATCATGCTTGTAGACCTTTGAATAAGAAGACTAAGGAAGGAGCATATCAAAAATCTTAGGTACACCGCGATGGGCCTCAAATATGGCCGACTTGAATTCCGGTTTATCAGTATCGTTCTAATTTTATTTAAAAAATGTAAAACTTATGATGTAAGGTAGACGTGGGGTAGACTCAATAATTTGTTGTTTTATTTTACGTTGTGAATAAATGTTGGTATATTTATAAATGATCGGTTTACTACACGTATGTATATTATATAGTCACTTACTAGCGAAAAGTTGTTCCATTATTTCACTCAATTTTTGCCGAGATCTACCGCACGCTACACAACCAACTATTTTAGAGTCTTTTTCGATAAATCGCGATAGTGTCACTGTTAATTTAAGTTCTGCCACAATTTCCATCTAGATTTACTACTTTTATACAACTATCAGTCGTAGAATAAATAATAAATAACATAAAATAAGCTCCGTAAAGACTGACAAATCCACAACATTTCAAATCAAATTCAAATGTGTCAAATGAATCGTCAAACAGAATTGTCAAGGATCCCCACCCTAGAGTGCTTTTTCCGCCCACCATGCATGAATACATGGATAGCATTATGCTCTTTCCTTAGTCTTCTTATTCAAAGTTGTAGACGAATCTGTTTTAAAAAAACTAAAGTGTTCTCGAATAGTTGCATTTAAATATTTTAAATAGTTTTTTTCTTTATTCTTTGTATTTTTTTGCTTCCGACGACGGAAAGAGATAAACTTTCCTAAACGTTAAGCATTTTTTTGTTCGTTAGGCAAATTTGTATATCTGTAAACCTAACTTCTGACAAGTTTGGATTAACGCAGAAGTGTTTACAAAAAATAACTATTTTATTTTGTAGATTTTCTTGCAGTGGCGACACAGACACAGTCTATCTGTTGGACATACTTTTACTTACCTGAATCAGTTGGTTTGAAGCATTTGGATCTTCTAAACTGTCATTTGCATTTGACCGTAAAACCGACGTCGAAAAATCGTGTTTAGTTATGTCCTCACTCAAAGAACTATTAAACAATCTTTGAGATTCAATATACCTAAAAATTCATCCAAAAAAAAGTATACCATTGGAAAATTTAACTTTAAAAAATTTAACCTACTTTAAAGAATTACTTCTATTGCTCTGCTGCCTCAATTCGTCCCTTATACTCACTAACACCTTCCTTTTTTCCGGATAACTGTCAAAATCGACGGTAAAATTATACTCTATGTCGCAATTAATGACAGAACACCATAATATGTCATGGTCTTTCTCCTGCCTGACAAACAACTTTTCATAGAAAGCTCCCTTTTTCATGTAGTTGGAGACGATTGAAGTGAGAGCTTTGTAAGCACTGCATTTGTAGAGTCTTAGTTGTTCTTGATCAGCTGAAAATATTATCATCAACTTTTTGTTATCAAGCTGACATTTTAGACGGCAACTGACATATATGTCATAATATTTGAATTTTAAATATGTATGTAATATAATTTAAATTAATATAATGCAACTTTATACTAAGAAAACATTTATACATTCACAAAATACAACAAAGTCCAATAATATAGTTTGAAAACAATGAATATTGAATTAAAATTAAAAAAGTCAAGCGCGACCTCTTGTGTCAAAATTAGATGATTAAATTTTCGCAATTTTTACACCACTTATGACCTGGGCGGTTGGTCTTTTACTCCCGCTTATGGCCATTAAAGAAAAAGTTTTAAAGGGGGATGTTTTGTGGAGTCCTCTTTCCGTTGATCATGCATGAATACATGGATAGCATTATACTTCTTCCCAGGGGCGCATATACGGGAGGGGTAATGGGGGTAATTACCCCTCCCAGAAAGAAATTAATTTATTTTAATTATTTCTTTCGAAAATCGACAACTATGAAACTATGAACCCTTCCCGGACACAAACGGTACACTGTGAGACAGGAAATTGTAGAGAGAAACAAGCCCTATAACATAGGATACAACATTTTAATGAATAGTGCTTTCCATAAAATCAATAAAATGAAAAATATACGAAATATTATACATGTACTTATTTCTTTCGAAAATCGACAACTTATGAACCCTTCCCGAACACAAACTGTACACTGTGAGACAGGAAATTGTAGAGAGAAACAAGCCCTATAACATAGGATACAACATTTTAATGAACAGTGCTTTCCATAAAATCAATAAAATGAAAAATATACGAAATATTATACATGTACTGATTTCTTTCGAAAATCGACAACTATGAAATTATGAACTCTTCCCGGACACAAAGGGTACATTGTGAAACAGGAAATTGTAGAGAGAAACAAGCCCTATAACATAGGATACAACATTTTAATAAACAGTTCTTTCCATAAAACCAATAAAATGAAAAATATACGAAATAATATACATGTACTGATTTCTTTCCAAAATCGACAACTATGAAACTATGAACTCTTCCCGAACACAAAGGGTATATTGTGAAACAGGAAATTGTAGAGAGAAACAAGCCCTATAACATAGGATACAACATTTTAATAAACAGTTCTTTCCATAAAATCAATAAAATGAAAAATATACGAAATAATATACATGTACTGATTTCTTTCGAAAATCGACAACTATGAAACTATGATCCCTTCCCGGATACAAACGGTACATTGTGAGACAGGAAATTGTAGAGAGAAACAAGCCCTATAACATAGGATACAACATTTTAATGAACAGTTCTTTCCATAAAATCAATAAAATGAAAATATACGAAATAATATACATGTACTGATTTCTTTCGAAAACCGACAACTATGGAACTATGAACCCTTCTCGGACACAAACGGTACATTGTGAAACAGGAAATTGTAGAGAGAAACAAGCCCTATAACATAGGATACAACATTTTAATGAACAGTTCTTTCCATAAAATCAATAAAATGAAAAATATACGAAATAATATACATGTACTGATTTCTTTCCAAAATCGACAACTATGAAACTATGAACTCTTCCCGGACACAAAGGGTACATTGTGAAACAGGAAATTGAAGAAAGAAACAAGCCCTATACAGGGGCGCATATACGGGAGGGGTATTGGAAGTAATACCCCTCCCAGAAAGAAATGAATTAATAAGATGAAATTTGATATAAAATAAAATTGTTACAAAAAAGTTAATAATACAAATTAAAACAGAATATCCAAACCATTCCAAGTAGATTTTTTCCACAGTTACAATACCTTCCAACAAAAATTTAGTACTTTTTTGAATATTCATACTACCCCTCCCAGACTCAATCTCTAGATGTGCCACTGCTTCTTCCTTAACCTTTTTATTCAAAGGTTTAAACGTATCTTGAAACGTCAATAATGACAAAAAATATATTATTTATAATTTTATACGACGTCGTTTTAGTCTCTAATTCGTGAATTAAAATAAAATCAGATTCCTTCATTAGTCTTCATCAAAATGAATCAAAATCAAAATGAAGATACAATATTCTACAAATTTTTTATATTTACCAGCTTCGTCGACAATTTTAAACGCTTCCAAAGCAATTTTCAAGAGATTTCTAATAAGCTGTGTGATTCCCAGAGCTTCTTCGTTACTCTCTTCGCTATCCATATTTATCTTCAAAAAGAACAGCTCCAATAAAGCAAATCCTACTATTCCTTTACCATAGTCCTTATTATCATTCAGATCGTCCAAAACCCTAACGATATTGTCTTTTAAGAACGATTTGAACGCATTGTAGGTACAATACCGTAAAACTGGAACGAAAATGTTCTCCAAAAGTTGTTTTTTCTTGTCGAAATCTGTTTGGTTTGTCACAAGTTCGAGAGTGCTTTGTAGTATGGTCTCCTGGGAGTCTTCGCTGTTGTTGGACATGAAAGTTTTAAGTAGAGTCGTTAGATCTGAGGTGCGAGTACCGTGTAGTTCGATCAGGGATTTATAAATGGTGACGTTTCTTGTGCGGGGAAGTACAGACATCATTTTTTCGGCTAAGAGACTATTATCGAATTGGGATTCTTCAGCGGCTGCTGATATCTGTACTAAAAGGTTTCTGAAAATGTGAAATATAATTAATAAACATACAGGGTGTCCCAATATCCCTAATTTTTTAGAATTAAAATGAGTTCATTGGACAAAACTCAATAGTAAACAAAAGTGTTTCGTTTGTCCGCTACAGGGCATCAAACTTAAGAAAAGAACCGTTATTCCGATTTGAATGGCATTTTAATGAATTGATTTGACATGATTAACTTTCACAAAAATCAAGAAATATTACGGGAAGACTAAAACTACCCCCACCCTTACATACATTTTAGTATGGTAATTGCAAAACATTTTCCAAATAAACTTTTAGTCAAAGTGATTATGCTTGACCCATGATAGAAAGAAAACAAGGTATGATTTTGCGCAGGTTGGTCACTACGTCACAGGTGATAAACGGCACCACTGGACCATGATACAAAGAATACAAGGTATGATATTGCGCAGGTTGGTCGCTACGTCACAGGTGATAAACGGCACTATTGGTCGGCAAGCTCTGCGCGCCAATTTCAAATTGTCAAACAGATTGTGTCATCTGTGAAATTTGATTGTGTCAAAATATGAAAATAATTTTTCAAATGTCAAGCTCGATGTCAAAACATACCTTTTGGGGTTATGTCCTAATTCTTCCCTATTTTAGGTCTTTTTTTTATTAGTGGCAATTGAACAATATGGATATTTTTTGTATGGCGTATGACGTCACAGGTGGTATGCGCAAACTTAACGAAATTGGAGCCGCTATCGATCATACCTTGTTTTCTTTGTACCATGCCACTGGACGGCACGCTCCGCGCGCCAATTTCAAATTGTCAAACAGATGACACATAATAAATGTGTCATAACTTTTCAAATGTCAAGCTCGATGATTTAATATTACTTTTGGGGTTATATCCTATTTCTTCCCTAGTTGATCTAGGTCTTTTTTTATTAGTGGCAATTGAACAATATGGATATTTTTTTGTATGGCATATGACGTCACAGGTGGTATGCGCAAACTGAACGAAATTGGAGCCGTTATCGATCATACCTTGTTTTCTTTGTACCATGATCTTGACCGGTACAACGCTGCCCACTTTTACATATTTTCTTTCAATCAACATATTTTAAGGAAGAAAAATAAATTTATTATAAATACATAAACAGTTATTTACAAAACTCACCACCTTAAGGGATATTCCTACCGTTTTCCCGTTCAAAATATTCTAATAACGTTGCGATGTTTTTTTGCAACGGCTATTAAACTATTTTGTACCACTTAGCACTAAAAGAGATTTTAAAAAGAATAATGTAGACAATTCTCTGAAATGGGACATGCATATCGAAGCTTTGTCGAAAAAATTGAGCTCTGTCTGTTTTGCATTAAGATCTGTTTCTAAGGAGCTTAACTTGTCAGTGGCTAGAACTGTTTATTATGCCCTTTTTAGTCGCACCTCAGGTATGCCCTTCCATTCTGGGGTACGTGTTGTGCGACTCAATTTGACCGCATTTTCAAGCTCCAGAAGAGAGCTGTTCGATATTCACTGGGACTAAACAGCAGAACTCATTGCCGGGACTTTTTTAAAAAATTAAAAATATTGACTCTTCCTTCCTTATTTATATTTGAATCCGTTTGCCTAATACGTAAGCATGTATCAGCTTCTCAAGAAAGGCCATCTCACACTTATCCACTCAGGAACGCGGAGCAAGATCTTTATCTACCTAACCCACGCTCAGAGTTAGTTAAAAGTTTAATATTATACAACTCGAAAAAAATGCACAATTACCAGCCATTTGAAATCAAATCCATAACATCATGTTCTTCATTTCGCAAAGCATTGAACTCTTATTTACTAGACAAAGCTTTCTACGCCGTAAATGAATTATATTTTGATAATCGAATTTGATCTTGTAAACACTGGTCTAATGTTTGCTATTGCTATATTTACTAATGACGTCGAAATAAATTTATTTAGAGGTCATTGATATTTACTATAAACTAACTTTCCCTTACTTAACTTACTAACTTAACTTACTTAGCCTTCGATTACGTAACTAAAAGTTAAATTGATATCGGTTTATATAGTCTGTAAAACGAATAACTTTGAATTTGACAGTTCCCGCGGGCTTTTATAGTGTTAATTTTATTAGGTTAGCAACTTGCGGCCATGCTGACGTAATGCCGTCTCTAATAGAACAGCCTCGGAGCGAGATTTATGACGTCACGCTAGTTAGATACTACAGATTAATAAATATGTTTAGAATACATGGAAAACATAATTATTCCTCGTATTTTTTAGTTTGTATTTTAAAAATGATATAGTTTACATGAAATATACATAATATACAGTTAATAAATACAATATATATACCTATTTATAGTAATAAATACTTTAGCAGATAAAACTATGAACCATACAAATGCAGCAAATGTTTTACAATATGGCTGAAATCGTACTCTATAGTCAATGTACATAGTTTTGTGTTAAGAATAATAATTTAAAAAAATATGTGTTTTTGACAAGTTTATATTAGTTTATTAATTGCAGTAAACATTATAATATATAAATAAATTGTACATCACTATTAGTAGATATTGAATGTTTTTTGTTAAATTAGATCGATTTTCGAACCCCAAAATTTAAAATATATTTTGCATTTTACCCATTATCTTATGTACCACCTATTCATTATTTGTATATTGTAAAACATTTGCTGCATTTGTGCGGTTCATAGTTTTATTTGCCAAAGTATGTATTACTATAAATATGTATATATTATATTGTATTTATTAACTGTATATTATGTATATTTTAAGTAAACTATATCATTTTAAAAATACAAACCAAAAATACGAGAAATAATTATGTTTCCATGTATTCTCCAACATATTTATTAATCCATAGTATCTAACTAGCGTGACATCATAAATCTTGCTCCGAGGCTGTTCTATTAGAGACGGCATTGGTCTAATATTTTGAAATGTCAAAAGCTGATGACATTTTACTTTTGTCAATTATGACATTTCGTGTTGATTTTTGCAAAAAAGAGGAAGAACTGTCACTTGTTTTATTATTTTCCTTTTCTATTTCACGAAAGTAAAAAGAGTTACCTATCTGATTCATTCAGGCACTCAATTTAAAGAATATCAGTAACTTTTTTGATAGAGGGATTTTATATTTGCCCTGTTGGTAAAAAATAACGGTCAAAATTCAAAGTTATTCATTTTATAGACTATACATGTGCTCTTATTGAGGACCCGCCACTGTATAGGGTGTTCAAAAAAGTTTGCAACAAATAAGATTTTTTTAATTATTGATCTATTATTGATTTAAACACTTACCTTGTTTTTTCAACATCTGCATTCACCTCGGCGACAATATAAAATATATTCAAGTATAAACTTAGCTTATTAAATTGACTAAGTACCTCTTGATCTCTACCAACCAAATTGAGAGTCCATTTTATTACGTCACTATCCCCTTTGAGCTTTGTTCCGAAAACATCATACAAAGTTTTAACAAAATCCAGTCCTATAACGACGAAAAAAAAAGAAAAAATTTAGTAGTCTTAATTTTATGACAAAAAATACCGGCATCGATGCTGTTCTCTTCAAAATATATCTGGAAAAAAATCCATTTATCCAAAATCAGGCTGAAGACATCATTGATCACTCTTTCATAACCAATTCTGGATTTCTTTAAACTGGATATCAAAAACGTCGTTATACGAACCACGTATTCGAAGTTTTCGTAATTCTCCAGAAACAAAGCGAAATTTTGAAAAATGTATTTAACAACGACATCCTGAAATTTCTGCAGGAGATATATTCCAAATATTTGTCCTTCTTCAGCCTCCGATTCTAGATCGGTATAACTGACTGTATATCCTTGAAATATGTGTTTTAAGAAAGCTTTAAACTCTCCGTTGTTGCTCAGAGCAAAATCTAGTAATAGTGAGCAAAATTCCAGAGCGGTATCGCTTAATTTTCCAATGAAAATCACATTATTTTCCCTCCTGTCATAAAAGTTTTTCATTAATTTGTCAACAATACCTTCGGAAAAAGCTTCGCTGTTAAAATAGTTATTGATTTGACTTTCTTTAATCATTAATAAACCTAAAAAATTAATAGTTATTTTTTATACAAGACGATAATGCAATTTTATCGTCGTGTATAAAACAATATTTTTTTCCATAGCGAGTTACGTTTTAAAAAATATTCAGAAATTATTATTTCAAGGAATTTATTACGAGTAGAAAAAATATTGTGCTGGGTCGGCGTTGGTTTCTATGTAATTTGACAAATAAATAAAGCTGTCTTTTTAGTTGTCAGTTTTGAGCATAGACCTTTGAATAAGAAGACTAAGGAAGGAGCATAATGCTATCCATGTATTCATGCATGGTGGGCGGAAAAGGCACCATAAAAGCTCTCTAGGGTGGGGATCCTTGACAGTTCTGTTTGACGATTCATTTGACACATTTGAATTTCATTTGAAATTTTGTGGATTTGTCAGTCTTTACGGAGCTTATTTTATGTTATTTATTATTTATTCTACTACTGATAGTTGTATAAAGGTAGTAAATCTAGATGGAAATTGTGGCAGAACTTAAATTAACAGTGACACTATCGCGATTTATCGAAAAAGACTCTAAAATAGTTGGTTGTGTAGCGTGCGGTAGATCTCGGCAAAAATTGAGTGAAATAATGAAACAACTTTTCGCTAGTAAGTGACTATATAATATACACACGTGTAGTAAACCGATCATTTATGAAATTCACTTAAATTAACTAAATTATTTATTTTTCTTGCATTTTAGCTTTTATTTATTACTTGTCAAAGATTAGATGTCAAAGAATTTAGATACGTTAATTTGACTTACCTGCTTCAGTAGCGTATCGGATGTTTGTGTTAATAAATACTTATTATAACTTATCTATTTTTATTAGAATTATATTTTTTTATAACAATTTTAATAACTACCAACATTTATTCACAACGTAAAATAAAACAACAAATTATTGAGTCTACCCCACGTCTACCCTACATCAAAGTTTTACATTTTTTAAATAAAATTAGAACGACACTGATAAACCGGAATTTAAGTCGGCCATATTTGAGGCCCATCGCGGTGTACCTAAGATTTTTGATATGCTCCTTCCTTAGTCTTCTTATTCAAAGGCATAGACAAACAAATAAAAAGAGACTGACAAATCTCATGGTAAAGAGCGGGACCGCGTTCACGTAGCGCAACTCAGAATAACAATTTTGAAACCAATTAGCAGGACCACGGCGGGACGTACGTCTTTATTGCTATCTTTCTTTATTATGTGTGCTTTATATGATAAAGAAAGAGATAGGTATAAAAGGTATCGTAAGACATTATCGCACACTCTGGCTGGCGGGAAGTTTAAATTAGCCATTATTAGTAGTATTCTTTCATTCTGAAACTGAAAATTTTCACTTAAACTGATTTATATTCCCTATACCACGTAAAGGGAACGTGGTGTAGGGAATAAATCAGTTTAAGTGAAAATTTGCAGTTTCTTTCAGAACGAAAGAATACTACTATTATAAGGGAAATTACAAAAAAAGGAAAAATTGTACTGTTTTATAAACATATTTATTTCTACATAAAAATAAATAAACTTTTTATAATATAATAACAAAAAATAACAGTGTTTATTCCACCCACCTACCAATTTTAAATGCAGAAGAACTAACTGACTGTTGCAGGAAACGATCGGCCAATTTTTTAAAGGGCATTAAAAATCTCATTTTCGAAAAAACTGCCTAAGTGCAATAACAAAGTGAATATCCAAGCAAAGAAGACTTTACGAGAATCATGATCCTGAACCATTTTCAAGTCCAGTTTTAATCCTAAAACAAAAGTAAAATAGGTATATTAATAAAGTTTCTGGTTAGTATAAACCAGCTATAAACTACCTACCCAAAAATGAAAAAAAATAATTGTATTAATTTGTTATGTTAAGAGAAGTTCGAAATATTTTTGACACTACTACTTCTACTTTTTTCTTAATAAGATGATAAATAAAACTACTTACTTTTATTTTACCGGGTGTCTTTAACATATCTATCAGAGAAAGGGGGTACCAATACATATAAAAAATAGATGATACTGGCTCCTGCAGCAAATAAAATAACAAATAGTATAACCTAAAATTATAAGTAACATAATATAAATACCTATATGGAACAAAGGAATTTGTTCCCTATCCATATTCATAAGTCAAAAAAATGGAGAGTTGAGAAAAAAAGGTAAATCACCAAAAGAAAAATTAACAAACATGACGAATTGTCATGATGTTGTCATCTTGGTTGTCATGATGACGAAAACGAAAGGCGATTGTTCTAATTTCTATTTAGAAAATTACGTTTTATATGGCTGCTTCTTACTCTCTTGTTAAATTAGAACGAGATAGTGGGCCCAATAGACGCAATGCGCAGATCCAAAGACATAAATAGAACGAAATTTTGCGTTCTGAGTTGCGCTACGGGAACGTTGTCCCTCTCTTTGCCATTTAATTTGCCAGTCTCTTTTTATTTGTTTGTCTATCGTTTTGAGTCAATATTTTTTAATTCTCTTTCGTGTCGATTGCTGATTGAATTGGAGCCAGAAATGGCTCAAAACAAAATAAGTAAATTACCAACAGATATTCAGGCTGAGGTGACAAACGCCATATCCAAACTACTTCCATTTAAATCCCGAATAACTTATAAAAAAGGAATACACAAATTTTCAAAAATGGAAGCAATTAAAAAACGTGAGAGAAGAAATAAAGTTTTTAACCTATATCCTCCCTGTTAAAGTATCATTTAATCTACCCTTGGGTTAAAGTAACAGTTGCTATGGAAAAAATGATTATTTTAGTGATAAAGATCTTCTTTTCACAGAATATTTTACCTGTTACAATACCCCTTTGCATCCGAGAAATATTTCTGTTGATATCAATCTCGGAACTGAAATTTTCGCTAACATAATCCTTTAAAACTTCAACCAAGTCTTTGACTTTCTTGTTAGCCAATTTCCTAGATATACTATTCAAGAGAATATTCAAATCCTCGGAATAATTCAATCCTATACCGTTATCTTCAAAACCCAACTTGAGAGGATTAAAAAGGAAGTTTAAGATCAAATTCCAGAAACTGTTGATCCAAAAATTTTCGCTTTTGCTGGTTAAGTCGGTATCGTCAGCTATGGCTCTTGCTAATTTTAAAATTGTCAAAGAACAAGCGTATTTTAGAGACAAAAAGTGTTGCTTATTCTCGATGGTGTAATAGGGTGTTGTCTCGTGCTTCTTATAAACGATTTCCAATACTAAAAATTTCAATACATTTCAAAAAATTATATACCGGGTGCGTTTCAAAAGTGGCTTATCCCGATAACTTTTTTTTGAGATAAAAAAAAGAAATTTCGAATATTAGAATATGACATAAATTAGGATTGATTGACGTATTCAATTGTTTTCGGTCACTTCCTGTTTCACCGGAAATGACTACATTTTTTGGTTTTTAAATGACATCCTCGGTATTTTTTATTTTATTTGATAGAAAATGACACTCTGAATAGAATGACATATCATATGTCAACTTTTGACATTTTCGTATATGGTTTATTTGAAATTATAACATGCGGTTCATAACGACAATTTGGCTTGATCTTTTAAATGGCCAGGACAAGACAAAAGTCAATCAAATTTATTTTTCCAAGGCCCCTTGATTAAAAATTAATGATTTTACCAAAGCACTCTAGATTGAAATTTAAAATACAATTTTTTTAAGCAAAAATTTTAAAAGTATATATATTATATGTCATTCTACTCAGAGTGACATTTTCTAACGAATAAAATAAAAAAATACCGAGGGTGCCATTTAAAAATCAAAAGTTATAGTCATTTCCGGTGAAACAGGAAGTGACCGAAAACAATTGAATACGTCAATCAATCCTAATTTATGTCATATACTAAAATACCAAATCTAATTTTTTTATCTAAAAATAAAAAAGTTATAGGGGTGTAAAATAGACTTTCGAGACGCACCCGGTATACCGGACAAGAAAAAAATTGTTGCAAAAATCATGGCCAGGAAAATTATCTGGTGAAATTTTGTATGGCGCCTGGGGTAGGAAAAAATAAATTTTACAGTTTACTAGTTTGTTTGGTTGCCATTCTGGTCACTTCATCTGCGTGGTCTGTATTTTAATGCATGCGACAGAGATAAATATAAATGACAGGTTGACAGACAGAGAGACAAAATAAAAAGGCCGGCATACAGTGTTGCCGGTTTTTAAGTTTGTATGAAAATGTGTGTATAAAAAAAAACTACTTTAAAAACTGAAAAGAAGATAGTATATCTAAGCTAAATATAATCTATTACAGCTGTAGTAAAATGAGTAACTAATTGTGAAAAATAAAGTTCCAACCCTAGATGCAACATTTTTCGTAAACGCCTACTTGTTCGGTTTGAAATTCTGATGCAAAATCCGGCAATATCGCATAGAAGAAATGCATCAACCCAACTTTTATCTCTTTTTAATGCACTTGATTTTTCATTAAGCTGTCTACATCACTGACTTACACGTTAAAATCCATACTACGCTTTTATGATAACCCCATCGGTATACCGATGGGGTATACCGATATTTACGAGTTATCGCCGATTTCTTTTTAAATATTTCTCCTTTCTTATGGCCCTGTATTTACTTATGAGCACCAGTCAAGGTAAAAGATAACTGTCAAATGAAGTTGTCATTTCAGAAATTTATCTATTTAGTGCTTTATTATTATTATTAAAAACTCATACCTACCTCGAAAATATTAGCCATGAATTACACTACCGAAGAAAAAGTATTGATGATTAAATGGTATTATCAAGGAAATAGTGATCAAAAGGTGTCGGACATGTTTGCTGCTCGTATCCGAATAGGCCGATACATGGAAAATCTACAATCGCAAGGAATATCCAGAGATTTGAGACCAAAGGTACCCTAATAAATAATTGCAGATGTGAAGCAAGGCAGGAACAAAGAGAAGATGCAAGAAATGATACCGACTTGGAAGTTTTATTGTGCGTGGAAGAGAACGATGGAAAGATCAGCACAAGGAAACTTGAGGATGAAACAGGAATAGATCACACTACAGCGTTTCGAATTTTGAAATGACATAAATACTATTCCTTCAAATATGAAAAGCACCAAGAGCTACGAGATGGGGACGAAATACGGCGACAGGCGTTTTGTTTTGATATGATGGAAAGAGCAAACACGGGTAGGGAATTTTTAAAAAAACATATGTTTCACTGACGAATGCACGTTTACCTTAAATAATGAACCCAATGTTCAAAATTATAGATATCGGAACCAAGAAAACCAACACAGGTTTGTCGAAACAAAGACGCAATATCCACAGAAAGTAAATGTTTGGGCAGGGATATTCGGACACAATATTATCGGGCCATTATTTCTTACGCGAAATTTAAATGCAGAATATTATTTGGAACTACTCGAAAATCATATTTTACCTGCTTTACATGATGCCGCTAGGGAAAATCAGGAAGTTTGGTACCTAATGGATGGCTGCCCGGCACATAGTACCCTGGCTGTTTAAATCATACAGTAAATTGGCCAGCAAGGATATTTCGCCAATCTCCTGATATTTCGCCAAATGATTTTTCTCTGGGGCCATTTAAAAGACAGGATATACAAGGATAAAAAATACCCAAATCTAAACGAGTTAAAAAATGCTATTTCTGCCGAATGCAATAGAATTTCAGTTTACCAACTAGCGAATGTAAGAAGAGAATTTTATGATCGCCTGGGTTATTGTCTAGCAGTCGATGGAGGAATATTTGAACATATTAAATCCTAAAGTTCTAACAATTTAATAGTACCTAAATTAATAAGTTATTGAATATTGTAATAATACTATAATTAACCTTGTAATTAATTACTTTATTTTACTTTAATTCATATTAATTTGTATTTATAAATACATCTTTAAGATTTCCGATGTAGGAATGAGTTTTCAATAATAATAAAGCACTAATATGGCACTAAATAGGTAAATTTCTAAATTGACAACTTCATTTGACAGTTATCTTTTATCTTGACTGGTGCTCATAAGTAAATACAGGGCCATAAGAAAGGAGAAATATTTAAAAAGAAATCGGCGATAACTCGTAAACGAGCTAATCAAAAATATCTAAAGTTATTCTTTTGAATGTGGGTTTTAGTGCTCTTCAATAAACCTACATAGAATTATTCTCTAAAATAATTGGGGAAGTCAATAATTGACCCCATTAAAATTTACATGGGATTTCCTATGTCCTGTCCGACGATGCAACACCCGGTATAAAAAATATACAGTGTAGTATTTTTTAAGTTTTCAATGACAGTTTTATTGATAAACAACAATCAAATGACGATTTGTTCAACAATTTAGATATCACCCTGTAAAACCTACCTTTATCAATTGAATTAATCATAATATGATTCAAAAAGAATTTTGTAGCGCTGAAGAAAACATTTTTGTCATCCTCTAAACTAACTGAATATAGAGAATTTTTTATAAGGAAAGTATAGCCGTCTAGTAAGCACCAATATCCCTGCAACCATTTTAGAAGAACTGTGCTATCTTCGCCGACATTTATGTTATGCAATGTCGGATACTTTGTCAAGTGTTGTTCATATAGTGTTACGGCGTTTGGGAAGTGTTCCTGAACAAAATCAGCAGAGTGTTGATCGGTGCTGCACAGTGGTACGAAATGCGTAAATAGTTCCATTGAAATTTCACTAATAATAAAAAAAAACGATTAAAAAACATTTTTAAAAGTATATACATTATAATACCGGCAATAATGACTTTTGCTAGCTGTCATCTTGAACAACCACTGACACACACCTACTAAATCACCGTTTTGTATGTCAGAAGGAACTCTTCTTATATCGGGACAAGTACCACAAAAAATCCGGGATTTTTGAATAAAAATTCGTTTTAAATGAAGAATGGCGCTTTTAATTTGAAAAACAGCAGGTTCGACCTAGAGAAATGCCTTAAATTTTAGGAAATCGTTTTAATTTGAGAGAGATAAGTAAAAATAGAGGAGTTTTAAAAGGCATAAACACGATATTTAAAAGATACAAAGGGTTAAATATATGTTTTTTTTCTCTAAGATTGACAGTAATAAATCTGGTAATGTTGCAATAATGGGTTAGAAATCAATGGTTACTCATATGCGTTTCTATGTTTACTTATTTCTCTGAGACTAAAGAATACAAGGACAATAACGTGTGTAATTGTGAACGTTTTAAAACTGTTTTCGTTAAATAATTGGCATAACACTACTTAAAAAACACTATCCACCATCGGCGTAGACGAGACTTTTATCAAAATTATAAATAAATAAAGATTATTTATAACCAAATTAGTCTATAGTCTATAAAATGAATAACTTTGAATTTTGACCGTTATTTTTTACCAACATGGCAAATAAAAAATCCCTCTATCCAAAAAGTTACTGATATTCTTTAAAATGAGTGCCTGAACGAATTATATAGGTAACTCTTTTTACTTTCGTGAAATAGAAAAGGAAAATAATAAAACAAGTGACAGTTCTTCCTCTTCTTGCAAAAATCAACGCGAAATGTCATAATTGACAAAAGTAAAATGTCATCAGCCTTTGACATTTCTAAATATCAGAGCACTGCCGTCTCTAATAGAACAGCCTAGGAGCGAGATTTATGACGTCACGCTAGTTAGATACCACGGATTAATAAATATGTTGTAGAATACATGGAAAACATAATTATTCCTCGTATTTTTGGTTTGTACTTTAAAAATGATATAGTTTACATTAAATATACATAATATACAGTTAATAAATACAATATATATATATATATATATATATATATATATATATATATATATATATATATATATATATATATATATATATATATATATATATATATATATATATATATATATATATATATATATATATATATATATATATATATATATATATATATATATATATATATATATATATATATATATACATATTTATAGTAATAAATACTTTGGCAAATAAACTATGAACCATACAAATGTAGCAAATGTTTTACAATATACAAATAATGAATAGGTACATAAGATAATGGGTAAAATGTAAAATATATTTTAAATTTTGGGGTTTGAAAATCGATCTAATTTAACAAAAAACATTCAATATCTACTATTAGTGATATATTATTATTTGCATTCACAAAATTTATATGTATATTTTGCAAGCATCAATGTTCGAAAAAATATATTTGCAAATAATACAATATCATAGAAAAAAGGCGTCAGCGATGGCTATGAAATAAAGATCGCTGTCATTTTATATGTAAAATTATTCTAAAATTTTTGATTTTCTTGGAATTTAGGTTCGGGAAAAACTAAGTTTACATTTATTTGGTTTTTCATTTTTCTTTTTGGTTTAAAAAAAACGTTATAGCTAACGTTTATAGCCTTCATCAGTGTTGTGTCATATGAAAAAAATAGTGTCGAATATAATCCAAAAAATTACATATACAAGGAATAATTATGTTTTCCATGTATTCTATAACATAATTAATCCGTAGTATCTAACTAGCGTGACGTCATAAATCTCGATCCGAGGCTGTTCTATTAGATTGGCATTACATCAGCATGGCCAAGGCATGGCCGCAAGTTGCTCACCTAATAAAATTTACACTAGAAAAGCCCGCGGGAATTAAATTCAAAGTTATTCGTTTCACAGACTATAATAACTCGTTACAGTAAGTACTAAATTAATTTTTGTAAGCTCCCCAATTTAGTTGACACCTAGTCCCATTACAAATTAATTTTGAGCTAAAAATTTGACATATAAAAAATAGCATAAAACTCAGCGAATAGTAATTTAAAAAAAATAATTGGTGAAACAAATTAATATTGCATTTTTTATTTATATCTGATTTTTTATTTTAAACCTCTGGCACGGCACTGGCCAAATAGCCTTAGTGTCAACTGGTAACAATTTAGTCTCTGGTGTTTTTGGTCCTTGTATTCTATAGTCATTGCTAATTATATTACCTCTTCACTGACAGACTCTATCAGAGACAAACTGGACACGAAAATATAGAGCAACTCAATGGAAAAAATTGAAATCAGCGATCTTTCCTCTCTGATCTCTCTGTATATGTTGTTGAACATGATCGCGGCGCCTAATTTCTTAACCAAGTCAGGATGGGTACTGAAAAAAGCCATTCTTTTAACGACAATTTTGACGTATAACGGATTATTTTCCATCTCTCTCTCGCTGGTATGCTTTATGGTCCACCTAATAAATTCGTTGAGGCACCGCCCAGAAAAATCGCGAAGTGCACTATTGGTTGGGTGCGTGATCCCTTCCTAAAAATACAGTTTTAAGCAAGAAGTACGAATGAACTACTTTAATAATAAATCTTTGAATAAAAAGATAATGGAAGGAGCTTAGACAAGGAAAGAGAGGGGACAGATAACACGGCAGCTAAAAGTGAGGCCATTTGTCACCAGGCGAAAGTTTCCAATGGCGTAGCATAAGAAATTAGCTTGTACCTAGACGATAAAAAATATTTATTAAAACGTTAACTAATATATCGTTTATTTTTGAGTAATGCATATACAATTTTGTATTTTATAGTCTCACTTTTATAATATTAGAATATCTAAGCCGATAATGCAAAATTTATTTAACAGTCACATTGAAGTGATCATCAAGACAATTATTTATTTATTAACGTGTGTATAATGTATAATTAAATAAAAAATAATGTAAATATATATGTTTTTAACGTGTATATACATATATACCGTATGATTGAAAAATAACGGCATCCTGTTTGTTTGGAAATGACGATCGATAATGACATTCCCCACATATATAAAATGACATAAAAACTATATAAAATGACGTCGAAAAAAGACTGGGAGGAATGTCATCGACAGTCATTTACAAGCCAACTGGACGCCGTTTTTTTTTCGATCATACGGTATAATAATGAATCTAGGCAATCCCCTTCACACTTGCCTACGGGTTCAATAAATAATGTAATTTTTAATATTTCTTATGATTTAATCATTTTTGATATTCTTATGATTCAATCATAAGAATATCCGAATTTTCCGAAAAAAAAACAATTCTAAAACCTTTGTGTTATTTTATTTATTTATTTTTAAATTTTTATTAATTACTCACTGAAACTATTATTATACACCTAAACTAGCAATTTTTTTGAAAGGATATTTAAAAAAATATTGTAACAAGTACCCCAACACAAGTTTGTCCACCCCCAGCAAATAATAATAATAATAATAATAATAAAAAAGGTTTATTGTTCCAAATCACATACAAAATACATAATATATAAATTATTTTAACAATTGGAACAAAAGGCACAGTCAGCTTCCTTCAAAGTCGAAGGTGCTGTTGAGGCCACGAAAAAAAAATATACAACAATATTACCAAACAAAAGGCAATAATAATATAATTTTGCACAAATCAATATCATACAAAAACTAAAAAAAAGACCGTACAAAAAGTATTATTACGACACAAAAAGCAACAATCTTTAATAAACTTAGAACTTTTACTTAAAATAGCACAAGAGGATTAAAAAAAATTAAAAATTATATCAATTCATTCCGGGGAGCAGTTGATTCTTAATTTTCTTTTTTGAAAGACAGGACAGACCTCGAAAAATCAGTAATTGTGAACTTATTTATTGACGTAGCAATTTGGTAGGAAAATGACTTTTTAAAGAATTCTTTTTATGAGCGGGTATGGTTAGAAGATGTTGTCTGCGGATATTTAGGTTATGCACATCTGTACGAAATTGTAATTTGTTGTAAAGATAAGGTGGGCATTTATGTTTCAGAATTTTATAGAAAAAAACATACCGAGTGCAAAAGACGACGTTCGGACATGTTAAGCCAATTAAGTTCTCTAAGTTTATGTGACACTCTTTGTCTTCTTCTTATTCCGCAGATCAATCTTACGCAAGAGTTCTGGATTTTTGTACTCTGTTGTTATCTTTTGAGTCGAGAAATGGACCATATACATTATCTAGATAATTAAAATGAGATAGAACAAGCGTGTCACATAAGATTGTTTTAGTTTTTTGTGACAAAAAAGTGCCGCCAGAATATATTAGTTTTAATTTTGAAAAAGCTCTGGCCAAGCAGAGGGTGATATGTCCGTTAAATTTTAGTTTATTATCCATGACTAGACCAAGGTTTTTGCAAGACTTCTGAAATAAGATAAGATTATCACCTAATCTAGGTCTAACATGCTCCATAATCATATCCCGGTAACTCTCCGCGCAGAACAATAGAGCAGTTGATTTACTTGGATTTAAATCAAGCATATGATCCGAGTGATACTTTCAATATTCTATCCAAATCAGAGTTAAGTTTTCTATGTGCAGCATCAGCTTGATTCTGATTAAAAGATATATAGATTTGTGTGTCATCGGCATACAGGTGATACCCACTGTACTTAAGACTCCCTACAAAATTTGAGGTATATATACTAAATAAGAGAGGACCTAAAATGCTACCCTGTGGGACTCCAGATGAAACACTCAATATCTCTGAATAGTTATTCTCCCAAACAACTCGTTGACATCTATCTGTCAAAAATGATTTTATAAACGATGAAGCTTCTACTGTAAAACCTATGTATTTTAAAATAAGTATTAAAAGTATGTGGTTAAGCACATCAAAGGCTTTACTATAATCGAGAAGTACTAGTACGGTAGCATTATTCTTATCCTGGGCTCTCACCCATCATCAACAACATCAGTCAAAAGCACTGCCACAGCTATAACCAGCTCTGAACCCCGATTGTTTAATGGGCAAGATACTAGTAACTGAAAGATAGGATCGAATTGGGTTTTCCATTACTTTTTCTAATATTTTCGACAAAGTTGGTAATATTGAAATTGAACGTAAATGGCTGAATTCTGTGGGGTTACTTTTTTTTTGGTAATGGTGTCACATTAGCAAGTTTCAAGACTTTGGGAAATAAGATCTCTGAATACAAGAATTAATTATATCAGTTATATAAGGCACTATATGAGACAACAAAAAGATATCAAAGAGATATTTAGATCATCGGATCCAAAGGCTTTAGATCTAATAGCCAGAATAATATGAGATATTAAATCTTCTGACACAGTAGAAAAAGAAAAAGAATTTTGAGGAAGTAAACTGTTGTTATTATAATAGTCTAAGATATCCTTTTTAGGAATATTACATGTTTTTGTTGTTTGGGTAAAATATCCATTAATTTCATTGACATTTTGTAGGTTTTCTGGAATATTACTAGTTTTGTTAGACAGTATATTAGCCAAATCTTGGCAGGCAAATTTAAGTTTTATGGAACAACTATACATATAGATTTTTATATCCAAAATTTTTCATGTTTTTTTTATAGTTTACAATTATTATTTTACATATTTGATAACAATACTTTATACATTTTTTTACATGTAAAAAAAATAGAAAAATGTTTATTGCAGAAATTGTATTTCTCTGATTATAATTTCCTACGCCACTGGAGAAATCCATGCTGAGTAGCATTATTTATAGTTTCAAACATTAATTATAATACAGGATATTGAAAATACTACTTGAAATTACTAAAAATAGTTTTGTTTGGATGTGGTACAAAACATATTAAAAGCATTTTACATATTTTTACTGCTATAATGAAAAAAACGTACATTTTATGACTACATAGCACAAGTTGTGTATCAACTTTTAGCTTTAAAATGTAATTCCAGTAATTTTTTTCTCGCTTCAGCCTTTGCAGCCATACGCCGAACATCTCACCATACTAAACAACACAGTTTTAAATTTAAAACAAAACAGTATTTACAAAAAACTTAAAAATTCGCTTGGGGTCACCTCGAAATCTTGTCACCAAAGTATGGCCGCCGATCAAATTTTGGCCTCAAAAATTTTTCACTGGCGAATATGCGTGTTAGCTGTCCCCTCTCTTTCCATGTTAAGGGAAGGAGTATAATGCCATCAGGAAAAAGGACTCTAGGGTGGGGATCCTTGACAGTCCTGTTTGACGATTCATTTGGCACATTTGATTTTGATTTGAAATTTTGTGGATTTGTCAGTGTTTACTGGTGATGTAAAATTTCCAGAAATATATTTTAGGAAATATTTCCTGAAACATTGGAAATATATGATAAAATCATAACAAAACATCGCAAAACACAAAATGCTTATACATAAACACAAATAAAGAATTCTTCAAATTAAAAAATAAATTAAGGTTAAATTTGTACAAAAAAAAAATATTTTTGACACACTAGTCGAGCAAGAGGCATATCTTTATCGCTGTCATCAGCATCACACTCAATAACATCTTCTTGCCAGTCTACTTCCTCAAAATCTTCAATAGTATCGGAAATAAAAATTGATCTATTGCCGTTTCCTATTTTCTTCGGCAAGTTGTCATTGTGGGATACATAGAGTAGCTTAGCGGCTCTATCATTAGTAAGACTGTTTCTCTTTTTTGAATGAATATGACTATAAACGCTAAAACCGCGTTCCGTGGCAACCGAAGATGCTGGCATCATCAACATTCGTGAAGCTACTTGTGATAATGAAGATGAAGAACACAGTCCTTTCCACCAGGAGACTGGGTTATCAAAACTACTTTTCCATATGAAGTTATTTCCAAATAACTTGCCACTTCTACAACGGTAATCTGCTATTTCATCTATCATTTCTTGCTCCCTTATATTGAGTTTATTTTTTGATATATTAAGTATGCATTCTATGGCAGAAAGAATTTGGGTTTCATCAAGTTCAGGACCTTGTGATTGTAGATTTAATAATTCTGCAGCATAATGAATGGGTTTAATAGCAAATTTTTCTCTTTTGTCAACAAACTCGAACAATTCGGATTTTTCTTTGTCGTCAAGTGAGGACAATGCAAGATTATTCTGAATTACTCTTCTAATATCACAAAATGCTTTTACAGCAAAATGAATAGTGCTATAATCTCCTTCTACAATTTTTAACCATTTGCCAATAGGTTCAAAAATGTTAATTACTTTGGGAATTTGGGCCCAAAATACTTCGTCATCTAATATCCACTGCTTAACATTTTTATCAATCATTTGTGTTGCTTCTTGACTAACTGCAACTCCTTGTACACTGAGCCTAGTATCGTATACACTTTTTAAATTGGTCAAAATTGAAAACCAGCGAGTTTTTACTACGCTACGACTTACGAGCTCGGGACTTCCCCGTAGAAATTCACCATTATATGTTTGTAAAACTGTTCTATAGCATGGTACAAAGAATACAAGGTATGATCGATAGCGGCTCCAATTTCGTTCAGTTCGCGCATACCACCTGTGACGTCACTAGGAAAATAATGAATAAATAAAAAATAAAGAAAGTTGACAGGAGATCTGCATTTTTTGGGGTTATGGTTAAGAATTGTTTATTTTTAAGACTTTTTAGTTCGTTTAATTTAATAATTACTAAAACCAGCAGTTCTAAAAATATATTTAAAAATAATAATTATCTATTAACACGGATTTGGACGATACGTAAGAATACTAAATTTATTTCTATATTCGGTATAAAATTGTTTATTAGGTTTTTAGTTTGTGATGTTCATGGTAAATAATTTTCATTTTCATTGCCTCTGAATTCACATGAGGACAGAGTTGAGGATATCTATGGAAAAGTAACCACAAGAGGAATTGTTACATCATTTAAAAAATGTTGGGAAGTTTATTGTTTCCCATCGAGAAGTAGAAAATGCCAATGCAGATGAACGTATTGTAATTGTGATAGAAGTAATTCTAAGGGTGAAGTTTATTATAATTAGTGGAAGTAATACCAAGGGTGAAGTTTATTATAATTAGTGACTTGTGCTTCTTTTTATATGTAGATGTTTCTGGTTTTGAGAATAAATCGGTTGAACGACACCCAAAATTTAAAGGAAGTATTTTCATACCCAGAATATGCCCATCAAGGATTATATAGCTCAAATTTCCTTTAATGGTAGGCAATTATTCAATGCAAATTAACTTTTTAAGTGACTGAAATATTAAATAGTTTACAATATGGTATATCGCTAAAAATATATTACTTTTAGGTACAATTAGGGCCCGATACATTTCAAAAAGTAGAATATTATTTTATATTAAATGAGGTATTGTACTAACAATCAATTTATATTAATAACGGAGATTAAAAAATAACAGAATAAATAGTTCTTTTTTTTATACTACAAAAATAAACTATAGAATACAACAGTATTTAAAAAAATAAATAAAAAGTGATGTTCCGGCCGAGATTCGAACTCCGGTCTCTCGCCTCCTAGCCCGACTCCTTATGCACTGCTCCACAGTAACTTGCTTAGCGATAATTCAATGACGGTATACAAAACAAAAAAAACAGGTTTATAACAATACCTTGACGATTTGAACTGGCGCGCGGAGCGTGCTGACCAATAGCGCCTGTTATCACCTGTGACGTAGCGACCAACCTGCGCAATATCATACCTTGTATTCTTTGTACCATGGTTCTATAGTAAGTTTAATGTTTATAGGGTTACAAAATATGAAAGATATATACATAAACATCGGGTTTGAATCGTTAATGACAAGATTTAAGTATTTTTTAAAATATTTCCAATATTCTCAATATTTCCAATATTTCCATTTACAACACTAGTGTTTACTGAGCTTATTTTATGTTATTTAAATGTAATATACCAAATACCATGTGAATGCGATAAATTTTACAATGGTGAAACATCTAGACCCTTAAATGTTAGAGTTAAAGAACATAAAGATTATTTAAGAAAGGGAGATTTTCACAAATCTAAGATTTGTCAGCATTCATGAGACACAGGGCACAGAATAAATTTTAATAATGGCAAAATTATAATGAAAGAAGCGATAGCCTCTAAAAGAAAAAGAAAAGAGGCTTTTTTAATTCAATCTAATAAAAATAAATGTATTGCTCATGCATCTGTAGATGTTAGTAATGTATGGCAATCGCTTCTTTGATTTTAAAGAACATAACATACGTAAAATTTAAAAATAATCATACAGAAAGTTTGGGGCTTTTTGGTTTTACCTTATTAAGTAATTGTTATTAGGTAGTAATTGTTAATTTGGAGTTTAACTTGATATAATGTCATTTTAACAGAACGTCAACAGTACTTGTAGACGAATCTGTTATAAAAAAAACTAAAGTGTTCTCGAATAGTTGCATTTAAATAGTTTTTTTCTTTATTCTTTGTATTTTTTTTGCTTCCGACGACGGAAAGAGATAAACTTTCCGAAACGTTAAGCATTTTTTCTTTGTTAGGCAAATTTGTATAACTGTAAACATAACTTCTGACAAGCAGTGTTCTTTAGGTTTAACGCAGAAGTGTTTACAAAAAATAACTATTTTATTTTGTAGATTTTCTTGCAGTGCAGTGGCGAAATACCCATAAAGGATTTTTTTAAATAATTATTATTATAACTTATCTATTTTTATTAGAATTTAGAATTACATATTTTTATTAAAGTAAAATAAAACAACAAATTATTGAGTCTACACCACGTCTACCCTACATCATAATTTTACACTTTTTAAGTAAAAACGAGTTAGAACGGCACTGATAAACCGGAGTTTAAGTGTTTAAGTCGGCCCTTTTAGAGTCCCTTCTGGGTGGATCTAAGATTTTTGATATGCTCCTTCCATAATCTGTTTATTCAAAGCTTTGAATAAGAAGACTAAGGAAGGAGCATATCAAAAATCTTAGGTACACCGCGATGGGCCTCAAATATGGCCGACTTAAATTCCGGTTTATCAGTGCCGTTCCAATTTTATTTAAAAAATGTAAAACTATGATGTAGGGTAGACGTGGGGTAGACTCAGTAATTTGTTATTTTATTTTACGTTGTGAATAAATGTTGGTAGTTATTAAAATTGTTATAAAAATATATAATTCTAATAAAAATAGATAAGTTATAATAACTATTTATTAACACAAACATCCGATAGGCTACTGAAGCAGGTAAGTCAAATTAACGTATCAAAATTCTTTGACATCTGATCTTTGACAAGTAGTAAATAAAAAGCTAAATTGCAAAGAAAAATATATAATTTAGTTAATTTTAAGTGAATTTCATAAACGATCGGTTTACTACACGTATTTATATTATATAGTCACTTACTAGCGAAAAGTTGTTCCATTATTTCACTCGATTTTTGCCGAGATCTACCGCACGCTACACAACCAACTATTTTAGAGTCTTTTTCGATAAATCGCGATAGTGTCACTGTTAATTTAAGTTCTGCCACAATTTCCATCTAGATTTACTACCTCTATACAACTATCAGTAGTAGAATAAATAATAAATAACATAAAATAAGCTCCGTAAAGACTCACAAATCCACAACATTTCAAATCAAATTCAAATGTGTCAAATGAATCGTCAAACAGAACTGTCAAGGATTCCCACCCCAGAGTGCTTTTTCCGCCCACCATGCATGAATACATGGATATCATTATGCTCCTTCCTAAGTCTTCTTATTCGAAGAGATTCAAAGTAATAAGTCTACATACCATAATTACGTCAATTATGACAGCCGAATGTCTGGTTTCCCTCTGTTGTTTCGAGGTATACCAGTGGATGAGTTGCATGAAAAGAGGTTCAAATATTTGACTGACAACTTGGTCCACATCGCACGACAGTTGCAATAAGGGCATGCACAAGCTTCTCCAGAGATCCTCCAAGTCTGACAGTGCCGCATCGTTCATTGGTTTGGCTAAAATTATCATTGAACATTTGAACTACTTTACGTAAGATCGTCTCGTAATAATTAAAAATTATTAGTACTAAAAATTAGAGATGGGTGTGGACGCATCGAGAATACGTTGACTATGAAGTAAATGTCAACAATGTCAGAGACGCAAATTTGAGATTAGGTTTGTCATTACAACCTACAGGAGTGATGTGATACTTAAAGCTTAAAAATGTTTACTACCGGACCTTGCAACGAACTTTATTCTTTTTAGAACCTCTTTTAGCGCAAAGTGTAGCTTAATAGCCGTAAAAAACTCATCGCAACTTTATTAAAATATTTTGAACGGGAAAGCGGTAGTAATGGGCCTTTGTGTCCCTTAAGTGCTGTTAAGAAGGTGAATTTTGTTGATGTAAAATATTAATATACAGGGTTGTTCACCACATACGACACGGAGTATTATAGCTAAACGATTAGATTTTTACAAATTCTTTGGGTTCGTTGAAGGACTATTAGAGCTACAATTTCAAAATATGTTTACAAGATACAGAGTGTCCCAAATAAGTAAAAAATATTATAGTTGTATTTTTTTAAATGGAACACCCTGTATATTATTCTATTTTTAGATTCTGCGATTGAAATACAGATAAATTTGATTAAGGTTTATCACACTTAAACCTTACCGTTTTTGAAATATTTTTAATTTTACGAAATTGCAGTAAAAATTTTAAGGCTTCATTTCTCCAAGGGTATCGGAGTTTTTAATACTAAATATTTACTGAAGTTTATTTATTGATTAAATATTGTGCTGCAATAATAAACAAAATACTACCTTATACAGAGTGTCTAAAAATTTATATTAAAAAATTACTAATTACTAGCTTTAAACGGCAATAACTTGATTAATTTAAATCTAACACCCTGTATATTTTACGAGAATCAGATGTACAATTTAATTGACTATCAAAGTGTATTATACCATTTTTTACCTATCTCTTCTAATTTTCGTAGAAAATGCATTTTATATAATTTAAACCTCATTTAACACTATACCCATGGAATATTGACATTTTAGATTATTTTTAAAGATGTAACAAATTTTCAAAGAGTACAAGATACTAATATTGTCGATATAGTTTCCTTATTTCATTAAAAGATAAAAAAACTGTTTAAATATTTTTTGTTAACAATTAAATTAATATGATCCCAGTATTCAAACTAGATTAATTGATTGTTTGTGTTGATTAATAATAATTGCTCCAAATACTAAAAATCTAAATTTTGTATGTGTATTAGATAGTGTGGTAAAAAGAAACACCTTATAAATTTTATTTCATTTTTTGACGTATGCTCTGTTACAGAATGTCTCTGTAACAGAGACGTTCATTTTCATAACTTATTATTGTATTGATTTCTGAGTCAGATCCATTTTTATTTAGAATTTACAAGCTTAATTGTACTAATTAATACAATTAAGCATGTAATTAACTAATTTGGGCGGAAATAATGGTGGTCTATTAACATTTAGTAATAATTGGTATACTCTTTTACAAAGATTTAAATAGTTTTTTTTGTAAACAATTGGGCTTGCAATATTATTATTTTTACCACATTTTGTACATATGTTGCTTTAAAAAATCTAAAATGTCAATATTCCATGGATATAGTGATAAATGAAGTCTAAATTAGAAGAAAATGCATTTTCTACGAAAATTTGAAGAGATAGCTAAAAAATGGTATAACACAATTTGATAGACAATTAAATTGTGCATCTGATTCGCTTAAAATATACAGGGTGTTCCATTTAAATTAAAGAAGTTATTGCCGTTTAAAGCTAGTAATTATTTAATATACATTTTTGGACACTCTGTATAAAATAGTACAATTTTTATTATTGCAACAAAATGTCTGATCAATAAATAATCTTCAGTAAATATTTAGTATTAAAATCTTTTATACCCTTGGAGAAATGAAGCCTTAATGTTTTTACTGCAATTTTACAAAATTGAAAATATTTTAAAAACGGTAAGGTTTAAGTATGATAAACCTTAATCAAATTCACCTTTATTTTAATCGCAGAATCCAAAAATAGAATAATATATAGGGTGTTTGGTTTGGAAATTTAAAAAAACACAACTATTGTATTATTTACTTATGTGGGACTAGCTCTATATCTTGTAAAAATATTTTTAAATTGTAGCTCTAATAGTACTTCAACGAACACAAAACTTACAATTTGTAAAAATCTAATCGTTGTGTGTTTCCCTGTCGTATGTGGTGAACAACCCTGTATATAAATATTTTGATTAAAAGAAAATATGTAAAAGTAGGCAACGCTGTGCCGGTCAAGCTTAATCACGTGACTAAAAGTTTATTTGGTATGAACTATATACAGATGAGCCATCATACAGTATCAAACAAGAGACTTACTTCTGCCTAAGAACACCATTATAAAACTTTGCAAAAGTTCGCAAGCCATAATCCTGGTCTTTCTATCGCTGCAGTACAATGACAATTCAAGTACTCTCATGACAAAAGGTTCCAAATAAATGTCTATAGTCTGATCCCGGTAAGGCAACGACACTTTTAAGTGCATTTTTTCACTGGTGACTCTAGATAAAAAAGAGAGCAATAAAAAAATAAACCATATTAAATCACGGTATAGTCTGTGAAACGAATAACTTTGAATTTGGCAGTTCCCGCGGGCTTTCCTAGTGTTAATTTTATTAAGTTAGCAACTTGCGGCCGTGCTGATGCAATGCTGTCTCTAATAGAACAGCCACGGAGCGAGATTTATGACGTCACGCTAGTTAGATACTACGGATTAATAAATATGTTGTAGAACACATGGAAAACATAATTATTCCTCGTATATGTAATTTTTTTGGATTATATTAGACACTATTTTTTTCATATGACACAACACTGATGAGGCTATAAACATTACCTATAACGTTTTTTTTAACCAAAAAAAATAATGAAAACTTAATCAGCGTTTTTCCCGAACCTAAATCCCAAAAAAATCAAAAATTTTAGAAAAATTTTACATATAAAATGACAGCGATCTTTATTTCATAGCCATCGCTGACGCCTTTTTTTCTATGATATTGTATTATTTGCAAATATAATTTTTCGAACATTGATGCTTTCAAAATATACATAATATAAATTTCGTGAATGCAAATAACAATACATCACTATTAGTAGATATTGAATGTTTTTTGTTAAATTAGATCGATTTTCAAACCCCAAAATTTAAAATATATTTTACATTTTACCCATTATCTTATGTATCTATTCATTATTTGTATATTGTAAAACATTTGCTGCATTTTTATGGTTCATAGTTTATTTGCCAAAGTATTTATTACTATAAATAGGTATATATATTGTATTTATTAACTGTATATTATGTATATTTCATGTAAACTATATCATTTTCAAAATACAAACCAAAAATACGAGCAATAATTATGTTTTCCATGTATTCTACAACATATTTATTAATCCGTGGTATCTAACTAGCGTGACGTCATAAATCTCGCTCCGAGGCTGTTCTATTAGAGACGGCATTGGTCTGATATTTAGAAATGTCAAAAGCTGATGACATTTTACTTCTGTCAATTATTACATTTCGCGTCGATTTTTGCAAGAAGAGGAAGAACTGACACTTGTTTTATTATTTTCCTTTTCTATTTCACGAAAGTAAAAAAGAGTTACCTATCTGATTCGTTCAGGCACTCATTTTAAAGAATATCAGTAACTTTTTGGATAGAGGGATTTTATATTTGCCATGTTGGTAAAAAATAACGATCAAAATTCAAAGTTATTCATTTTATAGACTATATATCACCATACTTTCTTTCAATGTTATTATCCGGTGATACAAACGCTCGACAAATTTTGCTATTCTGGCTTCCTATAAAATTGAGAACTCTCCTTTGAAACTTCAGTAGTTCTGGTTCAAGTTCCAACAAAACGCGACGCTTTTGTAAAGCCTGAGCTGTTTTGCGTTTTTTCTCTTTATTTTCAATCTGACTTAATCCACCTAAATAAAGAAAATTACTCATATTGACTCAAAAATAATACTGAACGAAACTACCTAAAGATTTGCTTCTTAAAAAGCTATCTAAATGAGGCACAATTTGTATTAAAAATGCTTCGAATTCATCTTTGTCCATAACTTTTTGCCATCGTTCCAAAGCATTTAAACCCATATTGGCTAAAAGTATGTAACTTCTACCAACCTCTAACACAGTAATAAAAACACCTGCACAGAAAAAATTACTGGATAAACAAGTAGGATAAAAATAGGTGTTTACCATTGAAATGGTCAATTTTTTTTAAACATACCAACACATTCGGATAGTAAGGGTTCCACAACCACGACAGGACATTCCAAGAGCACTTGCAAGCAGGAAATCAGAAGATCATCCTTGAATTGTTTCATTTTATGCAACAACACCGATATAAACCTTGAAAGAGTCTCTCTACATATTTCCGCATCTTGATTTTCTGGAAAAAGACACACAATTTCATAGAAAAAGCAACAAAATGGCATTTTTTATTAGTCAGTTTGTTGCAAATTTCTTGGGGCGCACCCATTTTTAACAATTTAATAATTGTGCATTGATAGAGGAAACAAGTTTAGGTTGGAATGCTAGAACGCCCGATTTCTTTTTAAATATTTCTCCTTTCTTATGGCCCTGTATTTACTTATCAGCACCAGTCAAGGTAAAAGATAACTGTCAAATGAAGTTGTCATTTCAGAAATTTATCTATTTATTACTTTATTATTATTATTTGAAACTCATACCTACATCGGAAATATTAGCCATGAATTACACTACCGAAGAAAAAGTATTGATGATTAAATGGTATTATCAAGGAAATAGTTATCAAAAGATGTCGGACATGTTTGCTGCTCTGTATCCGAATAGACCGATACCTGGAAAATCTAAAATCGCAAGGAATATCCAGAGCTTTGAGACCAAAGGTACCCTAATAAATAACTGCAGATGTGAAGCAAGGCAAGAACAAAGGGAAGATGCAAGAAATGATACCGACTTGGAAGTTTTATTGTGCGTGGAAGAGAACGATGGAAAGATCAGCACAAGGAAACTTGAGGATGAAATAGGAATAGATCACACTACAGCGTTTCGAATTTTGAAACGACATAAATTCTATTCCTTCAAATATGAAAAGCACCAAGAGCTACGAGATGGGGACGAAATACGGCGGCAGGCGTTTTGTTTTGATATGATAGGATAGGGTATTTTTAAAAAACATATGCTTCACTGACGAATGCACGTTTACCTTAAATAACGAACCCAATGTTCAAATTTATCGATATTGGAACAAAGAAATCCAGGACGCAATATCCACAGAAAGTAAATGTTTGGGTAGAGATATTCGGACACAATATTATCGGGCCATTATTTCTTACGCGAAATTTAAATGCAGAATATTATTTGGAACTACTCGAAAATCATATTTTACCTGCTATATATGATGCCGCTAGGGAAAATCAGGAAGTTTGGGACCAAATGTATGGCTGCCCGGCACATATGTAAATGATACACTAAATTTGCCAGCAAGGTCTCCTGATATTTCGCCAAACGATTTCTTTCTCTGGGGCCATTTAAAAAACAGGATATACAAGGTTAAAAAATACCCAAATCTAGACGAGTTAAAAATGCTATTTCTGCCGAATGCAATAGAATTTCAGTTTACCAACTAGCGAATGTAAGAAGAGAATTTTATGATCGCCTGGGTTATTGTCTAGCAGTCGATGGAGGAATATTTGAACATCTTCTTAAATCCTAAAGTTCTAACAATTTAATAGTACCTAAATTAATAAGTTATTGAATATTGTAATAATACTATAATACTTGTAACTGATTACTTTATTTTACTTTAATTCATATTAATTTGTATTTATAAATACATCTTTAAGATTTCCGATGTAGGAATGAGTTTTCAATAATAATAAAGCACCACAAAACATCCCCCTTTAGAACTTTTTCTTTAATGGCCATAAGCGGGAGTAAAAGACCAACCGCCCGAACAAACACTAGAGGCGCCACCGGTCATCAAATGGTGTAAAAATTGCGAAAATTTAATCATCTAATTTTGACACAAGGGGTCGCGCTTAACTTTTTTAATTTTAATTCAATATTCATTGTTTTCAAACTATATTATTAGACCTTGTTGTATTTTGTGAATGTATAAATGTTTTCTTAGTATAAAGTTGCATTATAGTAATGTAAATTATATTACATACATATTTAAGATTCAAATATTATGACATATATGTCAGTTGCCGTCTAAAATGTCATCTTGATAACAAAAAGTTAGTTATTGTCAAAAGTAGTTAAAATCATGATAAAATATTAAAATTTACAAGTTATAATTAGATATATTTTATATTATTTCAACAACAAACACATAATAGTACAGCGTATTGTTGATATGCAGGTCCAAAACAAAAAGTGCCGTTATATTTTTCAGTTTTCGTTGTCAGCCGCGGAAGTTTCAGTGATTTTATTAGTGTTGTCGGATATTTTAATTTGTGAAATAGAAATATTGCGTTTGGATTACAAAACTAAAAGTGGAAGTTTTATTGCAATGTAAGTAAGCGTTTGTCCATTTTATGTTTTACTTTTTTCATACCTACGTCAAATATACATATACTACAAATTTTATAATTCGTTTTATTTAAAAAATGTTAGAAAACAAGCTTGTAATCCTGTAATTGACATAATTGTTATGTAATATATTCCATTTAAATGTAATATATTACTCTACAATTAAAAAAATGTAAATTTAAAAACTATACTAAAAATATATACAGGAATTAATTGAAATTTTTAGAGTGCGACCAAACACGAGAGGCGCTTTATTATTTACTTTCATTTCTTAACATGACAGACGAAGTTCTAAAGGGGGATGTTTTGTGTAAAGCACTAAATAGAAAAATTTCTGAAATGACAACTTCATTTGACAGTTATCTTTTACCTTGACTGGTGCTCATAAGTAAATACAGGGCCATAAAAAGGAGAAATATTTAAAAAGAAATCGCCGATAACTCGTAAACGAGCTAATCAAAAATATCTAATGTTATTCTTTTGAATGTGGGTTTTAGTGCTCTTCAATAAACCTAAATAGAATTATTCCCTAAAATAATTAGGGAAGCCAATAATTGACCCAATTAAAATTTACATGGGATTTCCTATGTCCCGTCCGACGATGCAACACCCGGTATGTAATTGTGTTTTAAATTGTCAGATGTCATATGTTTCTTTACAAAATATTCATGTATACTTACCAATATTATTTAACAAATCAACGTTGTTAGCTATCTTCAACATCAAAGCTAGTAACTTGTAGAATCCACTGATCAGCGAATGCTGTAAACACTTTCCCACCAAATGATTAATTAATTTAAAAATACACTTATTAAACATCTGAGGATCGGTATGATCGAAAATTTCTTGATACAAGTCAGTCACATTTAAGAAAATGGCAAAATCGTTTTCCTGTTCCACATTGTAGGCACTTTCTATTTGTGTCTGAATAGTGTCTTCCTTTAGTTTCATGTTCACATTGAGTTTATTCACCAACAGCATCATGGTTTTAATCAATTCATTCACAATTTTGATTTGTATATGCCTTTTTATGTTCAGGTCAATTGTGAGTGAGCTGGAGTATACCTTCAGTAGTCCACGCCAAAACGGGAAATAACTCTTTACTGTTATTACTTTTTCTGTACTTGTTGACAGTTCATAGTCCGCTACATGATGATGACAGCAAGACCATATAACTCCTTGATAAATAATGTTCTCCAGAAAAGTGTCAAACAATTTAGTTTTTCTCAAGTAAAACAAACTATTCACTACAGATTCTATAACAACGAAATGATACAAAGGTTGTAACTCATGAAAGCTTTTTATCATGTTTATGACAGCTCTTTCTAGACAGTGAAATTCAGTTGTTGTGAATGTTTGAAACCTACAAAAGGATAATACAGGGTTCCTAATATGCATGAGAACGGTCTATTATTAGCCTAGATTATTAGATAATATATACAAGGTACCGCAAAAATTAAATACAAAAGCTATAGGGGTTTTAAATGTCTATTATTAGCTATAGTCTGTGAAACGAATAAATTTGAATTTGACAGTTACCGCGGGCTTTTCTAGTGTAAATTTTATTAGGTTAGCAACTTGCGGCCATGCTGATGCAATGCCGTCTCTAATAGAACAGCCTCTGAGCGAGATGTATGATGTCACCCTAGTTAGATACTACGGATTAATTATGTTGTAGAATACATGGAAAACATAATTATTATTCCTCGTATATATAATTTTTGGATTATTTCGACACTATTTTTTTCATATGACACAACACTGATGAAGGCTATAAACGTTTATTTTTTTATTTATTTTATATATTTTAGGCTATAACGTTTTTTTTAAACCAAAAAAAAATAATGAAAAACCAAATGAAAATTTAATCAGTGCTTTTCCCGAACCTAAATCCCAAGAAAATCAAAAATTTTAGAATAATTTTACATATAAAATGACAGCGATCTTTATTTCATAGCCATCGCTGACGCCTTTTTTCTATGATATTGTATTATTTGCAAATATAATTTTTCGAACATTAATGCTTGCAAAATATACATATAAATTTTGTGAATGCAAATAATAATACATCACAACTAGTAGATATTGAATGTTTTTTATTAAATTAGATCGATTTTCAAACCCCAAAATCTAAAATATATTTTACATTTTACCCATTATCTTATGTACCTATTCATTATTTGTAGGTATACTGTAAAATATTTGCTGCATTTGTATGGTTCATAGTTTATTTGGCAAAGTATTTATTACTATAAATAGGTATATATATTGTATTTATTAACTGTATGTTACGTATATTTCATGTAAACTATATCAGTTTTAAAGTACAAACCAAAAATACGAGGAATAATTATGTTTTCCATGTATTCTACAACATATTTATTAATCCGTGGTATCTAACTAGCGTGACGTCATAAATCTCGCTCCGAGGCTGTTCTATTAGAGACGGCATTGATCTGATATTTAGAAATATGAAAGGCTGATGACATTTTACTTTTGTCAATTATGACATTTCGCATAAGTTTCGCATTGATTTTTGCAAGAAGAGGAAGAACTGTCACTTGTTTTGTTATTTTCCTTTTCTATTTCACGAAAGTAAAAAGAGTTACCTATCTGATTCGTTCCGGCACTCATTTTAAAGAATATCAGTAACTTTTTGGATAGAGGAATTTTATATTTGCCATGTTGGTAAAAAATAACGGTCAAAATTCAAAGTTATTCATTTTATAGACTATAGTAGTAAATTTAAGTATACAAGCTTGGTCATAAAGTTGAGGCACATCGAAATATATTTTTTTAAATGCAACCCCCTGTATATTATTGCATATTTCAATTCTTCCTTCAATTTTAAGCAATAATCGTAATACACATAATGTACCTAAATTCAACCATTTCCGAATCATGAAGCTTTGATTTTGAAATGTTAAACAAAAATTTTGTAATTTCCAGACATTATTATTTAATTTCATTTTACAATATATAATGCTAACTTGAGAACTAATGTCAAATATTACTTAAGTGTCACAGTTTCCGCAGAATGGTATAGTCATAATATAAGGAAACTAGTAGTTTTACTCCTTGTCAAATCCTTTGTTCTTTTTCTGCCACTTTATATGACCTTGTTCTCGCCTCCGTAGCCGACGACGTAGCTGTATAGTCGTGGTCTATTAACTAGGCAAAGTATAGACGTGGCACTCGCCATAGTTTCACAGATATGTATTTAGGAAAATATGAGTTCACAATAAAATAAAATAAAAAAAATGATCATCGAGTAAAAACTTGCTTGAAAACAGAATATTTTCACATTTCGTGTAGGTAACAATTATTCTGTATCTAAAAATCTTCTGATGGGAAGAAATGCGGAAAAAATATATAATGACATATTTTTATATTATTATCTATTTCAGAGATTTTCTACGACTTTTTTTTATTTAAAGCAAGTTTAATTTTCTGTAGATAACTGGATTCGGCATAAAATTATGCTATAGTACACTGTCTTTATTTAAAGCACACTGCGGTGTTGCCATTCTATTTCTTATTTACTAAAAAACTTTGGTTAAAAACATTATATACGAAAAGTGGTAAAAAACTAGAGTGAATATAACTTTATTAATATTTTGCTATGTTTTCTTAAACATGAAGGATATCGGAATAAATTCGTGTAGAAAAATTTACTTTATCTTATACAGGATATTTTTTATGGCGTCACCAAAATCGTAATATTTAAAAAATGTTGTATCTCATTTTTTTTTAAATGCAACACCTTGTATATTATTTTTCTTTCAGATGTAGAATTAAAAGGTGAACATTTTTTGACAAGACAAGACAGACAAAGATTCTATTAGGTGGCTTTGATAAAAATTTACTGTTGAAAGAGCCATATGTAATATAATACTGCGAATATCTGCAACAGCGGTAAAAATTTAGAAACACTTTAAATTAATAAAAAAATGTTCACTTTTTAATTCTGCATCTGACAAAGAAAATAATATATTGAATGTCGCATTTAAAAAAAATGAGATATACCCTTCTAAATATTGCGATTTTGGTGACGCCATAAAAATACCCAATATAGAATAATGTATATAGAATGATGTAAAATAATAAAAAAAAATCAAACTAACTTTACCATAACTTTTTTTGTGACACCCTGTATATAACAAAATATTTTAGGATACACCCCTTTATAAACCTTGAAACATATGAATAAAACTTTTTTCACATCTTCGACAACGACGACGATATTGGACTTCCTCGCACTAATGGGCCACCCTGTATATTTACGGTGGTTTAAAGCTAGGTGTGGCACTTTTCTTCCCTCAAATATAAACTCAATATTTTGTCTATAATATTTTGAATATTGTTATATTACGACCACTTATAATAAAAAATAAATAAAAAAAAACATAAAAAAATACAGTCCATTAAGTTTATAAGAGATTATGCTATTATAAAATTCTTTCAATTAAAAAATATGAATAATTTGCGGAGACTTTAGATGTACAAAGTATTTACTCTAAAGTTGTTTCAAAAACCAATTTATATAAATTACCTCGTAAATTATTATTGGAATGAAAATTTTATGGAAAATCCCCTGACCAAAAAATATTTTCAAAACTATTTTTAAAATCTGCACACATGCTAAAAAAATTAATAACATTTAATTAATTACATAATATCTCAGCTTCTAAAATAAACAAATATAATTAAATGTTAATTGATAATTACTATCAGCTTGCCGATTTACATCCGATGGAAATTTAAAAAGACTCAAAGAACAATTTTTTGAATTATTTCCACAATTAATAGCAGCGCACAGTAAGGCACTCATTCTTTGTCAATCCGTCCCTGTGCTGGGACGCAACGCTCGAACCTCACAGCTCGACGGACCGAATTCAACTGAAACGCTTTGCAACCTGCCAGCTTGCAAAAACTGGCAGAAAATATTTGCGAGAGTGCAACTACTCTTTTCCTTAAACTATGGTATAGTTAAATGAAACCGAACCCATCGAAATTAATTAAATAAAATTGTTTAAGCGACATTTTCAGTCAATAACTTGGAAACGGTTGGTTTGAGGTACATTGTGTGTACTTCCATTGTTGCTTAGAATTGAAGGAAGAATTGAAATATGCAATAATATACAGGGGGTTCCATTTAAAAAAATGAAACTTGATGTGCCACGACTTTATGACCGACCCTGTGTACTTAAATTTACTACTAGCTAATAGACATTTAAAAACCCTGTAACTTTTGTATTTAACTTTTTACGATACCTCGTATATTTTACCTAATAATCCCCTGTTCCCATACATATCAGCGACACGTAAAAACCGGCAACACTGTGTGCCGCTTTTTATTTTGTCTCTTTCTCTCTCTCTATCAACCAGTCATTTATATTTATCTCTGTTGCACGCATTAAAATACAGACCACGGAGATAAATTGTCCAGGAGCGGAAAATATTAAAATAAAAAAAAATAAATGTAACTCATACCTTACAAAACTAGACAGACATTGGATGTAATCTGGTAATATATTTAAATCTTCTCTACTGACATTTTCGTTAAAAATGTAATTTTTTTCGAAATTCTGCATCACCATTACAAAAATCTGCCTGGCCTCTTCACTAGCGTATAGTTGATACATAGGTTCACAAAAATACTTTAGAACTTGTGTGGTCAGTCTTTTATCTATTCCAGACGGTTCTGGCAACCTTATCAGATGTTTAGCCCAGCCAATAAAATGCTACAAACATTTATGAATAGACAGGCTATAAATTATAGTTTTTCTCATGTAATTTTTTTTTAATATGTTTGGATAACATGTGGAAAGGGTTTAAGGAATTTAACAATATAAAAAAAATATAACAATTCTTGGATCATATTGTATGTTTTGCCAATCAAAATTGTCTTAATTATTTGTATAGGCTTGGTTGATTTCAAAAAATTTCGACCGCAGCGCTGTATACGGTAGAAATCAGAAATTTTCGCTCTGCATTTCACGCCGTCCCGGTTGCAGTTCATGTTGATCCCCTTAAAATAATATTGAAATCGTGGTTTTGTCATAATATTTAAGTATTTTAGTTTTTTTGCTAGTGCGGTTATTGAAACCATAAAACATTCAGGTACGAGGTTTGTGTGCCCAAGTAGCATTTTCACGACTTGCGACCACATGTTTACTAAACACAACGTTGGATTAGTTACAAAAAATAGTTAGCTCCGTACCTTGGGTATTAAAATAAATGTAAACGTTGTTGTGACGTTGTGCCGACGTTGAACTAGTACTACAACAAAGTAAAAGCTTCTGCGACGTCGAATAAACGTTGTCTTGTAGCCTTTTTTGCTTAAGTGATCATTAGGTGATTCGGACAACATAGTTACAATGTTGGGCAATACAGAGTTTTCCGACTTCACTTTCAGGACCTACTCCAACGTTATGCAAACGTCGTCTGTTTTACTAATTCCAACGTTTTTTAGATTTCCTTATTCTTAAGTTGGTAGGACGTCGAGCCACTACCTTTTTGCAACTGTATTGAACCATAACCTTAAATCTTAAATTTTCACTTCATTGTTCTGTTCAGTCAGACAGTTCAGTGCTGTTTTTGTTTTTATAAAATTAATTTAATTAAAATGGGACGTAAGAAAGGCACATATAAATTTAAATATACATCGACATATTACCGATACTTTATCCACTCCCTTGTTTATTTAGAATATAGAGGGCGGCACAAGCTAGACTCTAGGACGACTAAATTAGGCAATCTTGCGACTAGTATACTACCTGTTAATGCTGAACTGCGACTTTATTATACTCTGTTTTTTTTCTCAGGTAAGATTTCGACAGACGATGACAGAAGAAAAGCAGATGACGTCCCATACCAATCTATTTATTTTACTAAAAAAAGTTTCTAATAATTTTTAAGTTATCTATGGATGGGTTTAAATATAAATCCGTCATGCGTCGTGTCTTGTTGTTTTTAACCAGTTTTATTGGTTTATTTAAAAAATGACAGATCGTATTTCAATTTTATTGGTTTGACGGAACGATGAACGACAAACGGACGCCGATGCGTATGAACTCGCCTTTAGATTTTTGTCATTTTTGACGCTTGTCAAAGTCTTGCCAAATTATTGGTTATAATTTTGTGTCAACTTTTGTTAAATACCCTGCATTTTGAAAGATGATGCATTTTGATTCGTATTATTACGTGTGTTTTGTGTCTTTTGAAGTCAAGTGGAGGAAAAATCGAGTGAAAATTAACTGTAGGCCCAGAGCACAGTTTATGGTTAATACACGCTGCCCAGGCAGAAAGTCTTATACACCAATGAAGTTGCCATCGATAAAGTTTGTATACCATTTCGTCGTAGATAAGTGCATTTCGTATATAAGGATCAAACTAAACACATACTAAAAACTGGAGTAGCTGTAAAATATCGACATCACACGATAGGTAAATAATGGATTTTAGTACTGGTGCAGAAAAATAATGTCAAAAGGTACTGGTTTAAAAAAATTAAGATTAAAGGTAATTAATCCACCTTTAAGGTATAAAATTTGGTAGGTGTTATTATTAATAAAATAGTTGTTGTATTTACCTATGTTGTTTTATTTATACCTGTGGAATATTACAAATTTGTATTTGTACATAAGTTATATTGATAAATATAATCATAAATGCGGGTAGTTTCATAAAGCTTGAAAGTAAATAATAGTTATTTTTTATATTTTTTTGGTATGTAGTGCCTTGTTCTTGTTTGTTTTGTATTAACACATACCGTTTTTATTAAATAAAATAACTCGATTACATTTTTTCAGTTTTATACAATTTTGAAGTAATCACTTGTCATCTTGTCAATCAAATTTTAAATATTTCCTGCTATGCGTTCCAGTTGTACCAACTTATTTCTTTGTAAAATAAAATAAACTACTTTGAAATTAAAATGACAGACACATCTATCACTGTCAAGGATCTTCTCGTTGGACAGACTATAGTCCAGTATGCGACTACTCGAACTACTCCATCTTAATCTCCAAAACAACAAAGTGAAAGCCGCCATGTTGTTGAATAAGAAAATGTTTCGTTCCTAAAATAGCAATTCCTGCTTTTTGAATACATTAACTTGAAATATTTGACCCTAAACAACACGCGGAAACAATTTTTTCGACTGTGAATAAATTATTCTCATTTTACTAAAAAAAAATTCAAGAAATTTTTTAAAACTTCTTTAATTTTAAGGCCCATTAGTATTTTTCAAAGTAGAAACAATACATTTATCAATAAAGTTGTTTGCGTTTAACTTTTTTGCCTTGGGCAACGAGTTACAGAGTCGGTTAAAGTGTTTCAATAATTATGATCTTCAAACATCCTCCACACTTAAAATACTTTTGTTTTGTATTCCTTTACTGCCATCTGGCATATGTCTCTAATTAAATCATAAAAATAATATTTTTACTATAATTATCCCAATTTAGGATAAAACGCGACTTAGACGCCATATTATTATAGTTTTGTATTTCTGTGAATTAGGATTTTAAACAACGTTGCAGTTTGTACTAAATTAGGCTGATAGCCAACGTCGGTATCCAACGTCGTTTCGACCCAAAAATTATTCTCCAAACTAGTGCAGACTAGGGTTGGCACGAGGTTGTGCCGACGTTGCGCCCCGACGTTTGGTCGCGTGACACAACGTTGTCCCGACGTCCAAATGCTGCTTGGGTGATGTAACGCTGTTTCGGGTAGTAAAAAATAAGTGAAAAAAAATCCGAACTAGGCGTCGTGTTGTGTTGTGACAATTTCAAATGTTAATAAAATTGCGAAAAAATGTTAACGCGTAAAGGAGAGCGTAATTAGGGCGTGGTTGTGTGCAATAACATTCAACAACTCAACTTTCCCGGATATTCAACTCTCCCGAAACAACATTTTATAGCTTCATAGTTTCTCACACCGATTTGATCAAAACCAAAAATGGATTCAAGCAGTTCGACGAAACAAATGAGTAAACAAAATGCTTACATAATCAAAAAATTAAATAGACACACAATAAAATTTGCAATATTAATGGTATACTTTTTTTAATCAACTTAAAAATGTTTTATGAACATTTTCTAAAATTATAATTATGTACCTTTAAAAAATTTCGTTATAGCCGAAACAGCCCCAATTATGACCCCACTAGCAAAACCGGTGCGTAAAACTATGTTCGCTACCGTAGTTGAACTTATCTAAAAATTTTTTTTAGCTGGTATAATAAATTATAATCCAAGTTAGACCTTCTAAAAATATCAAAATATTTACTTTTTTATTTTTAGAATTTTCACAAATTACACTTATAATACATTTTTCGTATACTCGCTATTTGAACCCGTGTATTTGTATATATCATTTGTTTCCGATATTCTCTGATGGTGGCAGCACCGGCGGAGAATGCACCAAGCCCCTATAGTATGTTAGAATTACCTTTAATATAGACAAACTCTCAGTTTCATCCATAAAAACTATGTGTTGCGCCAAACTGTCAAAGAATTTTTTTAAAACAAACTCCGCAACTCTCTGTTCTTCTTTGCCCATATTTAGCCAGTCTTTGTACAGTCTCTTATGCCATGACTTGAATTCTTTTACGACCAGACTTACAAACAAATCCATATGTTTGCCAAAGAAATGAAGAGCAGCTAAAATAGATTTACATATAATTTTTTGTTTAGGGAAGGTGTCTTTGTAAAATGTATTACCCCTGTTTGCAGTTCTTCTGTCACATTTTGGACTTGACAGCGATCTTATGTACTCATACAGACTTTTTATAATTTTTTTATCTTCGGGATTTTCTGGTTGAATAGGAAAACCTTCACAATAATGTTCAAGCCCGACAAATAAGCCTGTTAGTAGACCCTGCAATATACAGATTGTTAACTGGACGGTTACTTATTGGGAAACAGAAGGGCAACACTGCCTACATTTCTACATTCCACTGCCATTCGACGAGCGGGCCGAGGTTGCCATATATTTGAACCATAAAGCTCTTGCCGCGAGTAATAAACAAATTAACAACCTGTATACAGTAGGGTGGGTCAAAAAAATCGAGAAATTTTGCAATAAATTAAATTAAGTAATACTCTTTTAAACTAGGCTGATTTATGCCAAAAAGTTAAATAATGCATTATTTCACCTTATTTATGAAAATAAGAATAAACTACATTATATTTTTCGAAAGCTCATAACAAGCTAAATAAAATAAAAAATAATATTATAACAGGGTCTTCCATTTAAAAACCATAAGTTACAGTCATATTTCGAAAATGACCGAAAAACGAAAAGCTACCAGTGAGAAACTAGTTACGCCACTGGATTCAATGTGAAAAACTCTACGGGACACAGTTTTCACCTTTTCGATAAGTGATAAGATCATCTAGATATAAAAGTGGTCAAAAATGAGACATTTTCAAATTCGTGGAATTTAAAAATTTCAAGAACCAAGAGGGCTAAAAGAAAACTGTGTTTAGCATCTTTAGTTTCATAAAAAAGTAGCACGCTGATGTAAAAACAGCATCTTTGCATCTCTAAACTACTCATAAAAGAGAAACCTCATAAAACAATCAAAAAACACCCTGTACAGTTATTTGATTATATAGAATGAACCAAAATCATTTTAAAAAATGCCATTATTTGATTCATTTATTTATACCCTGTCTATTGTTATTTTGCTCAATAAGTTGCTAATATTTAATATCTTCTTACCTGTGACGGTTGTTTCGACATTACACTATCGAGCTTGTTTATAAATGCATATTTTAAGTTTCTTGGATTATGTACTAAATAACTAAATCTCTTAGCAAACATGCCCTTTAGAATATACTCTTTTTCTTTAACTAAAAATGTTTTTCAATAAAATTATTCTCAGTGCTTGTTAATATATTTTTATACCTATATCTGCATGATCTTGAGGCAGATTACTTAAAGCATTAAACATCTTTAAATATTCTTCTTGGTTTTCTAAGCATTTATCAATTTTTTCAAAACCTATAAGCAACACGTCTGCAGCTTTGGCTTTAACTTGAGCTGATGCTTTAGATAGAAGAATTTTTACACAACTTTTATTAATTCCTAAAATATACAAACATGAAATCTGTTATCAATAAAATATATATTATATTAAGCTGTTCAAATACCTAAAACATATTTTTCAATTTTGCTAGGAAAATTGTTGATCAAGGCATAAATAATTTCCAAACACTTAATAATCTGTTTATTAAAATTACAGCCTGTACCAACATCTTGAATAAAGGAAAAAATGCCGTGATCTTCACTAAACATATTTACTAAATACAAATCTAGAAGTAAAGAAAATGTATTGCATAAATATATATTTTTATTGCAAAATGTTACCTAAAAGCGACGCATTCATTTGCTCTTCTGTTAAATTGTAATTCAAAATCGACAAAAGTCTCTCACATTCCGATGGACCCTTAAAAGGATCAGATGCATGTTCTTTTAAAATTTGAAAAAAATTGTGGGGCTCTATATCCATTTTTTTGCCGGCTAGGTTAATTTTAAGAAAAACAAATACTAGTACTTCCGCATCAATTTGTTTGGCACGGATTGTTAATCGCTATATATTTATCTGCATTAATTTTGGAAACTGTAATAATTAAAACACTTAAATAACACTAAAAACTGTTAAAATCACAAACACCTCTTTAAAACTTCAAAAAAATCAAATTTAATTTTTTGTTCGTCATGAAGGTAGGTGTAAATTAATTGAAGGTTAGATTGTAGGTATCTGTTCTGTGGTTCAATCTTTATTAAGTTAGGGCTAACTTCAGTTTAGTTGACCATGCTTTTTTTAGGTTATATTTTTAAATTTTAAATACTTTTTTGAATCTTTTAAATATTTTATAATTTTAATTATAATTATAACACATATTATCTCAGAGAAATGGACGTTGAAGAAAATATTGACACGCCTTCATCTAAAAAGCGGAAAATCAGTGATAACAAGAACGAAGAGAGTCCTAAAACTAAAAAGGCGAAATCCTATTCTGTTAAAGAGTTTAGAAAGAAACTAAATTCTGATAATAAGTTAATAGGTTTGTTTCAAAGCAGTTATTAGTTTTCTTAACATATTATAAAACCTTTATTGTAGCTTTGCAAGAATTCCAACAAAAATTAAACGATCCTAACCATGATTACGTTTTTGATTACTTGGAGAATGGTGGTAACGTTTTAGAGCTATTACAGATTCTTGAAAATGACTCTACTATACCACCTTCAATAGTTTTTAAGTTGATAACACTGATACTTCTGAAAATTAACGCTAATTACAGCCAGTTTTATAATAGTTCTTACGAAGCATGCCGATACCTTATTAATAATTATATACCAGTTATACATAAAATGATTGGTTTAAGTTCCTCAAAAGAGGAACGTAAAGTAAGTCTATCTTAAAAAAATGTGTTTGATTCTTTAATAATTTCTATTTATTTTAGACATGTTTGAAATTATTAACTGCCATGGTAGCCTTTTCTTCAAACTTGGCTAAGGATATTTTAGTAAACGTTAAATTTCATACTCCTAATATAGAACTCCTTACCAAACATACAGAGGATAAAGATAATGTGCGAGATAATTTTATACATTTCGTCACAGGCTTCCTGATAGATAGTGATTTTCATATTTTACAAATTTTTCTACAAAGAAGTTCGCTGTTTACTAGTATCATATCAGGTATAAAAGTTACATATTTTGTTCTATATTTAATTCAAATATTTTATATTTTTAAGGATTACAATATGATCGTGCAGATACAGTTTGTCTAATAATAGCCGCTATGAAGAACTATATTCTGCAAAACAGTGCAGTGATGAAAACTACAAAGATGCATGTTTTTAATACAGCAATTGTCAGAGATATTGTTAATTTGTATAACTGGAAGGGCCCAGGAGGATTTAAAGCTCTTAAAAATGACAAAATTGTTGTTGAGGTACGTGATGGTAGTTTTAATATTTTTATTTTCTTATTGGTATTCATGTTTTTCAAATTTTAGGTGGACAAGGTTGAAAAATCTAAAGTTAATGAATGTGTGCATGACTTTTTATTAGTTCTCTGTACAAATCTGAAGTATGGAGTCATATTTAAAGATCCCTTGGTGGGACTTGGCCGTAAAAACCAAAATGGACTCATGTATACTGTGGTAAACAGTTTGGACAGACCCTGGGAACATTCTTATGCTAGTGAACTTGTGATAAAAATTGCCCAGTATGTTATCTTTAGTTAAAAATCATAATAACTTGATAATTTGGCATTTTAAAGAAAAAAAAAACCATAGAAAGTCTAGTGATTCTCAAAGTTTAAGGAGAATTATAAAAAAAAATTAATAAAATATGAGTTACTAATATGTCAAATTATTTTAGAGCTTGCCCAGATTTATGTCAAAATATTTGGACAATACTCAAACCCTTTTTGGAACCTAGATTAACAGAAAAATGGCTTAAAGCTGTCGAGTTTATTAAGAGTTTACTGGATGTTTTGGATCCATCCTGTATAGAGTATTGTGTAACAGAACTCACTCCACAACAGGTATTGTTAAACTTATTCTTTTTTACATTGAATAAAACGACTATCTGTATATTTCACTTAATACATTTAAATTTGATTTGAATTTTTGCGAGTTTTTTTATGATATGAATTGTATATTTTATAATTTTTCTTTATAGTATACGAAGCTGATGCACCAGGTCTTGTAAAATTGTTTCTATTACTTTTCTTCCAGGGCATTTTTTATTCTAATTTGTTTATCTGATGTTTTTTCTAATTCGATTTTGAAAATAGCTACTAACTGTCACTAGAAATTTGCCATGACAACACTAGCCATCTTGATTACAATTTTATTGAAAAATCGCTTTTTATTCAAAATCTGAGCCAGATAGGTATAGGAAACCCTAATATAGTTTGAAAGAGCATTTAAGTCTGCTTCAACTTATTTAAAAAAATACATAGTGTTGCATTTGAAATAACGAAGTTTTTATGTAAAATAAATATTTCAAACAGACCAGCAATTTTTGATACCCCTGTATACATTTAAGGAAGGAATAACATTTTTCTGTGAAGTTTATTTCTCTACCTTTAAACTCAGCACAAGAACTAATTCTGAAAAGTAATGTACAGGGTGTTAATAATCTATTCTATTGTAGCATGCAAATTTAAATATCTTTAAATATCTCAAAAACCAAAGATTTTAAACATATTTAACGCTTATAATAAATACCTTTTTTTTTGGGCTCAAGAATCCAAAAATGAAATAAAATATCTTTCCGTCTTCGTATAATCAACCGAGGCGAATGAGGTGCGCCACCCTGTATATACGAGAAAATGGAAAAATAATCTTTTAAGACGCTGTTCTTTGAAGAGGTATTTATTAAAGCTTGTTCTAGATTAGTCTTTTTATTCAATGTTTTCTTTCATATTGATTTTTAATATATTTTGTTTTTAGTTAGCCCAAATAATCGAGATTTTAGTATCGCCAGCTCCAATTTTAAAGCTGCTTTTATCAGGAGATGCGGTAAACAAAGATCTCCAATTGAAGAAACACGTTTATGACATAATGTCAGCTATGTTAAAACGAATAGACACATATCTGCAAGCAATGAAATCAAAGTTTTCTCCTAACGATTGTAAAATAACGGCGACTATTTTATCAAATTTTATTCAAAAACATTATCCGTTCTCTGAAAAACTGTTTTCTGATTGGCGCGATTTTAAACCGGTTGATAACGAACAAAAATTCGATTTTCTTGAAGTTGTTTTAGATATTTTAAAATCTTACCAAAATTTAGCTCCACAAATGCTGTTTAAATTCACTTCCTTTAATTTCGCTTTTGACGATTTTTTTGTGGAATCTATCGAAAACGACAGACACGAAATATTACAAATCAAAGCAATTGATATATTTCTTGACATAGATAACTCGTATTTTTTACCTAAAAGTGATATTTTCGAAAACGTTACTTCGTTATTGCTTAAAATGTACCACAAACATAAATCGGAAGATATTCAAATAGTTTTATATAAGATCTTAAAAAACACGGATATTTTTGACGGTTGTTTATACGAAATCCAGGTTTGGTGTAATGGCATTTTTAATTTCGACAATATATCTGAAAGTTTTATTGAAACTTTTGTAAATACTTTGAAAGATGTCAGTGCTAATATTCTAGTATATCAGAAGGAACTATCTCTTGTCTCTGTACAAGAAAATACATCTTTATTTAATTTCAATGAGGATCTGGAAGATATGACGTACCAAATTAAACACAGCCATTTTAGTATTTTAACTGCGGGTTTTTTGAAACATTTACAGCAAACTAATCTTTCAAAAACCCTAAAAAAATATCTAGAGTTTGTATTAATCAATATATTCCATTCCCAAACTATTCCTAACAAGTATTTATCGGTAGTTCAAATGTACCACTCCACTGTACCTGATCATGTACTAAAATATATTCAAGATTGGACTGAGGGTAATTGTGAGCCTTTAATAAAAACCAAAGGTTCTCTAGGGGTGTTCAAAAAATTCAGTGAATCTTTTTTAAGCAGTACGATAGAAAATGAATTCTTTGATAACTCGGAATATCCAGGTTTTTATGTCGATCTTCTCAAAGCAGCCACGTTTTACTTCACAAACTTAACATCTTTCAGCGTGGTTACAGAAAATCATTCAAAAAACTGGATTTTTTGCATTGAACAAGTACACAACTCTAATTTCTTTAATGCATCGTGTTTTGAGGTTGTTTTAGGCAATCCAAATTTAGCAATTCATTTTAATATTAAATCCGCAACAAAAGATACAGCTACTGGAATCTGTACCAGGGCTATTCATAAAGTAGTTCAAACTTTTCGTGATTTGTCATTGGATGTTGAGGAATATGTCGGTGTATATTCACAAAGTATTTTTAATTCTATTATCAAGGGGTTAAAAAAACCTAAAAAATTCCGTTTGAGTGAAAATGTTGGAGAATATTTGAAGGTGTTTCCTTTAAGTTATGAGTATTGTATATCATTGTTGGAGCGTACATTAGATGTGCTAGAAAACTGCGATATTTCTGTCTCTGAAATTTTGTCTTATGCCTTAAGCAGAACTGCAGAATTGTCTCGAAGTAATGAGTTATTGAAACCACTAGATCAAACTACAATTTTGAATATTTCCAAATATATCATAGAGTTAATCAAATTAGGCCATAACTGTTTTAACTTGTCAAAGGCTTTAAAATGTTATTTAGAAGTATTTCCTTACTCTATTGATCATATTGATCAAACCTTATTTCCTGCTCTTCTAGAAATAAAGGAATATAATAAAGAAAACACAGACTTGATAGTTTTTCTACTTGAAAGGAACTTAACATTATCCAAGCATATAGAAACAAACATTGTAGCTGTAGCTGAGAAAAAAGGTTTAATTTTACCTCTAACTCATGTTTTAGTTAACAGTAAAAATAACGAAGGTATCTTGAAAATAATTTACGAAAATCTCGAAGGATCTTTACTTAAAGCCCTGCAAAAACCCCAAAAAGTTGGTCAGCACTTTTTGAAAGATTACAATATTGCTGTTTTAATTGAATCATTCATGCCTGTAGAAAAATGTAGTCAGTTTACTGATAAAGTTCATAGATTCGAGGTGACTGAGGTATTTCATTTGAAATTTTTAGAAGCAGTTTTTAGTAAGGTTCTTAATACAAAGGAACTTAATGAAAAACAGGCAGGGAATGTGATACTGACTTTTATTCATTTGATTATGTTTTTGTTCAAGAAAAAATCGTCATCAGAAGATAGTACAGTCAAAATATCAGAGTCTGTGAACATTTTTAATCGGGTCTTAGAAAAGCTTTCTAAACATTCGTATAATAATCTGAAATCTGTATCTTCACACGAATCATTCAAGACTTTTTGTAAATACGCTTTAAAATTCGGAGTTTCCGGCCAACATATTTTATTGGCCACCTTATGTATGTCCCTAAATATTTTGAAAACTTCCATTGAAAAAGAAGAAGTTGCTGAGCTACTGGAAATGTTACTCTCGCATTCGGAGTTTTTGAACGTTGTGCTCTCTGAACATACTGACTCGAAGTTGGAAATTTTGAAGTTGTTGCTTATTATTTCCGAAAATTGGCAGGAATTGATAGAGAAGAGTCACGTGGCAATTGTTCTTTCAGCGTACAGAGGATTGGTGACAAGATGTGACAGAGTCATTTTGAAATTGTTAAAATTGTAAGTAATTGTTTTTTTTAATGAAAAGATATTCATGCGTTGCCAACATCTAAGATAATACCACAGATTAGGTATCCTATAAGTATACAGATAAAAATCTTGTCCTTAATTCGTGGTACGAAAATTGTTTTTTATGACGATGTGCAAACGAGTCAAATTTCCTGTGCGCTAAAATAAACTCGCGTAAAATAACAATAAACAGCGTAATAGTGAGATATCGCTAAACCGAATAGCGTGCATGGACGTTAATAAGGCCAGGTGTTATTTCCTTTACGTGAGGTGGTATTAACTAGTATTAACTCTCTTCATTTATAGTTATCGGATTGGAAAGAATTCTGATCGCGTCGCGTCCGCTATTTAAACTTAACCTAACTTTGAATTTTTAAAACTTTGAAATTATTTTGTTTACTAGGTATTTTAAAACTAAAGGGCTAAAGTGCTTATTTCCAGTTTCCAGTGCTTTATTGTTCAACGTCTGCCAGTGGGTTTAGTGCAACAAGCAACAAATTCTCTTAGAAGGGCTAAGCCGTCATCTGCTGTAAACTTAAGCCTCTTTATAGGTTCTTTAATATTGGAAGAAGTGGAATCCATATTTTGGGCCATATTTATTTAATTAAAACTAATCCCAGCTACTTAATTACCTAATAAAACTAAAGTAATAATTCAAAACAATTCAAACATAACCTAAAATAAAAGATCTCGCCGGCCGGCCCCGGTTGTCAAATACCCGCACATGCCCATTTAAGTAATTTTTAAACGTTATTTAGAAATAGCGCTTGGTGTAATAGATCCGCAAATTACGTCAGGCGGTAACGTTATTAGCGGGTGTTGCGTTAAAAATTGACTCGCGCATATCGTAACCATGATAAGGTACGTGTAAATACTGCATGACGCTATTCGGTTTTCCGATATCTCTCTAATAACTGTACCGGTCAGGCGCTGTGCACAATTTTAGAGGCCATAAGTGGGCGTGGTATGTGCGCAAACTAGTAACCTAACTAGTGCCCGATTCCGAAAATTGGAACCACGAAAAACAATAAAGAAAAAACAAAGTTTATAATCTGTATAATCTGTGGTAAAGCTGTAACTATGGTAATATTAGAGCTTAAGAAATAATACCGTGGAAAAATTTACGGTGAACAGGCAGTTCAAAAAAGTTTTCGAAAAATATACAGAGAAATTTAAAAGAAAACGCACGATTTTCAACATTTTTTTTTGCGAAAAAAACCTCATAGACGTGTTCCTGGGGTCGAAATATACCACCCCTGAAAATATTTGCACTTATTTAAGACTCACCCTGTATATCTGTAGAGTATTTATCTTTTTGTATTTTATTTCAGCTATTTTATTTGTTATAGTTTTGTCATTGATATAATCTCTTTTACGTCCTTTATCTCCCGAGTGTTGCTAATCTTGTATTTCTCATGATATTAGAATTTTTATTATTTGTTATAGGTACGAATCAAAGCCTGATCAGAGTCATTTTTATGACTTTAAACCATTCCTGTGGGGCAGATCAGCTGCAACTCATTATTCTGTTCGAACTAGTATCGAAAGCTCTCTGACAAGACAACCTAAAATCAATAATGTCTTAAGTAAGTTTTTAATGCAGTTTTAATAACATCTCTTTAACTAATGTATAAGTCATATAATCGAAGAAAAAAAGGGCGTCCATTTACCTTTGAAAATACTTCTGTAATGACAACCAGTGTCAATTTTCTATATACAGGGTCCGGCAATAGTGCGTCGGGCATCTGTAGCTCCAAGGTAGCTCCTAAAATAAAAAACAACCTAAAGTATGAACTATGATGTATTTCAGGAAGGTTGAAAAATATATATTTTTTATTTATTTATTAATCGGAAATTATCGAAATATATTTACTCATATCTTAGGACTATATAAAGTGATCGGAAAGGAAGCCAAAAATGCAATAATCTACAGGATGTTCAATTTAAAAAAAATCATCCCGATCCACTCACACTTTTTTGAGCCACCCTATAGAAGTTAAAATATTTTTCTGAAATACATTCTCGTACATACTTTAAGTTTGTACTTCAAACAAAATTCTCAAGTTTTTTATTCTCGGAGCTACAGATGCCCGACGCACTATTGCCGGACCCTGTATAAAATTCTAGGGGTATGATATGTCTGCGAAACGAATAACTTTGAATTTGACAGTTCCCGCGGGCTTTTCTAGTGTTAATTTTATTAGGTTAGCAACTTGCGGCCATGCTGACGCAATGCCGCCTTTAATAGAGCAGCCACGGAGCGAGATTTATGACGTCACGCTAGTTAGATACTACGGATTAATAAATATGTATTAATTAATAAATATATATGTTACTGTAAATGTCCGAAATGCTGTAAAACCTAGGATAAGCGCGCTAAACCTAGGATTGGTTAGCCTGGTTATTTGGAGGGTCTTAATGCATTGGTTAGCCTGGTTATTTGGGGGGTGTTAATGCATTGGTTAGCTGGTTATTTGGTGGGATTGGTTGGTTTTGGTAAATGCTAGGTTTTACCGCATTTTAGACATTTACAGTAACATATATATTTAGAATATTTTATATGTAATTTTTTGGGATTATATTCGACACTATTTTTTTCATATGACACAACACTGATGAAGGCTATAATGTTAGCTGAAACGTTTTTTTAACAAAAAAAAAAATAAAAAACCAAATCAAAAATTTAATCAGAGTTTTTCCCGAACTATATCCCAAGAAAATCAAAAATTTTAGAATAATTTTACATATGACAATGACAGCGATCTTTATTTCATAGCCATCGCTGACGCCTTTTTTTCTATGATATTGTATTATTTGCAAATATAATTTTTCGAACATTGATACTTGCCAAATATGCATATAAAGTTTGTGAATGTAAATAATAATACATCACTATTAGTAGATATTGAATGTTTTTTGTTAAATTAGATCGATTTTCAAACCCCCAAATTTTAAATATATTTTACATTTTACCCATTATCTTATGTACCTATTCATTATTTGTATATTGTAAAATATTTGCTGCATTTGTATGGTTCATAATTTATTTGCCAAAGTATTTATTACTATAAATAGGTATATAAATATTGTATTTATGAACTGTATATTATGTATATTTCATGTAAACTATATCATTTTTAAAATACAAACCAAAAATACGAGGAATAATTATGTTTTCCATGTATTCTACAACATATTTATTAATCCGTAGTACCTAACTAGCGTGACGTCATAAATATCGCTCCGAGGCTGTTCTATTAGAGACGACATTGGTCTGATATTTAGAAATGTCAAAAGCTGATGACATTTTACTTTTGACAATTATGTTATTTCGTGTTGATTTTTGCAAGAAGAGCAAGAACTGTCACTTGTTTTATTATTGTCCTTTTCTATTTCACGAAAGTAAAAAGAGTTACCTATCTGATTCGTTCAGGCACTCAATTTAAGGAATATCAGTAACTTTTTTGATAGAGGGATTTTATATTTGCCCTGTTGGTAAAAAATAACGGTCAAAATTCAAAGTTATTCATTTTATAGACTATATCGATCGATATTTCTAAGGTAACTTGCCGCTGTTTTTTATCATATGATAGGTCCAGTACTTTTGTGATGGGCTTAAAAGTAACGTCACTGAAAAAAAATCTATGCAAGAAACAAATTTCTAAGTGTTAAATATTTTTATAAATTCTTATTGATATTGCTCATATTTGATTTCTAGGTGTTTTGAAAGAAGAACTAGTGAACAATACTATAACCAATTATTCTTTAAACGACAATCTACACGACGATGACACTGAAGTAACAGACTCTCGATGCTACGACCTCAAATTCATTTTACCACTGTTTAGCCATATTCTAGCGCCAGAGCAACAAGTTAAGACTTACGTCTTCACCAGGTCTGCATTTTTATAGGTTTTTTTATTTCTTATATTTATTTAGAATATTTGTAGGAGTGGCGCCCTAAGTTTGACAGTTGTAGGACTTAGTAGCCGTGATAAGCAGGTACGTCAAGCGGCATGTCATGTGTTGTCAAGGTTTTATTTCCATCTGGAAGCCAGACAAACTGGAAAGGATAATCCGTTGTGGATTAGATTTGTCGAGGCACTCTGTAAAGGTATCTTCATTTATTTATTTTAATTTAAAAATTATTTATTATGCTTCAAATTATAGTAAAATACACAAAGACATCTAAATAAAGGGAGACAGAACGATTTAAATTTTATCGCGATCAAGAACCGTGTTCCGCAAAAATCGATGATGACAGATTTACGCGGTATGTGATAGAATACGGTTCGAGTTCCAAATGTTATTATTGTTATTAATGTTTTTTGGGTACCTATAGAAACGTTAAACTAAATATTTGTATAGGTATATAACTTTAATTAATATACATATATTGTGCCAGGATTATGCATTTGAAATGATTTTTAGTTTTCTAATTAAATTATATTAGGGAAATTACAATGACAACTAGCGGCATCGCTGTGGATTCATCTTTACTACGAAATTGTCGAAATCTGTAGGAATTACTCTGACATTTGACGGTTTCATTTGTTTTAATTCAACTTATATTTGACAGCGTGCGGTTGTGAGTTTTCTGCGGTAGTTGAAAGTTTTTGTAGCTTTTGAACAACTTTCTAATAATTATTAGTGTTTATTGCAAAGAAAACTATTTAAAGTAGTTTATAACTATCTACGATGGTTCGCCAGTGCATAGTTTGTAAAAAGGTGGACTATTCTAACCCGGAGTTGATATTTCGACGGTAAGTGTCATTACGTTTTTTTTACCTTTAGCCATGCTTAGAGTATACTCTGTTTTTTTTCTCAGGTAAGATTTCGACAGACGATGACAGAAGAAAAGCAGATGACATCCCATACCAATCTATTTATTTTACTAAAAAAAGTTTCTAATAATTTTTAAGTTAACTATGGATGGGTTTAAATATAAATCCGTCATATCATTTCAAAAATGACAGATCGTATTTCAATTTTATTGGTTTGACGGAACAATGAGAGAGCCAAATGACAGAAAGAGAGACGAAACTCAACCGTGTTGTCATATTTATGTACCCATCTCTTTTTAACTCTCATAAAAGTGTCAAACCATGTATGATTCTAAAAAATTTAGTTTTATGAATGGAGTGTTCTGTCTACCCATTTAGATGTCTTTGAAAATACACGAATTAGAAGATAATTTGTCAGTCAAAACCAAAGCATACCATAAGAGACATTTTTTTTTATTATGTTTATTTTTTCATTTCAATTTCTACTAGGTACGGCAGTGTTGCCAGACTTCAAACTGAACAACTTCTCTGCCATATTCTTCGCCCGCATGTCTTTGATCCTGACCAACCCAACTCATCCAATGTACTCTCCATTGTGCTCTTATTTGTCAGCCAAGCAAGTTCTTGACTTGAGCACTGTACCAGAAATCTACACTCTACTCTTCAGTTCCGATGTAAACTTCAAAGAACATCGTAGTTTTATTTTAGAAGTACTAAGAGACGGATTGAGAACAGAAAGAGACTTTTTAGATCTTTTGAAGTCTATGGGTCTAAAAATGTTGTTGGAGTTGTCTTCTAGTTGTCTGGCAGATACTCAGTGTAAACTGCTGATATCGGAGGTGTTATATTCAGCTTGTAAGGTACCTTTAGCTGTCAAAATGCTCTGCGAGAATTATTCTTTGTTGGTTCAACTTTACAACGTTGTTTGGAGTGTCCTATCTGACAAAAAAGGAACCAATATGATATCCAAGGTGCTGAAAATATTTCTGGAAATTGTTAAAGTCAGACAAGATGAGTATACAAACTCGCAAGTTTCTAACTTGTTTTTGAACATAGCAGGAAGTGACATGTTTGCAAGTTTTAAAGACGAAGATTTGACGTATTTTTATGAAGTGTTTTACAGGACGTTCTTGAATGTTCCTGGATTAATTAGGGATAAGGATAAAGTTTTAGATATTGTTTTAGAAAAATCGGATGATAAATTTTCGAAATATTTACGAAAGTATGGATGCAATTACGTGCAAGATATTTCGCCTGAACTACAGGTGCAAGATAAATATTTTTACCTAAGATTGTTGGTGTTTAATATGATGAAATAAATCTTTTTTTTAACTGATATTTGTTATTTGAAAGTTCTTAACAAGAGTACCAGGTTGTAATCACAAAATACTTTAGCTATATAGAAGTGACAAGTGCCAGTTTATTTGAAGTATGTATATTGGACTCAAAATGGCGGATACTGATAATGCTGTGGATGCAGATAATGCGCAAAATGGCGGATACTGCAATAAATTTGGTAACAGGATGACATTGACATGTATGACAAATAAAAAAAATAGCATAGATATAGGAAATAAGTTTAGATTGGAATGCTAGGTTTGCCGCCAACACTTATAATTGTTTTGGAGCGCATACGTTGTAGGGCGCTGCTATAGCGGTTGCTAAGAACAACCGCAAACAATAATTTTCTCTTGTCAAAGTCAGAATCTTCAAAAATTATAAAATCTTTCAAAATTTAAACCGTCCTCATTGAAAAAATACCGAAAAGCGTTTAAAGCGTCCATTTTCAAAGTAATTATTGCTATCTTGTGAGTTTAACCTAAATTGTATTTACTTAAACCCGTGATAATTGTGAAAAAGTGGCATTAAAAACTTAAATATCTGTGTAAACTGCAAAAGCCATCGTGGATCGTGGCATAACGTCGGTTTCCAATGTTTCATAAGTACTTCATACATATTCTTAAATAAAATAATTATGTCTTATATGCAACTTCTTCTTCTTCGGGATCCATCTCCTAATGGAGCTTGGAAATCATAATGGCAATTCTAACTTTGTTAACGGCTGCTCTGAATAACTGATTTGAAGTCATTCCAAACCATTCTCTCAAATTCTTGAGCCATGATGTTCTTCTTTTTCCTTGGGTCTTTCTGCCCTTTATCTTTCCTTCTATTATGTTCTGCAGCAGGGCATATTTAGGTCCTCTCATTATGTGCCCAAAGTACTCAAGTTTTCTCTTTTTAAGGGTGTTAATCACCTCTTCGTCCTTCTGAATTCTGCGTCGCAGTTCTATATTTGTAACCTTGTCAGACCATGCAATTCTCAGCATACGCCGATATCACCATCTTGTGAATGCCTCAAGCTTCTCCATTACGGCCTTTTTAAATGTCCAAGCTTCTGAACCATAGAGTAAAGTTGCAAATATGTAACCCCTTAGCATTCTTAATCTAAGCTTTAAGTTGATGTCTCCACTGCACAGACATTTTTTGAGTTTTACAAAGGATGCCCTGGCTATTTCTATTCGAGCTTTTATTTCTGCTGATTGATTCAAGTTTTCGGTCAACCAATTGCCTAGATATTTATATTTTTGAACTCTCTCCATAGGTGTATATATCATCTATTAGAACATTGGCTTAGACATCTTCTCTCTTAGTGATTATCATAAATTTAGTTTTCTTAGGGTTCATTTTCAGGCTATAGACTCTATACGTGTTGTTTAGTCTTTGTAGAAGTGTTTGCAGACCCTCCACGTTGTCTGCTATAAGGACGGTATCGTCCGCGAACCGCATATTATTTAAGACCTGCCCATTAATAGTGATGCCCTCCTTTCTACTAGTCAAAGCCTCCCGAAAAATTGATTCGCTATATACAGGATGAGTTTCCTACGATGTTCTCTATGGGTATCTTGGAAACTACTGGAGATAGAGAGTCGGTTAAATGGGGAAAGAATTGCAGTTTTGTGGGGTCATAAATATGCGCCTTTCAGATTTATGAAAAACTTCATGGCTTACTAGATATTTTGAAAAAAACAAATTTCGTCCCTATCCATTTTAGATTTTTTTATGCGGTATGGTTAAAAATAAGGTTTACAAAAGAACTTATGAATTAAGGGAGGCACTGGAAGTGGCGGTACGAGAGAAGTTTAATTAAATCAACCGGTCCTTTTGTGAGAATAGGTAATAATTCAGTTTTAAAAAGGTGTAACTCAAAACAATGGAATTTTTGAACATTTTCTAAAATAACTTAAAGTGTATGCAGTGACTCGACTGCAGCGATATTATTTTTTTAAGTTTTAGTTTGTGTAATGTAAATTCTAAAGAACCGTTTAGTAATATATTCTGACTTATTATAAGTTATAAATCACAAAAGAATAAGAATGCCATGCAATCTAAGTGAAATTAGTCAAGAGAAATAAGAATTGGCTATAACTAAATTTAACTTTTCTAACAAGTCTTGAAAATCGTTCTCTAAAAAACATAACATTCACCGGTCAACGTATCCTCGAAAATGTATGGTCAAGAAAAGTTGAACCAACCAAACCAAACCAAACCAATAGTTTCCAAGATACCCATAGAGAACATTGTAGAAAACTCACCCTGTATATTGCAACACACTGTATTTTATTTAAAAAAATTAAAAGACAATAATAAATTTGAATAAACAATATTTGGCGACATAATTCCGGAAAATCCGAACTCGGAAATTATCAAAAGCTTTGGAGAGCGACCGTTGTAAGAACAGCGCCAAATAGTATTTACATTGTCCTTATGGGCACTTTCCAATATCTATGAATAATAGTGTCTATTTTCTTAATAAAGGATATCTAGAGATTTTAGTTAGGTAATAATGTTGAAATTTTGAAAAAAAGGTAGTTTGTAGGCTTCAAACATTCTTGTATTTAATCTATTCGAAAAGGTTCTTAATAACATCAACGATATACTTTTAAAATACTTTATTTTATAACAAAAAAAGGGAAACAAAATAAATATAACACAGTTAATAAATATCTTTAAAATTTATAATAAGTAACACAATTCCATTAGGTAGGAATATCAGTTATATAGAGGAAAACTTTACATTATATTCTATCTATGTACAATCTATTTAGATATATTTACGCAATTCGTTTTTTAAATTGTACAGGTTTATTAAATATACTGTTTCCTTTTAAGTTATTTTTTAAAATATAATTTACAAAATAACTTTAAAAGCTTACAGTTTTTTAATTACTTTTTTACCTAGCTATATAGGGTACTTATATACTTTTTTCTAAGAGAAAAAATAAGTCATATTCTTCCTAGTTTTTTATATTATATTTCCTAATATAAAGTTTATATATTATACTTTTAATTGGCTAAAATTCCTATTTCAGGACTAAAGGTTTACTTTTATTTAATCGTATCACAACCAGAGCATATTGCTTCAAATGAGAAGTAGAAATTTATTAATAAATCTATGTATACAGGGTGTAATAATAGTTATTTTTTTTTAGTCGACCGAAAAGATTAATTTCGGGACACGATAATGAATTAAAACTATGGAAATTTTTTTCCATAGCGAGTTACATTTTAAAAAATATTCAGAAATTATTATTTCAAGGAATTTATTACGAGTAGAAAAAATATTGTACTGGGTTGGCGTTGGTTTCTATGTAATTTGACAAATAAATAAAGCTGTCTCTTTAGTTGTCAGTTTTGAGTCAATATTTTTTAATTAATTGTACTGAATTGCTGTGGTTGGTTCCTTGTGAAACATCGTTGAAATATTAGTATTTTAATAAAACACGCTTTTAGATGTATCAAAAAACTTTTAATAAGAGTAACTTTAACTCTACATATATGTTTCAGCTTTTTAGGCCTTTTTCAAGAGTTTTTTAAGAACTAATCGTCTAACTACACTGTAACTACATATATATTTGCTATGTATATATATATATATATATATATATATATATATATATATATATATATATATATATATATATATATATATATATATATATATATATATATATATATATATATATATATATATATATACATATATATATATATATATTGCTAGCACCTATATATATAGCATTTGCTATCAGAGGTGGGTTCGGTACCTATTGTAAACTCTCTGAACCCACCCCCATAGCAAATATATATATAGAGACAGTGTAGTTAGACGATTAGTTCTTAAAAAACTCTTCAAAAAGGCCTAACAAGTCGAAACATATACAGTATTGGCCAAAAGTGGATGAACCAATACCAATAATTGCGAAGAAAATCAGATTTGAGGTGTTAAATATCAAAATTATTTTATGTACCTTTGTATGTTAAAAGTTTAATACATTCTCACCAAAATACGACAAACAAATATAAATTCTTCTGTTAGTCTTATCATTTATAGATAAGAATTGGCAAATATTGCTTTTTTGTCTTGGACCAAAAGTAGATGAACCAAATATTTTTAAAAATCGTTAGTTTCATTTGTTCTGCTTTTATGAACATTTGAGCTCTTGTGATATATCATGCCACGTGGAATTAACTTGTCTGCAGATCTTAAGTTGCGAGTAGTGAATGCTTTTAAGGATGGTTTGAAGCAATCGGAAATCGCTAAGCAATTACGCCTTGGAAAATCAGCGGTACATTATATTTTAAAGAGATATAATGAGAGAGGAGATGTCTCTATAAAAAGAAAACCAGGACGACCTAAAAAGTTGGTCCCAATATGATAAAAAGACATAACACGAATTTCTTCACAAGATCCATTTTTGCCGTCAACGAAGATAAAAGCAAAACTTGAAGAAATGGGCTATCCACCAGTGAGTACAAGGACGATCCGACGTAAATTAGTTGACCAGAAGTTGTTTTCCCGAAGACCCGCCAAGAAACCACTGCTATCAAAAAAAAATTTGAAGGCCCGATTAGCATTTGCCAAGGAATATCAAAACTGGACTGTGGCACAATGGAAAAAAGTTTGTTTTAGTGATGAATCAAAGTTTAATTTGGTGTCATCAGATGGGATTCAACATGTACAAAGACCTCCCAACACACGATTGCTACCAAAGTACACGCGACCCACTGTAAAACATGGTGGGGGCTCAATCATGGTATGGGGGTGTTTTTCTGGGTATGGGATGGGGCCTCTCCATAAAATTGAGGGCATAATGGATCGGTTTGGCTACAGAGACATTTTACAAAACCTTTTAGTGCTTTATTTGGAGGAAAAAATGCCAGTTGTACACTTCCAACATGATAACGACCCGAAACATGCCTCACAATTGGTTAAAAGGTTTTTGGAAGATGAAATGGTGACTGTTCTCAAATGGTCATCGCAATCCCCAGACCTGA